TCGCGACGCCGAGCGTCTGAGCGCGCGGAAGACTTTTGATTTGGACGCGAAACGCCACAGGGCAATTTCCTGACATTGACGATTTTTCAAAAGTATAATGTTATATAATAATTATAATTGTATTATAATATTTTATGTTATTATAATTATAATGACAATTATAATTATTTATTAAAAAGCGTTTAATAAAAAAAACGTTATCGATTAAAAAATTTGCTGTTGGTATTTATAAAATTTTCGAAAGCTCTGCCTTTAAACTAAATGCATAGAATTATCCAAAAAATAACACTTTTTATAAATTAATATTGATTCGGTTATAATAATATGGTATAACTTTTTTTTAGAATGCTTAATTAATTAATTTATTTATAATAACGAAAAAAAAATTTGGTTAATTTTTGAGGCAGGCCTTCTTGCCCCAGGGGGGACAAAATATTTTATTTATTTTAATCTATCAAAAAAAAATGGTTTCTTTTCAGATTTAAAGTTTACACTTTGCGTCACAACGAACACATATATCTAGGAATCCTAAAGTGCGTACTCGCGAGTTTATTTGATACGAGCGGAGCGAGTGTTGAATAAACTAGTGACTTACAAAGTTTACCGCACGTATTGCATACGTGTTGTCATGCCGTTTACAGCACTTGTTGCATAATATACTAATTTTCTGCTAACGTTTGTAGAATAACTAATTACACACTGATCTAGGGTGCGGGGAGCGTCACTTTACCACATCAGTTTCGTTTCCCATGGACCGGAGCCACTTCGAACATTTTCGGGATTTTATCGGACGGGTTTGGAAGCAATCATATGTTTTCTGACGGTCATGTCAGTGAACTTATTGGTATTGTTTCGCAAAGTTGTAAACAAAAACTAATACACAGAAAAATGTTATGCAATACATCAGATAATTTAAATACTACGTACTATAAGCCACAACGAAAATCTAGTGGACTAGTCGATAAGTAAAGCGACATTTATAATTTCGATTTCCTATAGAAAATTTACATACCGTTCGCAATAAATTTAGTGGTTTTTACAGTTTTTGTATTAATATCTTGCTAAGATCAATTGTACCATTTTCAAATATCCATCTCTCTTCAGTAAAACCAAAACAAAATTGAAGGTTAGGACCTGCTCTTTCTTGGTTATACGATATAAAAATGGAATCCTCTAAATAGCTCTATTCTCGGATGATTTTTCTTCCAACTATAGTCTTATAGTCTGTCTCTGTTTAGCGTACACAGTTAAAAAGAGACAACAATAGCAGAACCGTTCGATGAATGGTACGAAATCCGATAATCTGTTATTATTCTTAATTTGTTAAATTCTCATTTTTTTTTGGTGACGGTTGTGGAACAAGTATACTATGCAACAAGTGCGGTAAACTTCATTTGACTCCCGAATTTATTTGACACGAGCGGAGCGAATGTTTAATAAACGAATGACCTAAAAAGTTTACCGAACGTGTTGCATACTATAATTTTTCTACGACTTTTAGTTTTTGGGTACATTTTCACAAAACAACACGAATATATTCAGTTACATGACCGTCAGAATTGACAAACGTCAAAATTCAAAACGTGGGAAACATCTCCGAAAACATCCGATTGCTCCCAAACCCGTGACGTAAAATCCCGGAAATGTCCGAAGTGGTCGGATCCGTGGGAAACGAAACTGATGTGGTAAAGTGAAGTGTCCCGCACGCTAGATCGGTGTGTAATTAGGCATTTTACAGACGGGAGTAGAAAAATATAATTTTGAAACTCTCTCTGAAAATTATAGTCCAATAGCAATCGCATCATGCTTGGCTAAATATTTGAATACGTAATGCTTGACCGCTTGACCGATTACTTAAGTAAAAACAAAATTTTATAAACGTTATGTCTTTTCCGCCTGTCCTTACTTTGATAACTGTTCTAATTCCTCTGTTTAAATAGTCTCGTAAAACAGCGAAGAACATTAATTCCTTCATCTTTTTATTCACGAAAACTAACCAAAATATACGTTTATAAAAAAAAATAATGCCCAAACCCGTAGCTTTTCCTTATGTATCTAGAAATATAAATACTTTAGAAACTATCCAAGAAATCGCTAGGTATCAATTACGGCTTCATGAAGTAAAATTATTATGAGCACCTATCATAGGTTGGTATAGTCCGACACCAAATTTAATCAAGCAATAATATTATTACTGAAGTTAAAGATATTATATATAAAAAAAGATGCACTGCGGTAAAGGTGTATTAGAAAAGCTGCAGTCCAACAAAATAACATCGATTCTGTTTCTAATACAATACAACTTGCATTATTCAAAATGTGGACGTGTGGACATGTGTGTTTTACCTTAGTTTTTACTTTAATTGTTACAGTTACTGTTATTTGTTGCTTTTACTTGTTACTAATACTTGTTTTAAATTTTTAAACTTCTGCAAAAAGGACCCACCACCCATTGCAAACATCCTTAAAATTAATTAAAATATAAGAATTATATGCTTTTTTAAAAAATTTTAAAATAATTAGGTGTCACTATTTCGAAAAGCATTAGATTTAGATGAAGGACATATATATACTATACCCCAAATTATAGGTATTTGGACCCGTTTTGAGCAAAAATATCAAAGATATGGGCGTTTCATTAAAAATAATGAATACTGCAAGTTGAAATTTGAAAAAAATGCCCTTTAATGTAAAGCACCACGTATAATTTTAAAATACCTACGCATCGCAGATCGTTAGACGGAAGTTTTCTGAAAATATGTTTAAAATTTACTAAGAACATAATTTTGCATAAAAAATATATAATAAAAGTTATTTTTATTTTTATTTATTTATATTTATATATGCGGTGTTCCGTTTAAATTTTAAAACTAATGTCGGTCCAGCACCAATCAAACACCCTGTATATACAAAAAGTAAATAAAATGTCCTTTAATGTACAGCACCACGTATAATTTTAAAATACCTACGCATCGCAGATCGTTAGACGGAAGTTTTCTGAAAATATGTTTTTTTTTAAATTTTTTTTTAAACCATCAAATTTAATTTAAACCATCAAACTTTCGTATAAACTTTTTTTTCGAAAATCAGTAGGGCCCACCCTATACGTGTGGGAGTAATTAGTTTCCTTGTATTTTGTACCACATATTCATTATTTTTCTCTTATTTGTATATTTTCTTTAATTGGGTGTGAACTTGTTGAAATAAATTTGCTTATTTTTATTATTATTATTACTAGACGTCCCAGAGGAGAGTTGTTTTTGTTTTGGCCGGCGGAATGTTTGAAAAAGTAGAACGGATTTCGTGTGGATGTAAACTCTAGAGAACATAAGACCCCCATCAATTTTTTTTCCTTGCAAATTACCCGAAATTATTTATCCGGCTTCTAAATATAGGCTCCCGCGGATGTATTTAAAGACTCAGGTGTACGAAATCGGTGACTAAGTAATAGGTGCGGCGAAAATATCGCAGTTTCGCAGAAAAATTTATCCTAATTTTAGATCGCAGAGAGTGGAAAGAAAAAATAAAATAAACCTCCAAAATTCTGAGAAGTTGGGCGTTAGCAACCCCGGATATTGAATTTCACCGTTTTGGAGAATTTTTTTAATTTTTTTAAAGTACTTCCCGACCCCCAGCCCCCCATTTTCAATACGTTTCGTCACGGTGCATATATGTGCAAAATATGAAGTCGATTGCGTCAAATTTCAGACACTTATCGTGTTTCACAGCAAGGTAAAAAAAAAACAGTCGAAAATCGCGAAAAAAGATGGATACCGCATTCGGATCAGGGCCATTTCTTACACGCTTATGTGCCTCGTGGAGGGTTAAAAAGGAAGCAAATTTTGATGTTGTACCTCCCACGGTTCGAAAGTTATTCAGGAAAAACCAAAAGACGAGAACGGAGAACGGACAGACAAAAAAAATGTATACGAGCCCAGATACTTTCGAAAAAATTGATTTCATCGATTTTCGGAAGTAACAAGGGGGAAAAATCTGATGGCGGAACTTGAATGTGACAAAAATCTTATTTAAATCCAGTGCTGGAAAGGCGATTATCTTACTTTCATTTATTATCAATTTGCACAACAGTTGTCTTGGTTGTAATGCGAAGCTGCTCAAACAATACTGCAAAAAGGGTAGAAACTGCATCACCCGCAAAAAGGGAAAAGTAAATGCGGGGGAAACATGAGAACACATCATTTATAAACACTATGAACAATAAAGAACCGAGTAAACTGCTCTGAAGTACATCGCACTTCACTCGCCTGCAGTCAGAGACGTATTCAAATCTTAAGGTATCTCGCAATTGGACCAACTGCGTAGCACCCCAAGTCAACATCGCCCAAGTCAAATGCTCTTTGTAGATCGAGCAAAACACATGCTGTTTGGTGCCTTTCTTCAAACTTGCCAAGAATATGCCCTTATAAAAAAAGAATGGCATCCTGCGTTCGAAAACCAAATTGCATGGCCGAAAAAAGGTCTCGACTTTCCAAAAAATTCGAAAATATTGAATACAGTGCTTTTACGAAGATTTTTGAAAACACGGATAGGAGCGCTATACTATATACTAGACTGTTAGTTATACCAAAATGTGGTCTATAGTCCGATCGACAGTCGTGAATGATTTTGGTCAATGTGCCTCTCTGTTACTTTACACTCATTTGTCTTAAATCTTTTGGCTCACTGGGGTTTGATATTTTCGCAACTGGTTTTACAATGACCTTTATCTAAACAGTGGGAAACTAGTTTAGTAATTTAACTAACATATATATTATGTGCAATATTTGGATGGACATTGGAGTTGTAATGGTTTATTTTAATAATTGAAAGCGTATCAACCGAGTACACGATGCAAAATATTTATTAAGCACTTTTTTGAAGTGAGATTAATTTGTTTTGCCTCGACCCAAATATTCTTTCCCTTTTAGACGCCGATAAAAAAAATTGCCGAACTTATTTAAGTTTATCCCGAAAAAAAAAACATTAAAAGTAAACAACGGCATATATTCTAAAACGGAAGTATTTACAACGAGTATAGGAAAAATATCACATTTGTCCCGAAAATGTACGGAAGCGTACGGAAGACTGAGCGGTAGCACGCGAAAACACGAACGTTCGACGAACTGTTCTCACAAATCAAATTCCGGCCTGTAACGTTCGCGCATCAGCACTTGGGAGGAAAGAAGACCATCTCGTTCAAGCACGCGAGCACTATACAAATGGCGTAAACTGTGACTAGCACGTAACCTGTCTTCCTGGCCAGTCTGAAGTTGTTGAAGAATAGGGTGGCGTATAGGATAAGGGCTACCACGATCAGGGCCATGATCGTGTACACTATGGACCCCGAATGGATTTCGATGAAAGCGTCGTTGTTGGTACCTTTGAGGATGGTCTTGAAGAACCACGGCATGCCCAGCGAGAAGAGGATGTTCATGGAATTGGCTCCCAGAGAGTTGGACACTCCCATCTTACCTTCGCCTACGAAAGATGTGTTAAGTATCGACTTGATGCAAAATATGCACAACTTAGAATTAAAATTACAAAAAATGTCTTCTTAGAAATTGAAGTGCAAGGCAGCAATAACTGCTTATAGTTAACTTTTACGAGCAATCTTCATCGCAGTACCATCAATATTGAGTTACTTGCACCAACGATCAAACTGAGGGTATAAAAAGTGCCCAGAGGCTAAAAAAAGTGGTAATAGTGTTTGTGTCTAAACTTTTAATATGACTTAGACAAACCCACCAAACTGAAGAAAGGTTCGTGAAAAACAACAGTTTTTCGTTTGAAGAAGACGTACACATTTGATAAAGACACGGTGTTGTCGAAACAATTGTCATGTGAAAATGTATAAGTTCGTGAAAATCTCTACTTTTAGTACACATTCGTTACTTTTATCACATCGAAAACTGTTGTTTTTTTTGTTTGTGTATTTGTTGGTCTTCTTCCGATTGTTCCAAAAATTATCGAAAATTTTCTTCGGGATTCGGTATGTTAGGCAAAGGTTTTTAAAAAATTCCACACTGCCAAGTCTTAATCTCAAATCTAATTACAGTTGCCAACCAAACGGATCTCAAACTAAAGTCATGAAAATGTTTTTGTCGCTGTAAATTGCCGATTTTGCCGTATGCGCGGCGTATAGTGTGGTTCGAATTATACCTTTTACTTTTAGACTGCCGTAAAATAAAAATAAAAATGTCAATCTTTAATTTAAACGATACTATACTTATAAAACGCATCTTAAACAGTTATTAGTTCTAAACGACACATTTAATTTTATAATTATATTAAGCAGACAAATAATAATTGCTATTCGAGGAATATGATTATTTTTGGCAAGTTCGAATTCATTAGTTTTGCTTAGCAGCATGTTTGTTTTTTCATTTATGTTTATATTTTCTAAATCTTAAATTTCAAAGTAACAATACTTATAAAAGGCTCCTTAAACTAGTTTTAAACGATTCTGTTAACTTTAAATATAGGTTAAATGGACAAATAAAAATTACTATCTGAAGATTTTCATTACTTTTGTCAAGTTCGAATTTGTTTAGTTTTGGTTAGTAGAATGTTTCGTTTTTCGTTTATTTTTATATATTTTAAATCTTTTATTTCAACGTAACTATACCTATAAAACGCTTCTTAAACAGTCACTAGTTTTAAACGACACAGTTACGTATAATATTAAGTTAATAATTAATTATTAATTAATAATAATTATTGTCTGACGATTATGATTACTTTTCGTAAGTTTGAATTTGTTTAGTTTTGGTTACTTTTGTTTAGTAGAATATTTTTTAAGCTATCTTGATTGAATGAGTAATGAAATAATAATTACTGCGTCTTCAGTTAACCGTATGGTGAGCACTACTTATGTGCCAACTAGTGAATCTTTTCAGTTCAAAGTTCTATTTCGAACTAAACCATACCTCTCCTGGACATGATCGCGATCGACAGCGACTCAGGCAGCGAGCTTCCTGCAGCTGAAAACGTCAGCCCTTGAACAGTCGACGGGATATTCAGAGCGGTTCCTGCAATATCACCCACTCAAAACCTACGTTCGACGTATTGGAGGTGGTGGTTTACCGATAAGGGTGATCATCCACGACACCATGTACGAATTGCCGCCGATCCAGAAGATGCAGATGATGAAAGAGAGCGGGAACAGTTTCGGGTGGATTTTGGGGTTGGGAATCGTACACCTGAGCACCATCTTTATCGGCCACGTGTAGAAGAAGCAAAACTTCGTCCAGAATCCTCCGGCCGGTATCGCGAAAGGACTCTTTTTGTTTTCTGAAATAACAATTATCCGCTAATTTCGAATTTTCCGCGGTTAATTTTGGTTATTTGGTAAAGTATCTTCATTTGGAATTCTTCGCTTCGGGTTATCTCTTCAGCAATGACCTTGAAACGTAAGTGGTTGAGATGATACTCAGAACCACCTTTCTATACTACTTATTCCAAAAATTTCCCTTCTAAACTTACGCACCTCGCTCCTGGTATTCTTTCTCAGCTTGCACGCCCCTCTTGTATGCCTCCGTGTTCTCGTACCCCGCCTCCCTTACTTCTTTGACATAGCTACCGTAAGCGGACAGCACAGACACACGCACTTGGTCGTTGGACAGCGTCCTCTGCTCGTGGGCGTACTTTACGTCCACCACGTCGTCCACCTTCTTTGCCTGGTACTTGGCTGCGATGTTACGCACCCAACGCGATATGCGGGGGTTTTGGAACATGATGGCGAAGTAGACGAAGTAGGCGATGAACAGTGCGAGACCTTCGTACCAGAAAATGAAACCGTCCCAGACGATAACGATTAAGAGCGTAATAGACAGCATGTAGACGCAGACGTCACGGGTTACGGGCCACCAATCCAGCTGGATCGGCTAAAATACATAAAATAAATAAATAAGTTATGAATAATAAATAACGAATCACCAATTTGCCAAGTAAATTTAAAAAATATTAATAATAGTGTTTGTTTATTTTAACAGTAAACCAAAAGCACAGCGCGAAAAAAAGGAACTGAGAAACAATTTAAAAAAATATTAAACCCCAGTCAATAATTTCATAGCTACTTATATCTTAACATACATACTGCATACATCAATTCATTAACATGTATACATAAAAAAAATTGTACAATACCTTATTAATAGAAATCTACTTTGGCTAATAGATTGATTATAAGACCCCTATATCAAAGATTCAAAGCGTGGACAATCAGTTGGGTATTTCATTTTTTCATAAAAAATATGGAGGGAGCCTGAAAACAAGCACTCCCGAAAAAAATGAAAAATATAATTGGGTATCATCAGCATAGAATGAATTTTGCAGTCCTGCAAACAACTACTTAAATTGATATTAGATATTAAAAAGGAGAGGGCCTAATAGCCAGCCTTGGGGTACTCCACACGGAATAGTAACATTAGTTGGCTCTCATTTAGATGTTGCAACAAACTGAAAGCGGCCAGTAGAGTGGCTAAGCATGAAGGAGACTCCAGCACTTGAAAAACCCAAATAGTGCAGTATAGACAGTAGAACTCCATGATTTTGTCGAAAACGCAGTCGTTTTATTATATGTTGTTTGTTATATTTAATAGTGCTGACTGCGAGGAGAGAAGTAACTGGTTAATATCTAAATGATCTTTAGTTTGTTGGTTTATAATTTTTTGAAGAAATTTTGAAAATACGGGTAAGATACTTATAGGTCCTAATTCGTCAATTATTGCGATACTTTTTGATTTAGGTTATGGAAGAACCTTAGAAATTTAGAAAAGAAAAGAAAATAAAAGAAAGAAAATAAATAGAAAAGTCTATTATTAATAAAGGAACCAACATTTCCTTTCGCCAAAGTTTAGGCAAAGTATTAAATATTAATTTGTTGATCTATAAGGTACTAGACTAGGCAAAACATGTTAGCATAAACACATGTTCCTTTAATTGACTTTTTAACTATTGGTTACAATACTTACCTTTAGATTGTTAAGCTCAACTATTTGGCATAAAAAAGAAGAATTTTTCAATCGGTGATATTCATGTTGAGCCAATTATCAAGTTTTAAAACGGGGCTAATTCTGTGATTAGTTCGTATACCATTATCCAAAGGCAAGAATTCCGTAAATTTCTGTAATTAAACTGCCAGAACGCAAACTTAATATGTGTAATTATATTTAGAATTTCACTATCACAAAAATTGAATTCTTAAATCTGACTTAATTTATGTAATTTTAAGTATGCTCTTTTTCCATGTTCGATGACATAATGAACTTGGCTTTTAAGTCCTTTGAAATTAGTCCAGGATGACAGGAGTTTTTTTTGTATTTCTTTAAATTACTCTCCCTATCCTTCATAATTTCCTTGATGCCATGGGCAACCCGTGGTGCATATTTATTTGTTATTTTCTATAATCTATATTCTATTGTACTTTCTCTTCTGGATTGTTGATATCGTAGATTTATTGAATAAATTTGAAATCACTGTCCAATTGATCAATACTAATTTCTTTAAAACTTCTAATAACTTTAAAAGTAGGTGCGGTTGATAAATACAGAATTTGAGTGTCGCAAAAAACAAACTGGTGATTGATTAAAGATTAAAATATAATCCATTAATGTATGTGAATTCGTGGCAATCCTAGTCGGCTCGTTAATATTCCGATTAAATTCCAAACCCTCCAATACTGCATTGGCAAAACTACAGCCAGAAGAGTCAAGTGTTAGGTGTGTAATATTAAAAATCAACCACACAGAAACATCTGTCAACTTGTGGCACTATCACACAGACAGTTGACTTACACTCTGTAAGGAAAGTAACGTGCGAATCTCTAAGAGGTTTGTAACCCTCACCATCATTTGATTTTATGTAGATCCGCTCAATAGACCCGGCGCAAGAAAATATAAACGTTTATATATAGCACATTGCTATTTATGCATGGTTTCATTTACCCAATAACATTAAATGATTGTTGTGTAATTAGATATTTAAAATTGTAAACAGTGTATCATTTGAACGAAAAAGTTGTTTTGCACTTGTATTGCATTGTGTGTTTGTTTTCTTGTTCCTGCAATGTAACAATAACAGACTACCAAGAATCCAACCTCTAAAGGAAATAAAAGATTAAAAAATAATAAAGCAAAATATAAATGTGTAGCTCATGTAGCTTTAGAGTCAGAGCCAGAGAAAGAAGAAAGAAAATATGCTTTGGTTTTATTTTGAACCTTTTTCAAGTCGTTCCCTTTCCGAAAATGCTCAATAACTACATAAATCTTCGCGGTCATTTCGAAATTTCCTATTTTCGTAAGGATGTTTTGAAATTTTAAGGGTTTCTTAGGGGTATTCTGGATCCCTTGAATAATAAGATTACAGATTCCTAATTTGCCCCAAGGGACGGAGGGCGGTGAACTGGCGTAATTCATCTACTTATCCGTTAACATTCTACTTACGACGGAAGCGGCCAGCGAGCCAACCGACGCGACACCCAGTGAATTAAACATGGAAGAGCCGACTATCGTGCCGATACCCAACTCGGACCCGGTGACGAACGTCGCGATGATGTTGGTGAACAATTCGGGGCAAGAGGTCGCCACCGACATGAACGTCGCCGCCGCTACGTCCTAGAAACGTGAGGACATCAACGTCTAAAGGACCGAGCGTTAACTTGCAAAAGACTCACGGCGGAGAGATCCATCACTTCGCAGAGTCGCTCGATGGACGGCAAGAAGTATTTATCGCAGACCACGGCCAATAGCGAGAAACAGTATATGGCCACCACGAAACACAGAACTATGCCCCCTTGCTTGACCTGGTCGTTGGTGAGGAAGCTGGGGAAGTCGTCGTCGTCGTCGTCGCCGCCGCAAGTCTCGTTGTCGGCGGTATCTTCAGACAGGCGAGAAGACGACGACAGAGATCTAAAGCGAAGAATGAAGAATTTATCGGTCCGAATGGAGAATTTTAGATCGCAATCGTCGAAAAAAGTCTTAGGCAATATGAAAGTCATAGTCCAAGTGTCCAACCCTTTTTATTTTACTTTTTAAATTGAATATTTTAAAAATGTCTTAACTAACGTGGAAAATCACCCAATAAACAGTCTGATAATCCAGATGTAAGACGGAAGCGTCTTAATATTTTTAAAGCATAGTACAATAGTCTTACAAACTTGGAATGGAAAATCTGTCTAATACATCTTTAATTTAAATACTAAGACTAAGGTTTTAATTTTTTTTTTTTTTGAAAAACAGCAAACAATATAAATCTGTGAAAAGCGTCTTATGTAATGTTTAAAACGGACAGAGTCTGGAAGTAATATTTTTTTTAAATAAGTCTTAGAAAGATGTATTAACTATTGTAAAAAACGGCCATTAAATAGTCTTATGTCATGTTTAAAAAGCAGAATCCAATAGTATAACAGAGTCTCAAAGTAAGTTTTTTTTTTAATTACATCTTTGAAAAATGAAGTAACCAAGCGATAAACACACTATCAGGTGACCTTATAATTGAAATGTAAAATTATAAGATGAAATTGTTGAAAAAAGTTCTAGCCAATATCAAAGTCATAACTTAGGAGTAAGATGTTAAAACTAAATCTTAGAGAACATCAAAGGTAAAATTTTATGTTTAAATCGGTGAAAAGCGTCTTATGTAATCTTTAAAAATCAAATTTTTTAAATTATATCTTTGAAAAATGACTAATGTGGAAAACGGATTATCAATTAACCTCAAATTAAATTAAAAAAAAAAATTGAAAAAAAATTGTTAGATAAGTGAATCCAAAAATTAAATCGTTAAAGCCAAAGTTTGGCAACTACTCGTCTTAGTACAGCAGTTGTAAAACTCACAGTCAAATAGTCTTATAGAGACTCAAAGCAATTAAATTTTCGAAAAATGATATTACTAATGTCAAAAACGCATCATCCATTAGTCCCATGAATCAAATGTAAGATTTTTAAATTAAATCTTTGAAAAAAATGTAAGTTAATATAGCCGAGTCATAGATAAGTGTATGATTTTAAAGTTAAATATTTAAGAGACGCAAAAAAGGGGCAAAAGGAAGATTTTAAATATAAATCTTTGAAAAGTGTCGTAAGGGATCTTTTAAATCCCCGCGACACTCTTACATTCCAAAAATGATATTTAATTAAATCTTTGAATAATATTCTACATATAAATATACATTTCTAAAAAAATGTTCGTTAATATATTCATGTCATGAATTTAAATATTGGAAAAGCGTCTTGTATGTTATATTCAAAAAATAAGATTACTTAATTAAATTTTTGAAAAATGTTATGAATGTGAAAAAATCAAATACGAACATAATTTAAGTGTAAAGTTTTTAAATTAAATCTTTGAAAAAAGTGTTAGTTAATGTGTTTAAGTCATAGCCAAGTGAAAGATTTAAAAATTAAATCTTTAAAAGACGTAAAAAAAAAATAAATCTTTGAAATTTGATAATTTAAATGTACGATGTTCTAATTAAATCTTTGAAAAAAGTGTTAGTTAATACAGTCTAGTTACGTTCAAGTGAGAGATTTTAAAATTTTTAAATTGTTAAAAGATGTAAAAAAACAATAACGGTATAATTTTAGATTAAAATCTTTGAAAAGCGTCTTGTGGAATTGTGGCACATCTAAAAGTAAGATTATATAATTAAATCTTTGAAAAACGTTTTGAATGTAAAAAAATCAAATTGCCTTATAATTTAAATGTAATATTTTCAAATTAAATTTTTAAAAAATGTAAAAAAAGATGATGAAATTTGTAAAATGGTTTAAATGGTTTTAATGGTTTAAAACCAAAGCTAAATGTAAGATTTTTAAGTGAAACCTTCAAGAAAAAAGGGAAGACGTTAAAATGAAATGTTTGACAATTCCAAAAGGCTAATTTTTTCAAAAAGGACTGAAGGTTATTCGTTTCGCCTTTAGTCTCGTCTCGTGGGAGTACATCGAACTATCTAAATACTGTTGGACGGCGACATATTTTTTTTAATGAAATGGCAAAATAAACGCGTCTTACCTCCTTATCACATAATCCGTGTCGCTTTTGATGTTTTTTTGAGCGATATCATTCCGTCTGGCGCTGTCAATAAGACCTGGGAAAACACGACGTTTAAATTGTTAATTCCGGGTATTAAAAGGGAATTAGATATTATAATAATTGCATTAATGGCAGTTACAACGCCCTCAATCAAAGTCGGTTTCGCTCGAACACCGAAAACGTTCATTTAATAAAATTTTCGAAGTGTTTTTGAGTCAAACGAATTTCCGACTAGACAAACCATAAAACGATAAAAAATAACACAGTACATAAATCAAAAAATGACAATTTTTGGACGGTCGTAAAGGAGGCTAAGCCTGTTTGCTCTCGCGATCATTTTTATTACGGGCGTGCGAATTTGGAAAATTTTCTGGGCCATTTCGGATACACCGACCTTGCACGCTGGTATCAGTCGAAAGTATTGTGCGAGTTTATATATTTTAGCTTATTTGTTAATATTTTGGGATTATAGATTCGTTAGTATACCGGGGAGCCCAAAAAAGCACCTTATCATTAAATGTTCTGGAAGGAATAATAATAAATTTAATAAATAACAACGGTTTTATTTATCAACACCAACGAATAGCTACTTTTTAGTTTAATAGAAATGAAAAAGAGATTGAACAGTTTTTAAAATACTTAAAGCACCTATATACATATACCGGGTGAACATGGGAAATTTTGAAAATATTGGCTCCCCTATACATGACAGTAACAATATTTTTATTTCGGATTGTTATACGTTATTAAAGTAACAATAACTATATTTAAGTGGCATTATGCGGGAAACAGTCTGCGCAAAGTTTCAGTTGCCAATAAGTGACCTATTTGGGACACCCTATATAAGCCGAGGCGCATCTGTCAAACTGATTGAGTAGTGCATCGTCTCCTTAGTCTGCGGTGAAATTTTCGTTGCAACAGTGAAATCAGTAGCGTCACAACAAATTTGAATAGAAATTTCCGAAGGAACTGACCTTTATTCTCCTATGAGTTTCCTTCCAGACCGTATAGTGTTTAAAATGTTCAAAACTGTCTGTATTGGAGCCAAGACGTACTCAATATCCTCAAAAAATAAATGTTATGTGGGAATTTGCGGATATCATATTATTGGGCCATGAATAATTCAATGCTAGACCAGTAAGTGCTTCCAGGATTGGAAAAAACGTGGAGGAATTGTTTGGAGGGGACAAAATTACATTTTGATGAATAAATACATACTTTTTGATACAAATACAACTTGAAAATCGCAATTCTTTTTGAACATATAAAAGTGTAAGCAAAATACAATGTATTATAAATAGTTAGTATTATTTATTTCAAATTTTTAAAAAAGTTTTTAAAATAAATGTTTTCAGTGTATCGTATTTTGGCCCAAAATAATACTGTGCGTCGGAGCAATGCAAAACTTTTCAGAAACGAAAGCAATTAATTTCGTTATCAATGTACGAGGACGTTTGATGCGAATCAATTAAAGGCGTTTAAACAAATTGAACGGGAGCCTTGAGTTCGATAAGGCCTCCACCGCCTTGTAACCACTTCAGTCTATTTATATTTTATCGAATAACTAGGGAAAAAAAAGTCGCAACGTCTCTCGAAATGCAGGCGGAGTGCAAAAGGAAACGTCACTTCCGGTATAACGCAAACTTCAATATTTTTCTGTTTTTCAGAAAACAAGGAGCTTAGGGAGGTGTAGTGTATAGGGTGGCCCGAGGGACACTGCATTATCTCGTAAACCATAGGGGATGAGTTATAACAAACCTATTAATTTATTTTAATTTGGTATATACGGGGTGTTTAATTTTTCGTCGGAGAATTCCAACTTCCTTATTTTAAATGGAACACCTAGTATATTACTTCATTTTTTACTTCTATGACGTTTCTTCATTCGGAAGCATTTACTGTTTCACTTGAGTAGCTTTTGTTGTAGACAAAGGACTCAATAACGGATTTCATAATAAATTTCGATATATATCAAAACAGGGCACGCGAAAAATAAGATTAAAAATGAAATTAGAAAAAACTGCCAAAAAACATTTTTGGTTTGGTTAATGGAAACTACCAATATTTATAATTTTGTCATATTTAACATTTAAAATTAGTTAAATTTTATATAAGATCGTGTATGCCTAATATTTTTACTTTTTGAAATGTTTCGTGTTGCCATACAAGTTCAGTTACTGTAAGGTGGCTATGACAAGGGCTGCCACTATGATTTACCATTGCATAGTTTGATATACTAACTGTAAATGTATGTACACATTATTTATACAGAATAAGACCAAGGTTGCGCGATAACGTTGAATATTTTATTAACGAATAATAATTATTATTATATCTTGATCACTTTCATCTACACTCGAGAAAATGTCAGCATCGCTTCTTTTTTTCCTCGCCGAAATGGTATTATTCACAATTTTCCATACAGTTCATGTTGGAATTTTCATCAATGTGGCCGTTTTTTCTAAAGATGCTTGCTTGCTGGCACCACGTTCAATGAGAGTCAGATAAACATTGTTTATAACTTCCTTAGTCTCAATAGAATAGTGTTTTCTACATTTAGGCGGGAGCATCTCCTGAGATAGACTAGACTCGCACATATTTTGCATAATTCGCACACGATTCAACACACACTCGAAATAAGAATGATTACTAATAAACTTAAACTAAGTAGTATTCCAAAATAAAGAATATTAAACAGAAGTAGGTATGTGTAATGTATGTGATAACTATGCAAAATATCTAGGGCATACAGTTTTAAAGCTTCCACCTTACCACTGTATAACGGGTGGTTAAATTGTAAGGGCCGATGTTGAATGTGAACCACACCTAAGCGCCAAGTTTTTTTCCGAATTTTATTTGACATTTCTCTATTTCAGACTTACTCAATTTGAACCATGGAGAGATACACAATCCAACAACGTGTTAAAGTTATCCAGACTTATTATGAAAATGGGCGTTCAAATCAAAATGCATATCGTGCACTTCGTGATTTTTTTGGTCAATTTGATCGTCCAAATGTGCGTACAATCGCAAAAATCGTGAAAAAATTCGAGCAAACCGGGTCTGTAGAAGATGTGAGAACACCAGTGCATGCTCGTACAGCTCGTACTGCAGAAAATATTGCTGCTGTTCGCGATAGTGTGGCTGAAGAGCCGTCCACCTCAACTCGTCGTCGTGCCCAACAATTGCACCTCTCACGCTCGTCGTTGATAAACATTATGCATAAAGACTTGCATTTACACGCTTACAAGGTGCAATTGGCTCAAGAACTAAAGCCTCTTGACCATTCCAAACGTCGTGAATGGGCAGAATGGTGGCAAGAAATGGCAACAGTGGATGATCAATTTTCGAAGAAAATCATCTTCAGTGATGAGGCACATTTTCACCTCAGTGGATTCGTCAATAAACAGAATTGCCGCATTTGGGCGAATGAGAATCCAAGAGTGATTGTCGAAAAACCAATGCACCCCCAAAGAGTGACTGTTTGGTGCGGTTTATGGGCTGGCGGCATCATCGGGCCGTATTTTTTCCAAAATGAGGCCGGTCAGGCAGTTACTGTGAATGGTGTTCGCTATCGTGAGATGAGTGGTTTCAGCAGGACGGTGCCACTTGCCACACAGCTAACGAAACAATGGCTCTTTTGCGCAACAAATTCAATGGTCGTGTTATCTCACATAATGGCGATGTCAATTGGCCGCCAAGACCATGTGATTTGACACCGTTGGACTTTTTTCTTTGGGGTTATTTGAAAGAAAAGGTGTACGTCTATAAGCCAGCAACAATTCAAGAGCTAGAGGATGAGATAATTCGGCACATTAACGGCATAGAACCTCCATTATGCCTCAGGGTCATCGAAAATTTGGACCATCGGATGGAGGTGTGCCGCCGTGGTCGCGGCGCCCATTTGGCCGATATTTTATTCCATACATAATTGAGTAATACCAATATATCATAATAAAATAAAATTACAATAATTTCCTAAATAGTTTGTGTTTTATTCAAAATCAACATCGGCCCTTGAAATTTTACCACCCGTTATTTAACCCCATTGAACATGTTTGGCGCCAACTGAAATCTGCCACTCGTCTTAACAATGTTTTTCCCCGTGCTAACTCGAATGTCCTCAAACTTATAGAAACCGAAATTTTTAACATCCTTCCACAAAGTTGGGCAAATTCTGCTAAACATATAGAAAAAGCAGAACAATCGTATATCCGTATTGCAAATAATATAGAACAAATAATATTTAGAACAGGCGATGACAGCGATAGTGATACGGATATATTATGTGAATAATTTTAATTAATTTAAGTAGGTAATAAAAATAATTTGTAATTTTATTTTAGATTTAAACACAAATACATACATAAATAAATAAATATTTCTTAGTATCTTTCCTAACAAAACCCCAAATAATTAAATTCTAAGCAAAGTACGGACCTGTTTGGCCATATTTCATTCTTACAGCTTGCCCGGGTCTTTCCTTAATTCGTATCAGTTAGTCACTTTCTTATATCTATGAACAGACTTTAACTTGATTTGCGAAAGTATAACCATCCAATATGGCGGTAAAGTATGAGTTTTAAACTAAAGAAGTTTCCAAACACCAGTGCTGAATTGCCACGGAAGCAAGCCAAAATCACTTTTTTTAAACTCCCTAGGTTGCTGACAGATGAAAACTTGTATCGGACCAGAATATTTTGTGGAACTAATCTGCTGGTTTTTAATCATTCGATGCCGTAAAACTAATTAAATACGAAACAATCGGTTTTCCCTGTAAACGATTTAAATATAGAAGCTGGATATTTTGCTCGACCACGCGTTGGAAAACCAATGGTGCTAACAACATCTAAAAGGTTTAAGATGACGTAAGATCTTTTTTCAGATGACGATACTAATAAAACTGACCACCTTGGTTAAGAAACTATGTCGGGATTAAATTTTAGAGATTCTAGAGCAATGCGTTCAGGTTTTCGACTATTAGATTCAGGAGGTTCCGATTCCTTAACGATAATATAAAGTAGAATGTGAGCTAGTTTTGAGTTAAGCTCCGAGAAAGCGAACAGGATGGTTCGCAGCAAGTTTTTTTTTAAAACAACAAGCGCAGAGGGAATAAAGGAAACAACAATTGCAAAAAAAACACCTGTTATGATAATAGAATCTTCTGCTGGATTAGCGAGGAATTTTCCATTTTTTGACGATTATTATGATCGATGACTTTTTTATCAGCACAAATCGATTAAATCAAAACAAGAACACTACGTCAAACTACCATAACTTTATTTACTTACGGCTTGTATATTTAGAAAAAAACTCTTATTGACGTCATCAAAAATTATTAGAATTGCTTATCCAAGGACATCTATTAGCAAACGTCACACCCAAGTCAAAATCATTTTTATTAATTAACCAATTGAAATAAACTTAACAATAACAAATAGAAGTAAATAAAATTAAGAGTTTCGTTATATAATTATATAAAATATAAAGTATTCTTTAGGTATTTCAAAGCAATATTAAAATGTTTACAAACAAAGTACTTGTGAACGTTACGAGTCAGACGCGAAAGCTATTCAATGTCAGCATTATCGGAATTACAAATTTTTAATGCGTAACTCCTTATCGGCTAATTCAATTATCAATCAAAGTGAATGAAAGAAAGTATTTTTTTTCCAACATATACGTACGTAAACGTACTCAAGAAGTGGTCGCTTGTCATTTTTTTTTGTCTAAATTGACAGGTAATTTTGTCGGATTGCTAAGATGGCCGCCATCTCAAACTTTTAAGAAAGCCGCCAAGTACCAGAGCTCGAGGAAAATTTTTTCATTTTTTTTTTCTAATAAGAGTTAATAAAATTTTTTTGAATCATACAGGGTCATTAATAAATATTTGAGTATAATCTGTCTCAATCTTTATAGTATTGGTATTAGTATTTGGTAATAATATCATTTTTTTGTTTATTTGTATTATTTATAATAGCATTTATGTTCTTTTGTATAGAAATGTAGAAGTCCTGAATTTTTATAATATGCCGTACTGAATTTTTGGAGAAAGACGTAAAACAGTATGCCCTGCTTGTTTAGCCAAAAGTTTTTTTATAACTGAATTGAAAATAAACATTATTTTCTAATATTGATGATATCTAACTTGATGAGGCTGCTTTATCCATGACAATAACACTGTTGTTGGGAATATTTTTTAAAAGATTGTTTTCAAATCAATTTTCAAAAAGTTCGGCAGACAACAGCAAGCACTATGGGACAAATACGTCTTCTGATCCAGCGTGTATTATGGTGATACCTTTTCGTTTATTTGAAGGTACATTCGTCTGACAGTTTGGAGGTAAATTATGGTTATTTTGCCTAAACAATATCTTTTAATTAGTGGTAGGTAATTAAATCTCCAAGTAAGTAATCTGTGTGATTCCATTACTACTTGCCATTTGTCTATTTTGCAGTACTATGGAGGGTGACACGGCTTATATTTATATTGGTTTCATCTTCTGGCTTCTTTTTAAGTTTAGCCAACATCGCTTTGATAAAAAAAATATATGTTCCCTTTTATTAGGTCCTGATCAGTTTATTTTTCTTTGTTTAACATCAAAAGACAAATGAATTCTAATAATATAGATAAAGGTACGTCATAAGAATAGAGATAAATATTTATTCTTCTTCCTGTTTTCCAACACTTTAAAATGTGGAAACCGTGGAATGAAGCAGATGTTACCGTGTTAGAAGAAGACAAGGAAAACAACGCAGAATTTGAAGATAACGTGAAGATGGCAGAAGACGAACTACCTCAGCAAATAAAAAAACGGATCAGCAATAAAAACAGGGGCAGCAATAAAAACAAGACATGGTAGCCAAAAATATCAGTACAAAGCTGACCAAGCTGTGAAAAACGAGTAATAAACGAAAAAAATATTTATCGAAAACGATTAATAGCGGAGTTGATCATTGAACTAGGTGACGACTGTAGCGACTGATACTTTATTATTATTATATTTAATATTTTATATATTAGTAATGATACTATGTAGAAATATAGTAAAATAGCATGTAATATATTGTTACTATGTAGTAGTAGATTTTTGACCTGGCCATAAGATATAAAAAGTTCCAATGAGAATCTATTTACCGATTTTCCGCCATATTTCCGGAAGTAACAAAAATAGCTTCAATTTCAAAACTTTTCTAATGGTGAGAGCATTCATACAAATATATTTCCTGTAATTAATTTTCTCCGAATAAATATTATTTATTTCTCTATTTACTATATTTATTATTATGAATTGTGATAGTTTTTCTCCTTAACCTCCCCCCCCCCTTTTTACCTGGTAAACGTAGTCCCGTGGAGAGTACGAAGTAAAGCAGGAACACTATAATCCCTCGCTTCATCGTATCACTGCGTGCCGGCGTCCGGCGTCGCGACGTCCAAATCTGAAACGACATTGGAAAAAATCGCAATTTCGTCGGCGGAAATCATCAATAACGTCAAAGTGATGAAAGTTTTATTAGGCTCCGGCGATCGATCCGGTAATTATCAACTTCCCGGAACTCGTGACCACTTTCACCAACTAGTTTTTACTAATACACAAATAATAATTAATAATTTTCCTGAGTATTTTTCAATTTTTTAAAATAATATTAGCTTTTTATATTAATTTTATTAATATTTATTTATTGTTTATTATATTTTTTTATATTATTTTTTATACGCCATTATATATTAAAAATGTTTAACCACAATTACTACGTCGACATTATTATCATCCTTGTTATTATTAATAATTATTATATTTATTATTATTATTACCATTATTTTTATTATTACATAGTTAATCTGTCAAAATTGAATCTGTTTTTTTTTTTAAATCGAAAAGTCATTAGCGCGAAGTAATTTTACCAGCTCGCGGACGCCACTGATGTGAATAATTTCATTTAAAATGCGCGGAAAGGGGAACGGGGCTGGCTCTTGCCGGAGGTTGTGGGTTCTACTCCCACCGGGAGGAGTCTTGGGTGTCATTGTGTTTGTCCGGACTAAAAAACTAATGTACTGGAAAAGAGCAGCGCCAAAAAAACGCACTAATGACCCCTATGACGACAACCAAAAATAAAAACCCCTCTATCTTGCAGAGATTTTGGAGTCATAATAATAGTAATATTTGTTTATTTTTGCATTTCGTATTTACGTTTATCGGTTAGCAGTAAACCAAAAGCACAGCCCAAAAACAAGGAAGAAACATCCATATTACAACGACATTGTAGAAAAGATGAAAAGATGTTGGAGATATTTTGGATTTAATGATGGTAGATTACTGCTGGTCATTAAAAAGAAAGCGGATATCGAAGAAGTTTAGTAAATGGATTTAACTGTGGGCTGAGACTTCGTTATTTAATTTAAATTTTTTAATCAAATTTCAATCAACTTTTAGAAGTTCGGAAATAGAAATTCTGCGATAACATTGGTGCTTGTCGATACATCGCATTACAAAAACTCAGAACCCGCTGCGTTTTGAAGTACGTAGAAATGAAGCGAGGTCAGCGAAAAAAAAATTAGACGCAAAAAAACAAAGTTCCTCCCGTGTTTTGGGGAGACACAGACTGCGGAGCACTTGAGGCGATATCTCCCTGGCTCCGATATCGTTTCAACAAACACCATCACAATCACATAATCTAAAATTATCCGATAAGGCCGCTTAACTTGCCATTTTTGTAAAATTAAATGCGAATATGTTTTCATATGTTTTTATATGACATATGTTTGAGCGTTCCAGATTTCATTTCCGACCGACCGACTTGCGAGCGCAGCGGTGCCGCACTTTTGTTTGGTCTCGGAAGGATACAGATGAACGACGTGTTTTGTTGCGCTGTTTATATGTCGAAATGATTTGTTTGCAATAATAATTGAAATTGATAGGGGAAATTACCGATATTTCCCGAGATTATTTTATTACCCCAATGTAATTAAATCGATTGTAATCAATGCCGATGAGTAAAGCGATAACGTGGTAGGTAAAAATGTAAATGAATAAGTAAAATATATTTATAAACCGGAGGATTTCCCGAAGTACGACGAACTTTGCACGACTAGAAAAGACAAAAAAAAAGAACTCGTAAAACCATATACACTCATAAACGTTCCCAATGGCGTATTAAAAATATTAGTAGCTGTTAATCTTTAGTGTCTAACGATATTTGCAATATGTCTAACTGAAGCTCTAGTGAGTGACCATTCATCATTACTTTGTTTAATAAACATTGTATAATATATTTTTTCTACTCCCGTCTGTAAAATACCCAATTACCCACCGATCTAGCGTGCGGGAAGCGTCACTTTCCACGACATTTTCGTTTCCCACAATACCGAGCCACCGCACGGATTTGGGAGCAATCGGATATTTTCATTTTCGTACTGGTTAACTGCTTTCTTAAACTCAGCAAAGTTTTCATATTTTTTTTACTCAGCAAACAGCCTTTTTATTACTTTCAAAATTCTCTCCATAATATACGACATTTTCGGTAGGTTTTGAAAAAAGGAACTTTTACATTTTTTTGCGGAAAAGGGTTCTTTGGAAAAACACGTTTTTTATTTGAAGTGGTTAATATTTATTATTATAATACATTATTATAATATAAAAATAATTTTTTGTTTTATTGGGTTTGGAATTTAACACTGTATCGTATCATACACAGGGTCTTTCACGGTGAGTGCCCTATTAGACTTTTATAGAAAATCACTTAAGGTAAAAACCAAAAATGTGATACAATATGAACTACCTATGTAAAATGATTTTTTATATCAATTTTCGTTTTTTAAATGGAACATCCTGTATATTATTATTACATTTTCAGATTCTGTGAAACATTCTGCAACTGTTTTATGTAAAATTTATTGAACATTTTCGGCCATAAAAAATACATTTGAAGAAATTTGGCAACAAAATGCAATATATTTTCTTTGTAGTTCCCTATTAAATTGCTTCATCATAATATAGTATGAGAATTAACTTATCGCGTATAGGGCGTTCATCAGATAAAGCCCAATTAGCAATAAATAAAAATAACTGACATGTCTAGATGCATTCGTATTTATCATTCTATCGCATTTTCATAGTTAAAACCATTTGTTTGAGGAAGCAAGATGGCACATAATTATGCAAACGCAGATACTTTGAATTTGTTTTGAATTTATGGTGAGTAACTTCAAAAACCTAGAAAACAAGAAAAACGATTCCAATATGCATTTGGTTTCAACGTGTTTTTTGTTTGATTTTTGATGATGTTGAGATTTGAACGAGGAAAGATATCTGAATATTTTACGTAGTTACATCGTTGCTACCAACTTACATAGAGTAAAAACTTACAGTCATGTTTGAAAAACGATGAATGAGGCGTCTAGGTCCATAAAATTGGACACCACGGGATGCTATTGAAGGAAGGGTGTATAAAACTATAGTTGGAACAATAAAAGATTTGGAACGACGTGTCAGACAGGCTCTTCAACAACTTAATCCGAACGAAATTCAAAGGGAAACAGTTTCCAATCTTGTGAAGTCAATGTCTGCATATCTTAGAGCATTTTAATCATTATATCTGTTGTATGTAATTAAAAACAATTTAAAACCGTTAATTATTATTCGACATTAGTTTTGTGTATAGCAGTTTCTAGGAATTAACGGAATATTAATCATATTTATGTCTAAGACAAATTTGTTTACAAAAAATGTCGCCATGGCCGCCCAGAGCCTGCTACCGAGATGAAATGTGATTAATCTAACGTAACATTAAGCCTTTTGAGTAACCCAACAAAATAAGCTCAGTCGTTTTGCTCATATCACTCTCTAAATGATCTTTAATTTGTTGGTTCATTATTTTTTCCAGAACTTTTGAAAATACGGGTAAGATGCTTATAGGTCTTAATTCGTCGAGTAAGGACCTTAGAAATTTTCCCAGTCTTAGGAAATACGGATCTGATAATGCAGCTATTGATTATATTCATGATAAAGGGAAGTATTCGATCATGACACAGAAGTATTATTTCGAAGTTCAATTTATCGCAAGGGAATATGTCTCTTGACGTCGTTTCTATTCTGTTACTGTATATATAGAACTATGAATTTCATAATACATGAATATCCATTTACAAAAGTTTTCTACTCAATTGTGCAAATTTCTTAAAAAGTATTTCTTATCTTCGAAAATGTTCAATATAGGTACATAAAACAAACATAAAATTGTTGCCTGCACAGAAATACACAGTTTTTGTTAGTGCAGGTTACGTCGTTGCAGGTGCCGAAACTGCACTGCGCCTAAGTACCACTTAGTACCGCCTTAAATTTCTTACTTACGTATTATCACCGCTACCTAGGCACAGCACAGCCGGAAACTTAACCTCACAACACAAACGACAATTACGAGCCATCATTTTCAGTTTTACCTCTTATACCGTTTAGCTTCAGATACGGTTCTGATAAAAAACCCCCACCACTCCACTCGGGTTGAACGTTACTTTGTCGAGACCGAAAAAGTCCCGCGCAATCCAAAAATGGCGGCACTTCGAGGCGAAATGTTCGATTCTGCCGCCAGAATTTTTGAATGTGAAAACGATGAAAATTTTAAATGTTGTTTTTACTGAATTACCTAAAGTAAACCGAGCCATCTGTGAATTTAAAGCTGAACCTGTCTTATATGGGACACGCTATTTCTTTCATAGTTTTATATACCATCGGCATATTGAGCTTGAAGTAAGAAATAAATATAATAATTGACGATTTAAGGATATAGTAGTAAATATACTTTAAAATGCATATTAAAAAACATTTCACAAAATAATTTAAAGTATGTGTGATAAGCGTATTCTATTAAATCAATTGGTTTATTTGTTTTTGATATTCCATTTTTAAACAATGTTATAGTCGTATCGATAAAATCTATATTGTTCTGTTATTCTATATTAAACAGTCTTTGCACTCAAATGAAAAGCGCCTGTTTTTTTTGCAACTAAAAAAATCACAACACACTTGTCACTTTTGTTATTATTAATTATAATTAATTATTAATGTAAATGTGAAAGTATAGAAACTGGATTTGGAACGACAAACGGTCGATTTGCAAAAGATTTTTTAGTGGAAAAGATTATTTCAAAACTCGTTTGACGTGACAGTTCGATAAAGCCAAAAGTGAGGCAGTCTAATAGAAAATATATACAAAAGAAATAAAATAGAAGCAAGAGTAAATTCAGAGCTAACTGAGCCCATAGAACAAAACAAACAAAAACTAAAAGATCAGATTTTCACGAAATTATATATTATGACATGACAATTGTTTCGACAACACCGTGTCTTTATCAAATGTTCAGTTTTTTACGAAATTTCGTGAAAATCTGAACTTTTAGTTCTTATTTATTTTGATCAATGGATTTTCATCAAGTAAAATCCTCCTCGGTTCAAGATCGGAAACATCTAACACTCAGAAATGCCTGCAAACAAATGAAACGAAAATAGCAAGGAAAAGACTCTGGGATAGAGATACAACTGAAAACACAAGACACATATGTGGAATTGAAAACATTAACACCTAGACAAGAAACAGAAAGCAAGAATGGAATCGAAATATAGATAGGATGTCTGAACAACGGATAGTGAGGATAGCAAGAGATAAAAATTACATTGAAGTAAAACAGACAGAAGTGCCTAATATAGAAGAAGAAGAAGAATTAGAAAACACAATTTTAATTGATAAATTTAATTTATTTTTAATCGGGAGGAGATCGTTTTTTTTTGTATAGTACTTTTCAAAAAAAATCCCTTTTTCAGAAATCCGTTTACGTGATCATATTCTTCGGAAAAAATAATTTTCCAAAAAAATAATTCTTTTCTTATTTTAAAAAACCATAGAACATTTTTATAAGCAATAGTAGGTAGGTATACATTTAAATTATTTTTGACAAAATAATTTAAACTCTTTATTTGTTTTTGATATTCCACCGTTAAACAATAAAATCTATATTGTCCTTAAAAAGGGCATGGTTTATATTACAGTTTTTGCACTCAAATAAACATCGCCTATTTTTTTTTGCAAAAAAAAACCACATAACAAACAACGTTGGGAATTTTTGTTACGAGCCTTACATTATTCATCGATATAGCGTAAATAATATTCCGGATGATAAATGTTTATGTGGAAGTGTATAAAATAAATTTGCAACAGATTTTTTAGTGTAAAAGATTATTTTAACACTCATTTAACGTGACAGTGCGGTAAAGCCAAAAGTGAGCCAATTTTTTTTTGTTTATGTTTATTTGCACCATATTCCGCCGTATTCAATATTTCCGTTTTTAGATATGGTTCACAAAACAGCTTTAAATGATGACCTAAAGTATCTAAGTACATTTTAAAGAATTTTTCTACTTAATCGACTTTTCATTTTTGCATAAAGAATAAACTTAATTAAGCTATCAACTGACTTTTAAAAATTTTCTTTAACAATTACCTTTCTAAATGGCCGTTATACCATCTCTGTACTCAAATGAACGACGCCTCTTTTTTGCAAATATTTATAGTAGCCAGGTCCGGAGCCTCCGTTTAGAATTTAGGAAGAGCGCCGAGTTACCCGAATGTCCAAAATCTACGGAGGTGCCGGCGAAACAGCTTACTACCGCGCTGATGTGTTGCAGACACTACTAAAAATAACATTAAACTAGCGTCTTACCCGAGAGATTAATTGGATTTTATCCGTCTGATGATCGATACTCAAGCTACCGATAACGGTAGTTTTCTAATTGTCGACTAGCGATTTCGAAACAAAATGGCCGACGCGGTTTGGGAAATCGATAAAAATTTATAGAATTAAATCTTCCGATAGTCGTTGTTTATGAATAATTATAAATTTTTGGTTGTTTTGGACAAGACCAAGTTTTTCAATAATAGAGAATTCATTGCATTTCATTGCTACGTCCCTTTTAATGTAGGGTTCCTCTTATTTTGTCTGCTTATGGGAATTGTCCGTTTACAGAAGAGAGTACTAAGGACTTCATAAAAATAAATGCGTATCTATGAATATAAAACTTTTATTACGTTTTTTTGCTGTTTAATTTATATTCATTCAAATGTTATATATTTTTTACTTTACTGGTATGTATAATTGTTTCAGAAACAACTATGCAGTAAAAGTATTTCAAATTAATATAATAAAAATTAATAATGCTATCTGAACTAAAAAGACAAAATGTAAAGAGCAGAGCAAAACTCTCATGCAAAAAAATGGGGAATCACCTAATATAAAAGGGGAATCACTTAATTATTTATAGCCAATTTCAATTCAATTGGGAAAGACAGTTGCATTTGCACTTGTTTCAAAATCTAAAACACTGTTTTATAACTTCTGTAGATGTTGGACGAATTTTTTCAATATTAAAACATATATTTACAAATAAAAGAAATTTGGATAAACACTTAGTTATCAATTGTTTTTATAAAATTTACGAATTGTACGTTGCGTAAGTCACTATTATCTGAATGTATCGATGGTATTGTCGAATTATTTATTGCTTAAAAAAATTATATTTATTTATGTATCTGTGTGTATCTATTAATAAAAATCTTTTGTAACGTTTTTTTTATTCATTAATATTTATTCAAATAGATATAGATCTAGAAGGGAAATAAGATCTGTAAGTTCGAGAATATGTTTTATGTTATATATTTTTTAATTTACTGGTATGGTGTAATTGCTTCAGAAATAACTATACAATAATATTGAAAATATTGAATAAATATTGAAAATTATGACTGCAACCGAATGTATAAGTGGTTCTAATTTCAAAAAAAAAATAGGAAAATGGTATTTTATTTTTAATGATTTGAGACGGTACTTGAAGATTTAAAAAGACTACAACTTTTTTATCATAGTAGCACTCTTTCGATATTTATTTATTTATTTATTTATTTATTTATTACAAAGGTGCCCTAACATGAAGAACTAACTTCACAATTTACAAGGACACACTAACAATTATACCATTATTTAATTAACAAAGTAAAACTTATATACGTACGTACCTACCTATATCTACGATAAGCAGAAGACAAAAAAAAATAATAATAATAACAATCAAACTTACCAAACTAAACCAAAAACTAACACTGTATATTAAGTGCGTGAATTACAAAAAACAAATGTGAAAAAAATAAGGAAAACAAATCAAAAATTAAAATAAATTTATAGAAAAACCCTAATTGCTTGATTTCGAAACGAATTAAGTGATAACGCAAAGATGTCAATGTGCGAAAAATAATTATTGTAATGTCTATGTAAAAGAGATATTGGGGAATTGTTACCTAAGTTTGTATTAAATCTAGGCACGTAAAATAACGAAGGAGTTCTTGTTATAACGACTCTGGCATTGAAGGATAGTTTTTCCAACAGTAAAGGACAGTCAATCCTACTGTTAATAATATTATGCAACAATATTGCACTGGAGATAACTTCAGTATATGGTAGAAATTAACACTAGCTTCATACGAATGAGTTAGTAAGTTACGGTTAAATCTAAAATTTAAATGGAAAACAAACTTTTTTTGTATTCTCTCGATTCTGTCTATATATTTATGATACTGAGGACTCCATATCACACCGCCATAGTCAAGGTGAGATCGAACGTAGGAATTGTATAGAATAATAAGCGATTTGTGATCCTGAAATTCCTTGCTAACTTTTAATATAAAACCTAAATTTTTATAAGCTTTTTTTACTATATTCTCAATGTGGATATCAAAACTTAATTTTACATCTATAGTTATTCCAAGATCCCTAATCTGCTCTACTTTTTTTATTTTTACACCATTGAATGTGTAGTCAAAGTTTATATCATTTATCCGCCTGCTGAACTTACATTTATCAATATTTAAAAATAGATGATTTTTTACACAGTATTCATAAAAACGATCAAGATCTTCTTGAAACTTATGACAGTCGTTAAGGCTTTTCACGGGCCCGTATGATTTCTGATCATCTGCGTATGATGCTGATTTAGCAAAAAGAAAACATTTACTGACATCTGCGATAAACAGTGAAAATAACAATGGTCCCAAATGGGACCCTTGAGGAATTCCAGATGTGATGCGGGTCGTTTGGGATTTTGCAGAATTCAATTCTACAAACTGAGTCCGAGGACTGATGTAGGATTGAAGAATTTTATAAAGATAAGTCGTAACTATTAATTCTCAAAAAAATTTTGCACAATCTTTTGAAATAACGGTACTTTACTCTTGTGCAATTCTTGTATTTTTTGTCCTATGCTGTTTGACAGAAACCTACGTCGTATAAAATAATGTCTGAAATGAAACAGGATGATAAGGATGTAAATGGCTGTGCTATCCAACAAACTTTCCCTATATGTCCAAGCAAACAGGAAAAACAGCCCGCAACTGAAGAGTTTACACGATAAATTTGTTATAAGCTCAAATAGTAATATTTGCATTAAACTTTAACATACCCAGTGCAAAAATATATAACATACTGCAAAACTTAAAATGCTGGAGCAATCAAGACCGACCAATTCAAAACACAGATTAAAATCAAAGTGAAAATATTACAGCTACAGCACAAGAAACAGAAAACAACTTCTGGAGGCTTTCCAATATAAAGATATAGTTAAGATTACAGTAAGATGCCACAAACTTCCTAAGTAAAGAGTGCAATACAGAAAAACGTTTCAGGTACCCTAAAGACTATATAAGAAGAAACAAAATATAAACTTTAATTGAAATGTATATATGACAGTCTGTTATCTATTTATTTCTGTATTTGTATGTCTTTTTTATGACAGTTACTTTGAACTGTTTAGGGGGAAGGTCGGCTCTAGTCGGCATAGTTTATAATGTTCTACCTGCCGTTGAAATTAGTGAAGCATTGTTTTTGAACACCCTGTACTATGTCAGTAATAATCCGAACACTTCAGTTGCCTTTCCTTTTATTTTGCCAATTTTTTGTCTATTGTCATTCGCTGCCGTAACTATAATCCCAGATCTTATCGTCTTGAAGTACTTTCGCAAGTTTGAATTTACGCAATCATTGACGTCATCCTCGATGATTTCAAAACAAACCGCTTGGCTCAAGAACAGTTTCCGTCATTCCTCTGATTTTGGCGTTTAAGATCGATCCCCTGTTGTTGTTTATTTTATTGAATAAAAATATATTTGCAAACAAAGTTTGAAGACTACAAACATCATAAAACTAAACTCCAAGCTTCTATTCTATGATTCTGTCATTCATGGGGTGTTACGAGCTAACACTGACAAATTATCAGTGGTACTGCAGTTGCAACAATTTGGGTTGTGGTTGAAGTTTGGAGAAAAGTTGCCCCTAAATGGAAGATCGCCTCCAGTAGTCTGAAGTAAATCTGCGGCAAACCAATCAAGAAGCATCTTTGTTGCAATCACTGCAGCAGTATTCTTGTGCCTTGCTTCATCAATATCCAGAAGCACCTCAAGATGAACAAAAGGCTCATTAGGAAGATTTCATTTTTATTTTTCCTTACCTGCCATCTTAATTTATCAGCAAAAATCTGGAACTGAAGTGGGACGATATTTCTTTAGCTGACTAAGAGAATTTTTTCAATATAGCTGTTATATTAGAGCCTCTAGGTCTACCTGGGGGAGTTTCTCCGGATATCAGTATCAGTATCAGAGGAAACATTAACAAATTTAAAAACATTTTATTCTAACCTATTTCGTGTTACTTGTCTGGAACATGGTATCAATATGGTGGCAGGATGTATAAGAGACGAGTTCAATAAATCAAATAGAAAAAGTATTTCTAAATGCACCTTCACTTACTCAAAGTATCAGTAAAACTCGCTGGTGAACTTGGTTAGCCGCTGCTGTAGTTTGAACTTTGAACTAGTTTCCAGCAAGAACTGGAAATGGGAAGATGCATGCTCAGACATTTTAGCTGAATAAGAGCTTAAAATGTGGGTAGTTTCCAATATAGCTGTTTTCTGTGTGACGAGGAGTTTGTCAAGTTATTCATGACACGGATGACATTCTCATCGGAATGGAGGCATCAATAGATCTTGACCATCTTGATTAGGTAGGTAGGTAGGGCTCATGCTGCCGCTATCTTTGAGCCAGCTTGAGTAGCTCAAAGTGTATTACAGAGGAGATTTTTCTATGTTTGGATGTTTCTATTCTCTGTTCCCCATATTTTGTTCTTAGAGCTTGACCTTGGACAGCAAAAATTCCATTGTCCACTTTTTTTAAATCAACAGCAAAATATCTGAGCAAACCGGAATCTTTCCGGGGGCCCGGAGCGCCCTGAACATTTCCGGAAGAAGTTCGTTTTTAAAGACCATTAATTTTACTTAGCCGCCCCCAAAATTTATCAGATTGGCATTGAATAACGACTCCTACTTAATTGCGAAATTGGTTTACAATGGTTTGTATTGTACAGTCGCACGGAATCCTGTCGCGTCCCCCCGCCCGCGGCTCGCTCTTTCCCGCCGCCACCAGCCGATAACACGACTTTCACTTGCCATGTCAGAAGGGGGCGGGCGCTGTTGCCAATAATACTAATAATAGTAATACATGTTTATTCAGTAGCTAACTATAATTATAAGTTAAAAATAATGCCACACATTCAAAGCAAATAAGTCGCACTTAAGTTCTGCGGAATCACATTTCGATAAAATAATAAATATATATAATAGAATAATTTTTTAAAAACAAAATGATGTTACTTTTAATTTGACACTTCTTAGACTTTTTATTTTTGATATCCTCTATCTTTTTCTGTTATTTATTCTTATTTTTTGTTTGCAATATTTTGTCCTTATCATTTAATAAGTTATAATTTTTTTGAGATGTTTTGCAAATACAAAAAGTATTAAAGATTATTAAGACGCATAATTTGAAGTCATTTTATAGTATACAGGGTGGCTCAAATTTGTTTTCTATTCCTTTTTCAAATTATTCAACTTTATTATTAATAAAACATACATACCTAAAAAGAAAATATGCTAGGGCTAATCTTTTTGAAGGTAGGTCACTCATATTTGATTAATCGGATATGACGTAACATATATGTGCAACGGAATTTGCATTAGATGCTACAGGGTGTTCAAAATACACAAAAAATTCGCCCAAAAATAATAAATCCCCCAGAGGAGGGGGTCGAACATTCACAATTACATTTCTCAAAATTCAAAAGTTTCAGATTTTCAAAAAACTAGATTAAATTTATCAGTCACAACCTGTGTAACCCTCTCATTTACCCGAAACTCACTTATTGCCAACTTAAAACTAAAAATTCTGTTACAAAAAATAAAAATCGCAATTTTAATTTTCTATTTAACGTAACAATTTAATTCTGTATAATTCGTATCATTATATATATTATTTATCATATAATAAAGTTTGAAATTGTTATTTAAATTTACTCATATATCCCGATTTTTAAATTTTGAAAGATAAAGAAATGCACCCTGTAATGAAGAGTAATTTCGTATTTTGAAAGAGGATTTTATGAAATATTTTTGCATAATCTGCAGTACTTCTCCCCATCCCAAAATTCCTACACCGAAATAACAATTGTGCTTACTCAAATTGTTTCTAAAACATAATATGCAGAGTATATCTCATTAAATACAATTCAACTAGAATTAAAGTGCCTTCTAGGGGCACAAAATTATAGCGTAACTAAATTTTCAAATAATTATCACCTATTTTTTTGTTTAAAATTAGGTCGACTACATTTTTTTTTCCAAACATAGGGTAATAACTATATGGTTAAACAATAAAAAAAAGAGACGGCAACACCGCGGCCAAACGGTGCATCTCCTTGGTGCCTCCACGCGACAGTTACGAAGGCCTAAATACCTTTCCGGGTCAGAGGGGAGATCTATAAAAAAACTGTTGCATTTGCAATATAGCGGTTCAGTTTGGAATTGGAAAAGGTCGTGTTCAATCCTCGAACGTGTTGGTCAATTATCACGTGATCGTGGCTTGCTTTTGTGATATGCAGTGGTGCGGGAAAAACCGTATTTGATAAATCAACTAGGGGTAGGTCGCTGGGGTACTTTACTGTACAAGGGTGAGGACTTTCATGGTATTTTAGAACATTCCAGGGTAATTTGGGAAATTTCAGGGAATGAACGTCTTGTGGAATTTAGGGAGTTTAATTTCAAGGGATTGTTATAAAACTGTTGTACATTTGAGAGATTTTAAGGGATTTTTGGGGAATTTCGGATATCGGGGGAAAATTTTAAAGGATTTCGAAAAATTTCAAGGTGCTGTTAGGTTAATTTCACAGAGTCTCGGGAAATTTTAATATATTTTTAAAGATTTTAGTATATTTAGGGCAATTCATCGAACCTATTGTGACTTCATAATACTCTTCACAATCTCACCAAACCATCTCTATCGCATTCAACTGGCAATGAGAAGGTTTAAGCTGCAAAACGAGATGGCCTTTTGCAATTCTAGCTTGTCCGTTCTTGAAAGACCCTATTTTGAAATAATTTCATATTCAAAGAAAAATACTTAATAAGTTGCCCTTATTACCCTTGGCTGAAATGGAATATTTTCTTTGCAGTCGTTCTACGCCAAGCCAAGCAAGTCCATTATTATTAACGAAGGTTCATTAAGATTGGACAAGAGCTGTTGGCAGAACCGCATTTTAAAGTAAAAAATAAAAAATAATTTCGTTTTTTCATAAAGCATATTACTATTGCGGAAATTTGAGTTTTCGTGGATTTAAAACTAAAGGTGTTTATTTCTGCTCATATGTTAGAATGCGTCCATTTTCCCGTAAAAAAGAAATATAAATCGCCTTTCAACATTTTCAGTGTTTATTGAATCATGGAAGTCGCCCGATTTACGCATACTCCGCAAATCCATTTTTAGAGCAAGCAAGGTAAAACTATATAGCGAACTCGATCATATTTTTTTGGATCTGTTTGTAGAGCTTTTTCTAGACGCTCCTTTACTAAAATTCAAGTCTCGTCCAAAAATACTAGATCGAGTGAAAAACTATAATGTATTCTCTCAAAAATGTCAGTCGTTTATGAGCTGGTTGTTCAATCAGATATTTCCGGCTGAAATACTGCATTTTCTTAAACAATGTTTCAATCTTTTTAATCCATCAATTAATGAACCATTTGAAATATACCATCAATTTCGTGTAATTTTTTTCGTAGCGATTCCACTGTGACATGTTCTCCTATAATGGTGGGAAAGTGATTATTCAAAGAATGAATTTTTTCAAAGGATCAAGAAAGTTTTTTTTTAATTTAAAAATGTTAAACTAGACAGGGACTTCCAAATTTGTACCGACGAGGGCGGCAAGCGGCTCCAGTGCGATACGCAATAAATTTCAACATAAACATCGATTTATTTTGTTTATCTGCGGTTCTAGGCTCGACGCTTGACATTTCCGCCGTCACGTGATGTCGATCCGATCGACAAGACGCGTCGATGCCATCCGCTGACGTTTCGCCTGACAGCGATGACGTCGGTCGGCGTCACGCGTCGGACAATGGAGAAAGAGGTTTCGACCAACTGCGGGAAGATCTCGGGGTTGGTGTCCAGCGCTCCCGCTACCCCGAAACAGACGGAACCCACCCCCGACGTCCCGCAAGACAGGTGCGCCCGTAGGTCGAAGACGTGCCTGGAGTCGAAGTACCGGTGCGCTATCACCAGCGAGAGGTTGGTGCAGTTGAGGAAAACAGTAGAAAGCGCCGCCAAAGACCACAAGGTGTTCTCGATCAGAGGTATACCTTATTTCCCCTGATAATGAGTACATTCTCTCCTCTCCTTTAATGATGGTTCGCCAGTACTACTTACTCAATAGCTTGACCAAACTTCCATAGGCTCTGCTATATCTTCTTTCGCGTATTTCTTTAAACTCTGTTCGTACAAATTTGGACCGTGTAATAGTTCCTTATTTCAGTCGGTGTTGTTTCCTCCAGGATGAAGTTGGAGTCTTCTGTATGCGTCTCGAATGGTAGCTTGCGTTATCCACGACAACTAGTCTTACAACATTTTAGGATGGTGGAATTCACTCCGTTTCTGAACTTGGAGAAAACTGATCATTTCAAGGTTCCACAAACGTCCAAAACACAAATTGACGAACATTTGTACTCTCAATGTCTCAATGTACTCTGATGCCTTTCTGTCTCTTTCTGAAATGTTTTTTTTCTTTTAGGCGGATGGCCCATAATCCGCAAAGAGCTCCTCAAGAGGAACTGGATCGAGAAAATCGAACACGGCAACAAGCAGAAGATCCTCAGCGTCGATGACGTCACCAGCAACCTGCCCACTAAACAAGAGTGGGAGTCGCCCACTTCATACGTCGATAAATGCGAGAGGACCGGTAAAATGCTTAGATATTTCCACCCCTCTAACAAACATAACATATTACCGATAGAAAAAGAAACAAATATCTCAACGTATTTCTTTTTCCCAGTATACAAATAAACAATTTTTTGACACTCTCCAACAACTTTCTACCTGCTCTTTCTGGTATAGTTCATATTATGGTGAAAATGAAAGTGGACGGTTTGAACATTATTTCATATTCAAAAATTTTCCTATTTGTTTATGTTTTATTTCCTACAAAATATTGGATTAATACTACCAGGTCATCCATGGAAATGTTACTCATACTGCAATGGATTAGTAATGGGTCAACTATAACCGTAATTTCTTCCCAGTTCAAAATCTAAAATCAGAAGTGATTTAAAGGAAATATATTGTATTTTTCCAGATGCTCTCGAATCTTTCAATTACTTTTTATTTACTTTTATGCTTTCCCTAATAGACATGAATTGTCAATATTAGAGATAAAAATTCGAGCTGACCAGCGCAAAAATCTCCTGATTATTTCAAAAATCCGGGTAGTTCATTATACATTATAACATCCTTAAGTAGGGCCCAGGCATTTTTCCGAAAACATTTCAACGAGCCTTTTTTAATCTTTTTGATTATTAGCTTTTCAAAAATTTTATATTGACCTTCGCAAAATTTAAAACTGCATTGCCCAAATGGTACTGTGCGACTTCTAGACTGTTTTCAATATCAACTTGGTTGAAAATTTTGGATCTCAAGAGTTACGAGTCTCACGTTCAAGCAATTCCTGAGGTGGCATACAGAGTGACTCTAAAGTTAAACGTTCGTTCGTTCCAGTTATGTCCCGCATGTTGTCGTCGTACGACGTCGACTTCTACTGGTCAATGAGGAAGGACGCGTCCGACCTACTCCACAGAAGCAATGCCTACAAGCTGATCAATCGTTTCAGCAGATCCTTATTCGCCTCCAAGGAAGGTCTCGCCCTTCTACTGCAGCAGGCGTACTGGTACGCGGAGGAAGGAGTCGCACAGGTCAACTTCCCGCGTTGCTACGTCCTCGGCTTTCCCGATCACTACAACCTCTTCGTCGACGATTTCCGTACGACCTCGTGCATCGGTTTGCTGAAGTGGTTCGTCGATCGGTACGAAACGGGCGGCCAAATCCAGGGAGCGGACGGTACCGTCGCCCATGCGGCATTGAACTTCGCACTCCAACGTTGCCGAGAGTACGTCGCGAGTCAGAACCACGCGGACATCGATGAGGAGTTTTCCAGGGTGTGGGATCACGAATGGGAACAGTTTTTGACGCAGTTCTATCGCGTCGTCCACCAAAATGAAATTTTGATGGAGTTTAAGGTATACGCATGCGCATTGGGACATTAGTTTCACAACTCGGCGCGTCACGATGGTCACTTGTTTGTCTGTGCTGCTAAATATTTAAATACTTAGTGACCATGCTATTATACAAGTTCATTTGACAATTAGGTACCGCTTTGGATTCATCCAAGACTTGAACATCGAAGAAAATGTTCAACAAAAACAAATTTATACAGGATGAAACAACGATAAAATTAAGTTCATTATCTGAGTAGTTTCAAAAGTTACGAGAAAATGGTAGATACAAAACTTATAAACATTCAAGGTGGCTAATTTTTTTCAAATTAAATATGTCATTTTATTATTTTATTTTTATTATAGCTTTTTCTTATCTTACAAAAACCGACAATTGTTAAGCTTATTATACACCCATTTTTATTACTTAATTTATTTAACTTTTGCAATATTTACTGTCCTTTCTGTCTAAGACTCTTGTTGGCCAAAATGACATTGTCAATTTTTTTCCTGAGAACGGAACAAATAAATTCATAGAAGTTATAGTGGTGTCAATAAATTAAAAACAAAAAACTAGGGACTGGGTACATTTTCTCAAAACAAGATGACGATCAGAATTGATAAATGTCAAAATTCAAAGCGTGAGAAATTTCCGTGAGGTAAAATCCCGAAAATGTCCGGAGTGGCGCGAAAACTCACTTAGTCCACTACTTGCAGAAATGTGCATGGACAATTTAGAAAATGTCATACATAAACATCCTCTGAGTAAGGGTGGTATAGATACGTAGATGATGTTTTTACTTGTTCTACACATTACATTACATAACCGTATAAAGTGTTCCATTGAAACTGAACTAGAATAAACTAAAATGGCTGCCTTTTAATTTACCACTTTCCACAGAAAATTTTGCAAAAGAATTAAATATAACAATGGTTATGACGCCTCTTTGATAGATAGGATTATAACTAAAAATCAGTTTCAAATAACTGTGAACTCTATCCCATATAAACCATGACAAATTTGTGTGTTTTCTGAATTTTGAATTTTCCTTTCAATCAAATCGCCTATATCCAGTCTTATTCGTTATCCAGGACTCCCTCGCCAATAAATATGCGCAAGTTAAGATGACGCTCAACGAACTAGGCAAGCACTGGCCCCAGTTCGATATAGATGGCATGAAAAACATCTGGATCGTAAAGCCGGGTAACAAGTGTAGGGGCAGAGGTATCCAGTTGATCAAGAGCGTCGCAGAAGTCGACAAATTGATGGGACTCAAGATGAAGTATGTGGTGCAAAAATATATAGGTAGGTTTCCGACAAACGAGGACCAGAGTGTAAGAGTTATATATATATCGAAAACACCGTTTCTTAAAAGAGTCGTAGTTGCTTCCAGAACGTCCGTTCACGATACACAACACGAAGTTCGATATCAGGCAGTGGTTCATGGTGACCAACGTTCAACCGCTGACCATCTGGATGTACAGGTCGGTATCAAACGAGACCGGGACGCTCAAGGTACGTTCCTCCCTTTCAGAGACAGCTACCTGCGATTCAGCGGGCAACTGTTCGACCTGGACAACTTCCACGAATCGCTGCACCTCACCAATTACGCGATCCAGTGCAAATACAGCAACGGGGATCGACGAGATCGAGCCCTACCCGACGACAACATGTGGGACTGTCACTCGTTCAGGGCATACCTCAAACAAATCGGCAGTATGGAGAAATGGCACGAGGTCATATACCCGGGCATGCGGGAGAGCATAGTGTGCACCATGTTGTCCAGCCAAGACACGATGGACCGACGTCCCAACACCTTCGAAATATACGGCGCAGATTTCATGGTGTCTGAGGATTTCCGCCCGTGGCTCTTGGAGATTAATTGCAGCCCTGACCTGTCGTACTCGACGTCGGTCACGAGCAGACTTTGCGCTCAGTGCATGGAGGATATAGTCAAAGGTATAATTTGGGTCGAATTATACCACTAACCGTTATACGGTTTTACCGTTTCCAGTTGTCGTTGATCGCCGAAGAGATCCGAATGCCGACACGGGCTCGTTCGAGCTCGTCTACAAGCAAAATTACCCTAGGACGCCGCCTTACCTCGGCATGAATCTGTCGGTCAGGGGCAGGAGGTTGTTCCGGTGCAGGACGCGTTCGGTAAAGGAACACCAGGAGCGCGAAAAGTCGGAGAACGCGCCGAGGCTCAGGAAAACCGCCGCCAGGCAACCGAAAACCCTGCCGGACATCCCGGCCGCCGAGGTCGCTTACAAAGGTCCGATCATAAAGGATTTGATCGAGGAACTTCACGAAACGGGTGAGCAAAAAGGCGCAGCGACGCGACGGTCGTTGTCGCTTCGTTGTACTTCGCTGCGTCGCCTACTTAAATTACGATAGTCGGTTAGCAACCTAAGTCGCTTTACTACATATTTAATTACTTTGCTAACTTATTTTATTATTATAGGCAATTCGTAAGGGAATTACGCTTGGCAATATTCGCTTTGCCACTTTCGCAATATTGCTTACGGTGATTTTCTTCGTAGGCGATTTTGCAACGTAGCTTCGCCACGTGCTTTGACAATGTCGTTTCGACTCACTCGGTTCGTAAGCGTCGCTTTGCTACTTTGCTTTACAGCACTTCTCCGCTATTTAAATTACAAGAGTCGCTTCGCAACATAAGTTGCTTAAATACATGTTTATCATTTGCTTTTTTATTTTATTGTTGCAGTTATTGTTATTTAGCAATGTTTAAAGAAATTTCAAATAATAAAAATATATCATTACAAGCTCAAGGATTTTTATTTTTTTTAACTTTATTCCGTTTGCTACATGCACTCGAAATTAGAAATTCCATGCCGCTATTTATAACTACGCTACATCTTGAGTTCTCCTCGCCGTGCGATTTTACAATGTCGCTTCGCCAGGAAATTTCGCAATATCGCTGCGGATTATTCACATCGCTACGCAACATAATTCGCTTAAATGCATAGTATTATTTGCTTGTTTATTTTATTATAACATTTATTGTTATTTAGCAATCTTTAAAGAGATGTCCAGCATCTCGATGGTTTTTGTTATTCTACCTTTATTCCATTGCGTTCGTTTCGCAACAAACTTTCGCCCGATTTCATAACATAACTTCGGCATTAGTTTTCACAATCGTACTTCTGCTTATTCGCTTCGTAGGTGTCGCTTCGCCGTGCGATTTCGCAATGTCGCTTCGTTACGAACTTTCGCAATGTCGCTTCGGTTGATTAGCTTCGCCGCGTCAATTCGCAACTTTGTTTTGTTAGTTTCGCAAGGCGGCGAAGCAGATAACGAATCGGCGCGACCCAAACAGCAGCCAACGTCCAGAAAGAAGACACAGAACGCGACGAAAGCGTCGGAACGGGTCACCAGAGGGCACGCTTTTAAACTTAAATTTAATAAGCAGCGTTCCGTGGACAGAAAATCAAACGGGAGGCGAGAGCAAGAGGGGGAACGCACCGGGCAGGGGTGGTTAGGGTCTTGCGTCCCCGCGTCGCATCGATATAATCGGGAGGGATGGGAGAGGGGCACAGCAAGCATCTTGAAGGGTGACGGCGTTTGCGGCGGCGGTTCGGGAACTTACGAAAAACACCCCGGAAAAGGGCTGACATGTTTGAACACGCTTACCTTCGACCTCAACAAGTTACTGCCGCAAATAAACGGATCCGGCCTCGCGAAATGTTGAGAATAATCAGGTTGACGGTGGCGATAGTCAAATAAAAGTGTTATTTCTAAGAGTCTTTTATTTTCGAGGTACAAGGAAATAATGGGCCCGTGTGTAGCTTGGTTTTAGAGATAACAAGGTAAACAAAACAAAGACAATGATGTAACACACACATTTTAGTACACTCGTTTTTGACAAATCGGCATAAATAGGAAATTTATATACAATTTCAAAGAGTGCGCTGACTGACAAATAAAAATATGTTTATGTTATATATTAGACTTTAACCAGATCGCCGAGCTCCTTCAAAACAGATATTTCCAATGCTGGCAAAGAAATTTGCAGAAAATGGGTACTTTAATAAATTCTAAAAAGGTATGCCGAAATCAAAATGTTCTAAATGAAGAAAATAGGCAAATATATTAGGATTCTATGAAGCACATCCAATTTACTCTTTCCTAGAGTAAGTAGAGTGAAGAGATAGATTTTTCTCGGGGATCAATCCACTCAGTTTTGAAAGAACATAAATATAAAGCCTTTAAGTTTCGTAAAACTAACAACTCAAAATCAAAAAGGATGCAGTTTCGCTTGGATTTTTTGAATAGACGTTATGAGACTAATAATTTTTTGAAAAACATTTTATGGACTACACTACAAGAAAGGGTTGTAATAGACAAAATACGCGATATTGATGTTTAAATAATCCTAGACAAATACACGAAATAAAAACCCAGTGGTACCAATCAATTAATATATGGTGTGGTGTCATAGATGGGCATATTTTGGGTCCGACATTTACAGATCACAAGGTAACTGGAGATTATTTTTTTCGACTCTTAGACCGCCAAATAGAACAGTACATAGAAGATTTACCCCTAAATATATTAGCGCTTATTATATGGCAGCAAGAGGGTCAAAAATTTTCTTAACATGGAATATCCCAGGTTTTAGAGAGGGACCGGCGAAATTATGGATAACTTTAATGGTTTTTTTTTGGACCAACAAAAAATGACGCCCACAGAAATTTTAATAACGTCGTGGAACTTCGGCAAAGGGTTTCAGAGACAATCAATTAGTTAAGAGACAATCCGGAAATGTTGCTAAAAGCAAAACATGATATAATTAGACTGTGTGAGAAATGGTGATCACATACAGCAGTATTTGGAATAGTTAAAGAATTTTTTACTTTAGTGGTGTCTTGTCAATTTTAATGTTTTTGTTCTACTTATAATTATAATTATTGTTGTTGCAGTCAGTCACGGCACTCTTTAAAATTGTGTTACATCATTGTAATCGGAGTAAGATATTCCATTAAACAATTATATATGTTCCATTAAAAAATATATGATGTAAACTTGTATGTCAGAAAATTGATAGTGTTTTGTTTTATACGTCACTTCAAAAAAAAACTTGACTACTAACTCTACATGTTGTTTTTGTTTTGTTTTTCTTGATATGTCTAAAAACAAAACAATTAAAATGTTATCAACATAAATTGTACGCACGGTAATTTAAAAAAATACATTTTGCATTAAAGAAGGTTAAAGCCGGAAACCAAAACTATCCTCTGCTTTACCGTTCTCTGGCGGAAGCGACACCAGCGTAGCTTGCGGTTCACCATGAAACTAACCACCCAGGTGTATAACTGGTTGCCTACTAAATTTGTTTCGCACGCGTGACAAAATCGGACAGTTGTCACATCGTTAAGTCGTTTTTGGTGCGAACGGTGCCAAAATTTCAGTATGCGGAGTCTTTAAGTGTACAAAAAGCCCCGAATCGAACATTAAAAGATGGTAAATTAACGTTAATTGCGTAAATCGCGCGCGCATGCGTTCCAATTTCAGGCGAGGTCGACTTCGAAGCCCAAGGATCGTCGAGCCGATGGTACCGGATACGATGAAAACGATTCGCGAAAAACTGTCGCACAGGTGGGGGCATATGACAGAATGGCTTAAAAAATAGGCTTAAGAAAATCTTGGCGAAAGATTTTTTCTAAGCTGGACTGCTGTTGAAATGACCACCTCAATATTATTATTTTAACCTCAAATATGATTTAAACACTTAAGGATTGCAAACGTAGTCAAAATGCGTCTCAAAAAATTCTATTTCCTTTTTTGAGTGTAAGTGTTCTTTTATTAATATTTTAAGTTGGGGTTGACTTTTTATATGAGACATCGTGTACCGAGCACAGCTCGTACTTTCACTAACGGTATTGTTCCCTTCATATTTCGTAAGTCGTATTTGATTGGGAGGGGCTTAGGCTGCTCGGGACATCGTCCACTTGTTGCGCGACATCGAAAGGGGGTTGCGGGTGCGAGCGGAGGTCCAATCCCCCGACACTATAATCAAGAAACTAGAGGAAGAATGCAAGAAGTCCAGAAAGCCACGCGTTGTCGACTGCGACGATCAAAACGGCTCAATCGAGACGGTACAAGATATTAGGACAAAAATCAAGTAAATATGCTATGCCTCCCTTTCTCACACACTCAAAAGCCGTTCCCGCCATCTGACGATGTAACTCGCACAGGGTCCGAACACCGCGATCGACCACCCCCAGATCGCTCTCGAGGGAGAGTTACAATCCATTGGGGGTGCTCAAGGACGAAGTGGAAAGGGCCAAGAGCGAACGCAAAACGTTCACCGTCAAAGGAAATTTCCCCGCGATTCGAAGGGCCCTGTTGACACGCGGATGGGTAGAGAAATACCACCCGAGCTACAGGTCAGCACGCCCACGGTTGCCGATCACATGACGACCGAAACGTTGCGATTTCAGAGCCGCCGAAGCCACAAAGTATCGACACTTCGACGTAAACGAGCTCGTCGCCTTGCTAAGGGACAAGGAGGCAGCGGACGTTTGCAGGAAATTGATCAAATCAAAACTTCTGAGGGACCATCAGGTCTGGTTCACGTATAAAACTTGGAAATTTGATACTGGCGGCGACGTTGCCAGTTTTCGAATCACTTTTTGTGCAGAGTGGTGCAATTGTTAACTGTTTACGACGGCTTCAGTTTGAGTAGAGGAAGGGACCACTGATCACATTGATTGGACAGTCTTCGTTATGTTTTTCGTTCACTAATCGCCAGTAAATCGCCAAACGTAGTATCGGATAGAGTAACTGACATCAATGTTTCCATATAGTCAAATAGTACAGTAGTGTTACAAAAATGACAGTGACTTCCATTTTTGGTTCACTAGTGACCTGTAAATTGCCAATAATAGTTATTGCGTAATTGTGTTTTCGAATCGCCACTAACAATGTTGCCAGTTTTCGTATGACTTTGCGTCCAATAATTGAAAAAATTAGAGTACGAGTAATACTGGTTACAAGACTGACAGATTTGGTATTAATTTACTAATAGTTCAACAAAAGTAGTGGAGAAAATTATTGGTCCCGTAGTTTTCAGTTTTCGAATGATTTTTTCGTTCATTAACCTCCAGCAAATCGTCACGGTCAGTGCATAGAGTCATTAGTAACAATGTTGCCAGTTCTCATTTGACTTCGATCGAATATCGTCAAGATTAGTGAGGTACTATTACTGGTAGCTTAAATATCAGCATCAATTTAGTTTTTCATTCATTGATGACAAGTAATTCGTCAAAACACTGGTGAAACCTAATAGATTGAATGTAGTGATTGGTCCATTAATGACCAGTAAAGCAGTAATTGGGTGGTGTTATAAAACGCGTTTTTGTATAGGTGGACCTTTACTGGGACGCTGGGTTCGACGCCTTCAAGGAATGCTCAGACAGCAAAAAGGTAATTTTTGACGCTACCAAGGAGTTTCTATTCCAAAAAAAAGGTTCCGTCCGTTTTCTCCATTTCAATTTAACTGAACAATTAATCATAATCTTAGTCAAGGAGTATAATTTAACATTTAAGTTGACCTTGATAAACAAAATCCGAAGACATCCGTGCAGCTATACTAGCAAGCAGGGACTCTGGCAGATAATGCGAGACGCTCACTGGTACCATATACCTGGCGCAGCACTGGTCAGACATCCCCGTTCGTATCTGCTCGCGAAAGATGGCGACACCGGCGGCTTCGTCGAAGATTTCCACTTGACAGCCGCGGCTTCGCTACTGAAATGGGCGGTGCTCAACAGCGCCACCAAGCGGTGTAAGCTGGTCAGCGTTTCAGGCAAAATACCGGTCAGTGCAACAACATCCAAAGTATGAGTCATCACATTAAGGCAGCGTTAGTAATATCAGATATATGTGATAGGGGATATCATTTTATTTTACTTTTTTTTTTATTTATATCATGGTTCTGCACGAGGGAATGGTCAAACGTTTAGTGTTTCTGATGAACCTACAGGCGTAAAAGTAAAAGAATATCGCCGACTCTCGTTTCTCTGCCTCAATGTAGAGGACAGTGACGATTCTTCTGTCAAATTCGATAGCGCTTTTGGTAAAACGAAATGTATTATTGTCGCAGATGGAGACATTCGAATTTGCGGTCACCGAGTGCTACAAGCGAGTCAAGAGGTTCAAGCACCAAGACATCGACCAGGAGGTTGCGGAGGCTGCGGAACGCGAGTGGCACGACTTCCTAGTGCACTTTTCCAAGGTCGTCCACGTAGGCAACCACTTTAGAATACCCAACGGTGACGTCGACGCCGACGAAAGTATTTATTGCGTCTACTATTTACAAATCTTTTGGATTCCTTCGGCGTTGATGAATCGAAGTTGCTGACGTTTCGCCAATCATCCTGCTGCTTTCTTCAGAGCACAGCCGACGCAGGAGGAACACCTGGAAGTTGATTTAAAAAAAAAACCTTTCCTTTACCATACCTTTCGAACCGTTCGAGGTGAGAGGTTGAAATTTTTGGTAATTCGCGGTCTCTAAGTGAGTGTTTGTGTTTACTTTCGCCAGTTTTTGCGAAAATCGGGACGATACTGGTACGAAATTACGTGGAGAGAGAAATTTCGAACCGTAGATACAACCCATCGAAACTCAGGGGCGGGAGGGATCGGGAAGAATTTTTAAAAATACGTCGAAAGTGAATTTGCTGTTTCAAAAAAACGCATAATTTTCGAAAACCGTTTGCCCGATCGGAAAATTTTTCAGTAGGCCTTGTCGAGGACTACGAATTGTCTGTTTTAATTCTATTTACAAAACTTCTGGATTCCTTCCGCGTCGGTTTTTGTTAAGTCGAACTTGCTAACGTTTGACCAGTCATCAAGTTCGACTCATCATCAACCGGCGCAGCAGGAATCCAGAAGTTTTGTAAATAGTACTAGAGTAGCCTGTGGAAGAAAAAACGTTTACGCGTGAAGGTGCGATAAAGCCGGAAACACGTTTCAGTCGCGTCTGACATGGTGCAAAAGTCGACGTTCCTGCTGAACGAGCTGCGCAAGTATTCGCAGTCATTGGACGCGGACGGTTTAATGAATATTTGGATCCTGAAGCCGGTGAACGGCAGCAGGGGAGTGGGGATTCACATGTGTCGCACCCTTGATTCGGTCCTGAACGTGACAAAGGCAAACCCGAATCGCAGATACGTCGTCCAAAAATATATAGGTCGATATACCCGGCATCGCCGCTAACTTTGGTCAAAGAATCGTTCTTACATGCAGAAAAACCCCTGCTGGTGCATAACACCAAATTCGATATCCGACAGTGGTTTCTAGTCAGCGCGACCGCCCCGCTGACTATCTGGATGTACAGGGTGTGCTATTTGCGGTTCAGCTCGCAAACGTACGATCTGAGGAAGCTGCACGAATCGATCCACCTTACGAACAATTCAGTTCAGGTCAAGTACGCCCGCGGCACCCATAAGGATCCGATACTACCGTCTTACAATATGTGGGACTCGGAAAAGTTCAAGGTATGGTGGGTCTCAAAATATATCGTCTTCACTTTTGATCACAATCAAACACGTGACCAGTCGGTAGGATAGAAAATCAGGGCGGGACTAAGGTGTTTCAAGGTGCCATAAAATTCACATTAGACTAATAGGAAATACAAAATGTTTCACCCTCAGGGTCGTGATTAAGATTATATCTATGATACTTTTCACAAAACTTTTGAATTCCGCCTGCGTCGACTTTTGTTGACTAACGTTGCTAACGTAACGAGCTTGACTGAAACTGGCTCGCATTTTACTCTGTACCTGCTTATATATGGTTTGAGGGGGGCTGACTGATTAACATATTGGTGACAGGTAGAAACCCGAGTCGCGGTTAAGATTGTTAGTTTGCTTATAGATTTCTATAGACTCTCGGATTTTTCGTTGGTAGAAGAATTGATTACGTGCAAGGATTTTAATTTTATCGAATAAAATTTTATGTCCGGTTTCGTGATTGTGTTCGGCAACAGCTAATGAGTTTATTTATCTTAGTCTTAAGGCTCATGCTCTTGCAGCCCAGTTGATATTTTTCGTCGGGTCTCTCCAATGTATTCTTTGCCACATATGCATAGAATGCTATAAACTCCTGGCATACCAAATGGAATTTTGTCTTTGACGGATCGAAGATGTTGAGAGATTTTTGGACAAGTGGTAAATCTGGTTTTGACGTTATATTTCTTTAGGACTTTTGATATGTGGTCAGTGATGTTTTGAATGTAAGGTGGGATTGCTTTCGGTATCATTGCTATTAGAAGTTTTTGGTGAAGCGTATTTTGTGATGAAACGCTTAATATCTATAAGGTGTGTTCATTTCCTTACATTAGCAAGTTCAACTCAACAAAAGCCGACTTCGGAGAAGTAATTACATTTTAATTAAATTGACTACAGTTGTACTTAAAATATTAGTAACATTTTCGGCTGTCACATTTGATAACTTGCTTTGATATTATGAAGCTGAGCCCATTATATAGTATTTAAATTCCATTTTACAAATCAACATCTCTAACCCCTGTCTTCTTCTTTTTCTTCTTGTCCCTTATAATTACGTATATCTAACCTCCTCCTGAGCTCGTTTTTAAACGCTCCGTATGTTTGGTTCGTTTTTTTGCTCCTTTTACCCATTTCTGAGATGATATTTTCGATCTAGTTCACTGAAGCTCACTCCCTTAATTGCACCTTTGATTTTGAATATAGTAATTCGAAGTATGTTATGAAAATATATTTCGATAGTGGTATAAGGGCAGTCCGTTTTCAAAGTTTGGCAAAATAATTATTAGGATTATTAGGACTTTGGTCATGTCTTCAGATAACAGTCAGGTATGATAAGGTAATCCTATAAATGTAAAGATGCAATATTTAGTTAATTGTAGACATTATACAGCGAAGAAGTATAAGTTATGATTCCAAGAAATGGAAATGAATGATGAATCCGTTCATACTTTAAAACTGAAATCGAAAGCCTTACAAATAAAAGAAAACAACATGAAATAGAGAAAGGGGACCCAAAATCAACGGTATTATCCACAAAATATAAGAAAAATGGAGAGAAATAGTGAAGAAGAACATGAAACAAAAGAGTCTTTTGCCTTTGTTCCAAAAATGTGGAAATGGATTCGGATATGAAAACAGAAAATTTCAAAAAACAAAATTTGTTTCTATTTGGATTGGTCCGAAAACAATCAATAAAATACAAAGGTGACCCAAAAATTCCGCAAGATATATTTGGAAATGTAGTTCTAAATTTCCATTTCATTTGGAAATTTATGTTTGCAAAAAATTTTTTTGGATACTTTCAAAATATCTAACAAAAGATTAGGCTCTGTCTTGAATGCTAAAGGAGGAAGGCCAAGAATATACGAAAACATTGATTTGCTTCCATTATACACAACCATTAGACAAATAACAGAAGGAAAATGTAAAGATATCCCACCAATTTTCCAGAAACGCTTTATTCCCCTAAATACTAAAAAATAAATTAGTTACAATGCAACGAGTTTGAATAAATTGTTAATTTCTAATCAAAATTTTTCCTTGATTCATTAAGTCATTTATAAAGTCAATCATAATAAATACCTATTTTTTGACACTATTTAATTGCCAAAATATTTTATTCCATAATACAAAAATATTTTTTAATCTTTGAGTTTGATTATTATTCAATTAATGGCCAGTAAATCGTCAAAAGTACTGGGGAGGATCACTGGTGAAAGCTAATAGATTGAGTGTAGTGATTGGTCCATTAATGACAAGTAAAGCAACAATTGGGTGATGGGTAATAAAGTTGCAAGTTTTAATTTAAAGGCCCATTAATGGAGAGGAAGTTTCGAGGTTCTGTTGGGAAACGCGTTTTCGTATAGGTGCACGTTTACTGGGACGCTGGGTTTGACGCCTTCAAGGAATGCCCAGACACTAAAAAGGTAATTTTTGACGCTTCCAAGGAGTTTCTATTCAGAAAGAAAAAGGTTCTGTCGGTTTTCTCCGTTTCTATTTAACTGAATAATCAATCAAAAGCTTAATCAAGGACTATAATTTAACCTTTTTTAACCTTTCTTCTTTTTGTTGTTGGTGTTACGGTTCTTGCATATAACCCGTTGATAGTATAATCTTCTGGAATGAGTTGACGAGTTCTTTCTTGACTCCCTTTCTTCCAGTCGTTATTTATATTTTTCCTGGGTTCATTTAGTAATAACAGGTATGAAGTTCGTCGTAGGCCCTCAAAAGAAACACTAACTAACCAAAACACCCAATTCCAGAATTACTTGTCCGACATCGGCTATCCTACCGTCTTCGACCTGGTTATCTACGAGGGCATGAAACAGGGCGTCGTCGCCGCCGTCATGGCGTCTCGCGACAAGCTCGACAAGCGCAAAAACTGTTTCGAATTGTACGGTGCGGATTTCATCCTGACGGAGGATTTTCGACCGTGGCTGCTCGAAATCAACTCGAATCCGGCCCTGCAGGCGTCGACGCCGGTCACAGCCCGCCTCTGTCCCCAGGTCCTAGAGGACGTCATCAAAGGCGAGCCGATTCGATTAAAATATACAAACGCGCGATATAAAAATGTTTTACCGCGGAAAAATGCATCACTTTTTATGAGTGGGTCAACTATATGGATATGCAACGTTGCCAGTTCTTAGAAAAAAGTTGTAGTTTATTTCCTCCAATTTTTTATTAAAACATTTCTCCAATTAAATGTTTATTACGGCCCTGATCGAATTCCTAAAGGTTCGAAATTTTGGCTTTAATTTACGAAGGCTGTACGCGATAGTTTTACGTAGACTAGGTCACTGTGCAGTGCACAGGAGCGCTCAAGTGTCCATGTCAGTTTCAACGTAGGCCCCGAACTAATTTATTCATAACATGACATTGCAGATTATGTTTCGGCAACATTGCTTTCAGATTTCATGTTTGCCTAACTTTTTTATTAAGCTTTAAACTTTAAATGCAGTCAGGTGAATTTGTGAAAAGCCGTAATAAAAGCACATACCGTAAAACGAACCTGTAATGAAAGTATTTAATTTGTTTTTAATATTGCCAATTTGATGCCGCTGTTGACAATTAACTACATCAGAAAAACTATTGAAATTAATAATTTTTGAGCCGTTTCGTTTCCCATTGCCGATGTTTAACTTGCAACTTTTGAATGAATTGAAAGAAGAACCGATAAAAGAAGATATGAGAAATGAAATATAAAATAATGTATTAATACATACGGAACACTTTAATGCAGCGTAGCATAGTTCGGAATTTTCCTGGGAATTACTAGTTTTAACAATCCTTCACACTTAATAATATTATAAAAGCACTATATTTCTGGTCTAAGTATACCTTATTTCTGATCTGGAAGCGCCTTTAGATAACTACTTATATTATTTCAACTCCCAGAAGATTGAGAGAAAATATATGATTTATGTATGACGGGGCTGCCATCACGTATTGCTAATGAAGAAGTAGTGGAGAAGACAATATTTTGGACTTGCGCTTTTCAATATCGTGGTACTTGAAGGATTTCATATACGCTGAAGGAGTGATGCCAGAAAATAACAAGGAGTCGCGAAAACCATTGTCTTGTTGAACATTCAAAGACATTTGAGACTGTGCATTGTAAAGCGTGTTGGGATAGATGGTGGACAATTCCAACATTCGATTGGATTTTTTTTTATTACTTATTAGAAAATGGTTAAATATTGATTTTAAACATTTATTAAAAAACCATAAAAAAATATCTTTAATTTAATTTAATTTAAACATCAATATTTTGGTGTCGAGTGAATCACTCTGTATATTAAATCGCGAAACACCCATATCTTTCAGTGGTCGTAGATCAGGCGACGGGAACGACCGGTAACTTCGAGCTCGTTTACGTCGACAAGGGCGACGTCGTCATTGCAAAAGGCAGGCTGGCGGGGCAGCTGAAGGTCCTGGGGGAACCCCTAGGAGCAGAATATTTTTCCGGAGACCTGAACATCGGACATCCTACGGAAACGACGCCCGACGTGGATCCGTTTCTGGCAGAGACCGGGGCCAAAATCGGAGTAGTTTTGAACCGCCTCCTCGCGATCGTAAAAGCGGAACGGTTAAAGAGGTTAGATTCGGAATTCTCTTCTTTTTTTTTCGGAACATTTCGCCCATTCGAATAGAATTCATATACGCAGAGTCTCAATAAAAGAAATGGAGTTTCTGAAAAGGCCACCAGAGGACGTAATGACTGATTTGATATTATTTTTACGCAACTCTTCTCTGTCAATTTTTTTTCTCTTTGGTGGGGGGGGGGGGTGTTCGAACATTTTCGGAAATAAGTCTAGATTACTCCTTGACAAATCTTTCAGAAACTTGGAATGGGGGCCCCCCTGGGTTTTATGGAATTAACGCATAAAAAATATTTTTTTGTGTTGACATAGGGCGGATCACCAATCTTCTGAGTGTTAAACAGACTGTAGCAAAGTAAAAAAAGAAATAATTAAACTTTAAAATAGAATAATAACGTATATATCCGTTATGTTTTGTCAGACTCCGTTGGGAAAATGGGAAACAAAATGTAAAGTTTGGCAAGCCACGTGCTAAATATAATGTTTAAATATAATTTTTTTTTTTAATATTTAAAAAATTAAAATTATCTGGCACCTCAAATACCTCGAACATGAATAAAAAAAATTAAAAACAAAAGAAACTTAAATTTTGACAAGTATTATAATTAATTGTCTAATTATCCTTAATAATACTAATCACATTTTTTTATCTTTACCTTTCTCACAATACCTTCAAAACCCAGTAAATTGCCAACACTGCCAATCAATAAAATAAATTAAAGCTTAAAAAAACTATATTTTTGAGAACCATTTTCGCTTTGTGTGTTGTTATTAATGTCCATTTATTCCCAATTTCTCAAATATCAATTTATTTTTACCTTCAAAAAACACAACTTTACCACAAACCTCAAACTTGAATTTTGAAAACCATTTTCGCCTTGCGTGTTTTTATTAGTGTTTAATTGTACCTCATTTTCAAAATAATATTTATTTATCTTTGATATTTTCTTTCAAATTCTTTCAAAAATCACTAAAAATGTAAAGCTACAAAAAGGCCAAATGAAATAATTAATGTCCAGTCATTCATAATTTTCCAAATAATATTTATCTTTAATGCATTTTTTAAAATACATTCAAAAGACAAAAAACACCGATACTTCTTAATATGAATTAAAGATATTAAAGTCAAAAAAATCTTGAACTTGAAAACCATTGTAATTAATGCCTAACTTGTACCAATTTTCTACATTCAAAAGACACAAAATTACCAATACCCCAAATATTAATGAAAAAACTGCTTTTATTATTTATTTATTTTTAATGTTTTTTTGAAAATAACTTCAAAAAACACAAAATTACTAGCAAATCAAATATGAGTAAAAGAAATTAAAAGTAAAAAAATTATTATTAAAGTCTAATTTAAATTTGATTTTCATTTATTATTTTTCTGTTTTTAACACTTTAAAAACACCTTCAAAAATTACAAAAATACCAACATAGGAAAAACAAAAAAGGTTAAATGTCGAGAAGCATGGTAATTAATTATTGTTTCCTAATAGAAAATGAGACATTTTCCAGAATACCGAAAATTACTCAGTAGCCGATACTAACACTGTGTTTCGACATTATTTTCGGTATTCAAATATTTAGTATAATCACCTATTTTTTTATTAATATTAGGTTCAAAACTACCTTCTACCGCCTTGGTGGCCGTTTTCGGAAACTAGTACCGTAACTTGTTGACCATACTTGTGCAAAAGCTATACATCAAGCTAGAAAATTCGTTTTTTTCATATTTAGTTCTACTTTTCTCGAATATTAGGGCGCTATCGTTGCAACTGGTATTTTTCCCGCGCTCCCTTCCCCCCACCCCCCGATTCACCGCGCAAATTACGCGCCGTCATTTCGACAACACCCCGTATAAACGTCATCTTTTTTTTCGCCTGCAGGAAAAGGACGAAGGACAAGGACGCTATCAAAACGCAAGCGGCGGCCATATAAAATTTTATTATGTACACCCGCCCTCGGAGTCCCGCACAATATACAAATTACTTGTAGGTGGAATGCGTGTCACTGAAGTATAAAAAAAAAAAGAACGACGACGGTTAAGTGAGACCGCACACGCGCACTACAATACCGGCCGCAAAGAGAACGACAGCTTGGGTCGCGAATTGTTCTTGCCGAGGATCTTTTTTTGCTCCTCCTTAGTCCGTTTCTCCTGCTCTTTCCTGAGCCGCTGCCGTTCCTCGTCGATCTTACGCTGCTCCTCCACCATCGCGAGCCTCTCTTCGGCCTTGAACGCGGAAAAAACTTTTTTTTAACGAAAAATTATGAGCGATTATTTCGAAAATATAACTAACAAGGATAAAAATTACCTATTTCGGCAAAAAAATAATTATAAACGCAAACTACAGAAAATAATATTAAGGAAGTGAAAAAACATTGTAAACAATTATTATAAAAACAAATTTTAGTAAAAAAAAATAGTAAAAAAAATAAACCACTATACGGAAAATCAATTAAACAATTAGGAGAAAGAAGAACCAGATTAAAAAAAACAATTGGAACAAAAAAAACAATTATTAAAAAAAGGAAAACATAACCAAGAAGAAGAAACAATAGTCATGCGAAAAAGAAAAAAGAGATGAATTAAACGAATAAAAAAAACATATAATTAAACAATGAAACAAAACTGATTGTTGTAAATAAAAACAAGAGGAAACCAACAATGTAAAGATAATTAAAGAGACCGTTAAACAAAAAGTGTCCGACGATGAAAGAAAGTTCACTCGAGAGAGAAAAAATAAACAGGGCATAAAATAAAAATATTAAACTGAAAAAAAAAATAGAGACACTATTAAAGAAAAAAATATCAGAAGAAGAAACACAGAAAGAGGCAAACATAAATAAGCTAATTAAATGCCAAAGCAGAAAAATAACAATTAGAAAGAAGAAATAAACAAATAATCGAAAAATAAAGACACCATCATAGAAAAAGGATAGTGTGAAGAAGAAGAAAGAAGAAACAATAATCATTCGAGAAATAAAAACAAAGAAATCAATTAAACGAATAAAAAAGCATAAAATCAAATAAAGAAACAAAACTGGTTGGTGTAAATAAAAACAACAATCAACAAATAATAGAAAAATGGATAAAAATACTATTAAAGGAAAAAAAAATGTTTGAGGGAGGAACAATAATCATTCGAGAGAAAAAAAATTATTAGGTCAATAAAGGGAATAAAATGAAAATGATAAATGGAAAAAGAAATAGAGATGCTATTAAAAAAACTTTTATAATAAGAAACACAGAAAAATAAAAACATAAGCAAGTTAATTAAAGGCCAAAACAAGAAAATAACAAATAGAAAAAAGACATAATAAAAAAAAGAAAAAATAAAAATATCAATTAAAAGAATAGAAAAAGCATATAATTAAACAAAGAAACGAAACCGGTTGTAGTAAATAACAAAAAATCTAAAGATAATTAAAGAAACTATTAGACAAAAAAAAAACTGTCCGATGAAGAAACAATGTTCATTCGAGAGAGAAAACATAAACAAGCCAATTAAGTGAATGAAAAATCACGAATTTTGGAAAAAATTAAGCAGAATTAAAAAGCAAAAAGCGGCAAACAATGAATCGCCAAAGAAATAAAGATGAGAAAATAAGAAAAATAAAGAAACTATTAATGAAAAAGAGTGTTCGAAGAAGAGACAATAACCAATTGAGGAAATAAAACATAAATATCAATATAATTATTTGAAAGGAAAATTGAAAACAAAAAGGACAAATAAATAAAAAAGAAGAAGGAAAAAATTAATTTTAAACTCACCAATTTCTTCTGAGCCTCCTCGATCTTCCTCTGGTTCTCCTCGAGGATCCTCTCGACCGCCTCATGTTTACGCCTCTCGTCCTCCTACAAAACAGGGGAGGGGGGCGGTTAATAAGTATTTCGGACGGTTCAAGTCCGGTCCAGCCACTAAAGCGCTTTTGGATCATTTTCCCGGTCAACCGGAAATCGACCAAAACGCTTTGCACCCAACCAATCACACATGAGGTATTACGCGTGATTCGAAGAAAACGTGTCATTGAAAACGCGATGCGTCGATTGGTCGAGATTTGAATCGACTAAAAACGCGGGCAAAATATGTTTACGTCGGAATATTAGGCAACCAACAATGCCTGCATTGACATTTGCTAAATTTCGATTTTAATAGAAAAACAATTTTTTTTTCCAATTCGCACCTTGACCAACGTAAATTTTGCGATTTAATTTTTTAATCCGGGTTAAAATGCTCAAAAAATGTTTAGTCACGGCTTTTTTTTGCATTTTTTTTTAATTTTCTTTTTTTTGCATTTAAATATTGTTATGTACCACTTTTCATTCTAAATTCTATTACGTTAACAGAAACAATCAAAAAATTAAAAGAATTTTGGAAAAAGCGATTTTCAAAAATTTCTATTTTATTGAAAAACACGATGTTCTTTTTGATACAGAAAATTAAATCTAGACCAATTTCAGATTGAAGGGTCATCCCTTTTGTATTTCTGTATTGTTTTGCTTTGTTTGATTGGCCAATATACAACCTAAAAAACGGAAACACAAAAAATGTTTTTTGTTCATCCAATTAAATCTCAACCAACCTACACTGAAACGGATTGAAATTTCTTTTAAAAAAATTATCGCGAATTTTTTTGGTAATTACTGTTTTTTTTCACATTTTTTCTGCAATTTCTAAATTTCTATTAGAATTATTACAGTATTGTTATTATAAGTATTACAGTATTATATACTGGCAGTATTAAAATGAGCGGGAATACAATTTTGGAAAAAGAATTTCAAAAAAAGCGTATTTTTTTAAGTATGTTTTTTTTTCATGTTTTGAAGAATTTTTATTCGGTATATTAAAAAAATGAACAAGTAACAAAGCAAAAACTGAAATTTGCGTTTCGAATAGAATAGAAAACGTCAAATTAGAAAAATGTTGGCAATATTAGAAAGAGGTAAAATAAGATGGCAATGCGAAAATATACAATTTTGGAATAAAGATTTTAAAAAAAATGTAATTTTTTTATTTCTATTTTTTTTCTCGCATTTTTTCTGTATTTTCGCATGTTTTACGAATTTTTATTTGCTTAGTTCTATTAGAACATTTTGGCATTATTTGTTGTGTTTTTTTTACTTTTTTCTATGTGTGCTTTTTTTTACTTTCTCTTTGTTACATCGTTTAGTTTTTATTTTATCTTCAATTTTTTTTTTCGTTTTTTCTTCCTTCGTTACGAAAATTTTGGAGACATTAGAAAGATGACAATGCGAAAACATATTTTGGAAAAACGATTTCAAAAAATATATAATTTTTTTATTTAGAATAATTGTTTTTTACGCATTTTTTCTGTATTTTGTCATGTTTTTATGAATTTTTATTTGGTTAGTTCTATTATTATTATTTTTGCTTATTTCTTTTACTTTCTCTTTAGATTGTTACATTGTTTAGTTTTCATTTTGGCAAAGCAAAAACATATTTTGCAAAAACGATTTCAAAAAATTGTAATTTTTTTATTTGGAATAATTGTTTTTTTTGCATTTTTTCTGTATTTTCTCATGTTTATATAAATTTTTATTTGCTTAGTTCTATTAGGACTTTTTCGTATTATTTGCTGTTGTCTATTTTCTTACTTTTTTCTATTGTTGCTTATTTTTTTACTATCTCCTTGCATTGTCACATTGTTTAGTTTTTATTTTATCTTTAATCTTTTTTATTTTCGATTTTTTTTTTCATTTTTTCCTCCTTAATACTAAAAGGTGGAAATAAAAAAAAAACATATTTTGGAAAAAATGAATTTCATCCATCTCCACAAGCTCCCACTCACGCAATTCTCACCCGATGGCCTGGACCGGTCTGTGAATAGAAAAAAAAATAGTTAATACTCCCGCCATTGGAAGCGGGGGCGCAGATGACAAAAAAAACGTAAAAAATATAAATATATTTAGGGAAAAAAAATTAGGATGTGTGTGTGTGTAGTAAAAAAAATGTTTGATAATACCTGCTGCGACGAGAGGTCCGCCATAATGCTGGTTCGCTCCGTGAGACCGACACTCAGTTTTCAACGGCATAGTGTCCACCTTATATCTTATTACCAGCTAATGGCATATTAATAAACACAACTGGACGGAAATGTTACACGTAGAAGGATGGAATTCTACCTGTCTATGGTTCGATATCTCATTTTCTATGCTTATGTTTTGTTAATTTTATTTGTCTGCCTTCAAAATCCAAGAATTTTTATTTTCTCAATTCGTCTTTGTGGCAAACAAACTGGCTTTGGAAGATGAACGTTAACCACAACCCAGCGGCAATGAAAAGTCCACATTACACTCCAACCAGCCAAACTTAAAGAAAAAATCTATCAAAAAAACACCGTAAACGTTCATCTTCCCAGCCTGGCTTTGTAAATTGGATAAATAAGTCAACACTTTAACGTCGTATCCAACAAAACACTTTGGACTTGCAACGACAGAGACTCTATTTAACAAATTCCTAAATCAAATATACAGAGTCTTAAATAATACAACAAAATCGAAGGGAATATAGAGAACGACCGTCGACCTAAAGTTTGCCCTTACCTCCCTCTTGCGTTCTTCTTCTCTCTGCTTCTCTCTGCGCCTCTCCAGATCTTCCATCATCTGCTTCTCCATGATCCTCTTCGCCTCCTCGACCCGCTTGTTCACCTCACGCTCTATCTCCTCCTTGCGTTTCTGCAGCTCCTCCTCCACCCGCATTTTCACCATCTCCTCGATACGCTTCGCCGTCTCCTCTTCAATAAGTTTCTGTTCGGCCTCCCTTTGGCGCCGCTGCCGCTCCATTTCCGCCAGTCTTTCCACCTCGTCCGTTTTCCGGTACCTAACTTTCCTGGGGCCGGAGTGCCGATCATTTTTGCTTAATTCGATGGAAATATCGCTGCTCGAAGAGGAACCTTGCGAGTCCGAACGTTTCCTGAGAACAAAGCGCGTCCTTAACGCCACAACAAAATGCTCGACCGTAAATATCTACCTAACTCTCAACGACTTATCTTTCGACTTTCTGTCGCCCCTGTCGATCCTGTCGCTGCTTTTGTGTCTCGCTTGGATACTGGCGCTTCTCTCGGACCTATCTCGCGATCTGCTACGCTTGTGGTGCTTGCTTTTATGGTGTTTCCTGGGGGAACGGCTCCTAGATCTGGATCTACCCATTTTTTGTTCTAGTATAATAAATTATTTGACAACAAGCTTTCAAAATTGATTCTTGGGCTGTCAACCTATGAAAACTAATTGGTGTGAACTCGCCACGAATTCGCAACCAACGTCGGCGGGTGAACTTGACATATGTAACCGCGCGTTAAAATTTTAAACAAATCAAGTAATATTGTGTAACTGGAAGTAATATTGACCCACAAAATGCGACGCAAATTTCATAAGCTTTTATGAGTTAATCGAATTGTACGCAAGTCATTTCGCAAAATTATTCCGTTCGTGAATCAACATACAGCGAAACTCATGACCAATCGGAGATGTCAACTAAATGCCACTGGATGCAAGTCGGCGGGCAAGTTTGAGGTAGGTACTCCCCCGTTACACTTTTAACCAAAGCTTAACTGTCATGGAAAGTGTTAACCAAATGTACTTTCCCATGCGACAAAAGTTCTACAAACTGTTTTTATTTTAGCCAACGAAACTTTTATTAGTTTGGCGAATTTTGTTCCTGTCGTTTCTTAAATTATTCTTTTTAAGACATAAACACGCAGTAAAACTCATGAGCGTCGGAGATCGTCAACAGGACCCCGCGCACTGGACAACAAGTTTCCGAAATTCTTTACTCTGCTGTCAAACAATAACAACGAATTCATGACGCGCAAGCTAGACATAGGTACCCGCTGGTTGCAATATTAACCACAGCATAAGCACCAGGGAAAATGAGTTTTTCTATGCGATGTCTGTTTATAAACTGTTATTTTCTGGTCAACGGGACTTGTACAAGTTTAGCGAATTTTATTCGGGTCGTTTCGTAAATTATTCTTTTTAACACATAAACACGCACTGAAAATCATGACCGATCGGAGATCGTCGACGGGGTCTCACGCGGACGACCCTCCGCTATCCAGATTGTTTATACTGGGCCCCAAAACGCTCGCGGAAGAGGACTATCGGAGGGCATTCAACTCTTTCGGCACAATTGAGGAAATCTGGATCGTGAAAGACAAGGTGACGAGAGAAAACAAGGGTGCGACTCGTTCAGATTTCAAACTACTGAAATTTTATCTTTGGGTATACAATTGCAGGCGTAACCTATGTAAAATTTTCGAAAACCTCCGATGCTGCCCGGGCGTTGGAAACCCTGAACGGGACGTCGCTCGTGCCGGGGACTAGGAAAGTCAAAATATTTATAGCATCCAGGTAAGAGAGTTGTTTGAAACTTAATAGAAGGTATTGTTAAATGTTTCTAGCCGCGATAAGGGGTCCTCTAGGGACAACAACGAGGAGGAAAAACAGCTGAGGTTGTTTGTAATGGTGCCACGTATGATGACCGACGATCAGTTGTACGATTACTTCAAACAGTTTGGCGATGTCGAATATGCGACGGTTATATTAGATCGAAACACTAGGGAAAGTAAAGGGATCGCCTACGTGAAATTTCACAAGTAAGCCCGGGATTACACGCGTTTTTCTTATCTCCTGAAAATATTCAAAATTTCTATGCACTCCACCCCTTCCTTCTACAGAACTGAGTTCGTGTTTAACCTTATTTTCTTCGCAGCAATCGCGAATATTTTGCTTTTAATGTCGATTTTCAAATGAATAACAAAAGTTGCCTTAGAGGAAATAAACTAATTGAATTTTTTTTTGACGGAAACCTCCATGGAGGTCCTCTTCTTTTAAATTTGACAGAGCATGTTGGGCCGTCGCCCAGAGGCGCTCGTCCATCGCGAAAAAAACTAGTTTACGCTTTAAAGTTAACGTAACAAGGCGCGTAAGGTTTTCAGACGCAGCGAGGGCCTACGAGCAGTGCGATCGCAAATATAAACCGGTATTTGCGGAGCCCAAGAAACCGGAACACATTAGACGTGGCGGCAATGCGGATCACATGTCGGTGGCCGCGGCCGGGAGAGGCGGTGTCCCTGCCCCATTAAACTTGCCGTTCCCTCCTAATTTGCCTTTGGGCGGCGGAGGATTCGTTAAACTCACGGTTATCGCCAATCCAATGGTTACGGAAGATCAGTTGTGGAAACTCTTCGACATAGTTCCAGGTATAATGTTTATTAAACTGTGCTTCGGACCGTTTAAATCTTGAAAATGGCCCCCGAAACTGGCTTTTTTCGCGACTTTGGTTCTACAGAACTTATGCATAGAATACTTTTGTTTAATAGTCAGTGGTTTAGGCTTGTTTGCTGGACTCGAAATATTCGTAGAATTTCAAAGTAGGTATGTATTTTGTTGCAAATTGTAAAACAAATGCAAATATTTATTTTTATTTTACATATAAAAGTATGTCGAAAAATTAAACATAATTTCGACTTATAACAATATGCAATATAATAAGTGTCCCTAAGCTTTCTTCTATAATTATTTTAACTTGCTTCACAATTTAGGCACAGAATACTGTTGTTTAGTAGTCTGTGACTTAGGTTTATTCAGGACCGGACTCTGAATAATGGAAGAATTTCAAAGTGGGTGGTTATTTTGTTGCCCAGATATAAAAAATGAAATATGTAACGAACACGCATAGTAGGCCCACCTGGACGTACCATCGTAGGCCCACAACCGCCGTGTCAGTCGGCAACGAGTTGATACAGAGATTCTACCGCGTATAACCGTTTAAATTCTGTTTTTATCCCAACAAACTGTTCCTACCCACTTTTATAATAATAAATACTGTTTGCTTGAGTGCGGGTTGTTACTCTAAGTAAGCGAGTGTAACAAATATTTATTTCTTCTTTCAGGGGTACACTATTTTACATATAAAAGTATGTTAAAAATTAAATATATTGTCGACTTACAACAATATACAATGTAATTGGGCGCAATACAATTGCTTAGTAGTCTGTGACTTGGGTTTGTTCAGGACCGGACTCCGAATAATGGAAGAATTTCAAAAAATGAAGTATTTACTCTTTGAACGGTTACATTATTTAACATATAAAAGTATTTTAAAAAATTAAATATAATTTCGACTTATAACGATATACAATATAATAAGCAAATTTTAGCTTCGTTTAACTACTTTAACTTTCCACAGAATTTGGGCGCAATATAATTGCTTAGTAGTCTGTGACTTGGGTTTGTTCAGGACTGGACTCCGAATAATAGAAGAATTTCAAAAAATGAAGTATTTATTTATTATTTCAACGGTTACACTATAAAACATATAAAAGTATGTTAAAAAATTAAATATAATTTCGACTTATAACAATATACAATATAATAAGTAAATTTTAGTTTTGTTTTTTAACTACTTTAACTTTTTATTCAGGCGAAATACAATTATTTAGTAGTCCGTGACTTGGGTTTGTTCAGGACCGGAATAATCGAAGAATTTTAAAGTAGGTGTTTTGTCACAAATTGTAAAAGAATGAAATGTCTATTTATTTTTTCAACAGTAAAGTATGTTAAAAAATTAGATATAATTTGGACTTATAACAATATACAAAATAGCAATACACAAAACAATACCTACCAACACTCGTAAACAAAGTATATCTTAACTTACTTTAGCTATTGCTACTTTGCTATAGCTTTAGATATTTTCCTAAAATTACAAACATCTAAACATTAAAGTTCGCAAATACTGTATGATGATGTTGAAAGCTCAACCAAAAAGAATTATGTTGACCAACCATTTTTGTATTTGGTAGAAAAATCATTTGTTTGGACCAACCCTGTGTAATGTAGATATTAAGAAATTCTGTTCGATACCGCCATAAGCTACGTTCAAACTTTCAACTTTCCACCGGCTCCAGCGCCGTAGTGATTAAAATTTATTTGAATTTGATCGGAAAATTGAAGAAAATTATTGTTATTTTCTCGAATACCGCCGAAGATGGGTATAGAATCGGAAAATGCTACTTTCTAGAAGAAACGGCAACGTCGCGGCATAAAAATATAAAGTGTCTTTAGCTTCGTCTGTGGTGAGTCCTGGGTGTTCTTTTAGGCATGGACTATTGCCAGTTGAATTACGAGGGTGGGGGGATGGAAAGGTCGGCGAGGGCGGTAGCCGAGGTGGTCTACACGCACCCCCAGTGGGCGGCGCATGCCAAAGAAAAACTACACGGTTTCGAATACCCTCCGGGCTCGCGTCTTATAGTTAGACCGGTCGCTGAGGGGATAGGCGACTGTAGGGGCGATCGCCAGGCTCCGCCCCCTCGTGACGTGAACAATATCGCACACGCGATCGCGCAGGCGTCGTCCCTCATACGCGCCGCCGGTCTGGATCCTTGTGAGTGTGCTTTTTTTTTTTTTTTTCAATAGTCGACCTTGTTTTTCCAGCCGTCCTGAACAATTTGGCAAACGCGCCGAAACAAGGCGACTCGATCGACAGTTGTAGCGTCAATCTGCCCTCGCCGAAGCCACTGGCGTCAATCGACGCGGAAATGGTCGAAAGGTAACTTAATTTTTTCTTTAGCTAGGGTAATACTATTTACAAATTTCCTGCATACGCCAATCATCCTTAATATCATTATTATTAGCAATCGACGCAGAAAGAATTTTAGAAGTTTTGTAAATAATAACGTAATCGTAATGCGTAAGACGCGCGTCGCGCCACCTATCTTCTACTTATCGAAACTCTGCCTAGCCTAAAAAAATTAGATTTGAAGGTTGGATTATTTTTTTTTTATGGATATAAAAGAGAGGTCTCGGAAGGGAACCCCTGAGGCACTCCAATTTGAACGCGATCCAGACCAGATGTGTTATTGTTTATGCCCGCGAATTGTCTGTGAGTTACAGTGGACTTGAGAATTTAAAAGAATGAGAAATTCGAATTTTTGAAATTGTTAAGTGTTTGAACATTTATGTTTTTTTGCCCTTTAAAATGGGGAGACCGTGGAATGAAGCAGATGTTATCCTGTTAGAAGAAGACATGGAAATAGTTATATGCCGCTTATTAGTGTAGGTAGATTAATTCCTAGGACGGTCCTGGAATGGTTACTGGTAAGGATGTGCGCGACAGGGTGTTCTATAAGGGGCTGCGGTTTTAGAGTAATAAACAGTAGACGGGTCGGTTTTAAAAGCACTATAATTCTGGTCGAAGTAAACTTGCTTTGCGTTACGGTTTCTATTATACCGCCCTTTATTTATTACCTTGTGAATTTTTCCGGGACTTTCCGTAGGTGTTTCGTGATCTGCTCGCCGACAGCGCTGTCGAACGCTCAGCTGCGCGATCTGTTCAGTCGGTTCGGTAACCTGATCGACGCCTATTTCCTGGCGAATCGGAACTGCGGCTATGCCAAGTTCGCGGACAGGAAGTCGGCCGAGGACGCGATCGATGTAAACACACGCCAGAGGGCGTTCTCCACCTTTCGATTGTCGTTTTTTTTTTTTCAGTTATTGCACGGCGCCGAAGTGAACGGGATCCGAATCAAGGTGATCAAGGCGGAGGAGCAGCGGAAACGACCGCGCACCGACGACACGTGGTAGTCGTGGAGGAGGGTGAGTTTTAACTTTTCCTTTCACTTGGACGAATTTGAAGAATGATGTAGAGAAAAAGAGAGAGAGAAAATGCTGGAGAGACAGAAAACAATAGGAAGAGACAAATGAGAGATAGGGAAAAGGAGAAAGAAAGAAAAAAATGAATGAAATGATGAGAGAAAGAGAGAGAGAGAGAGAGAGAGAGAGAGAGAGAGAGAAACCGAGAGCGAGAGCAAGACAGAGAGAGAGAGAGAGAGAGAGAGAGAGAGAGAGAATGAAAGGAAAGGGGTTGAAAAGCGCCAGAACGCGAGAAACAGGGAAGAACAACAATGACGACCGATAAGAATAATAGTAGGCAAGGTGAAGGCAACTTAGCAACAACAATAATTTGAAGGCAAATATTTACCACCTTCTCAAAAATCTAAATGAAATATAGAACAATTGAATTAATAATCATGCACTTTCAAAGATTTTTTTGTCATTTACACTTTTATTTCACACTCGATAGCAGGTATAATTTAAAAAAAAAATCTCTAATTCCATTCCAAATTTTGTTTTTTAAACCAAATTATCACTCTGCTCTTTACTTAGTCCGACCATATGAGCGGTTCACGCTTTTTATGGAGTGTTTTTTTTATGGCAGGCTGGTAAAAAAGAGAATTTTGTTTATCGTAACCCAATTTTTTTGAAACAAATATCAAGACTGCAAATTACCGCGAGATTTAATCTTAATTCAACTTTTCTTGAGGCCTAAATAAAAAGTGAACACCAACTTTTTCTTCTACACTGCTATGCGCAATTTTTTTTTTTTTAATTTACTTACCGCTGTGGATATACACCATGACAGCTTCCAGGATTAAAAAAAAAACATAGAAAAATACAGATTTTAAATATAACTCATAAGGAAAAAACACCACTAACAGCAACTGTCAACTTTGAACTGACATATTTCTGAAAATATTTATTCGTTTTTGTTTTTTTACTGGATTGATCTTCCTTCGGTTGTGAATAAATCGAATTTGTTGACGTTACGCCGATCGTGAGTGGGAATTCTGGTTTTGAGGTTATATTTCTGAAGAACTCTTGATATGTGGTCACCGCTGTTGCGGTGAATGTAAGGAAGGACCACAGTGGCTTGCTATCGAACTTGGGACATCTTCACATTGAAGATATTAAGCGTTCGATCACAAAATACACTTCGTCGCAAACGTTAGCAAACTCGATTTACTAACAAACCGACGAAAGTATTTGCCCTACAGAAAAATCCAACCGGCTTGGTCCTTACAAAATGGAAAATTCCCTACTTTCGATGGAGACTCGTTTGTTATAATCAATCCTCGACGGTTTTGTTATTATTTTTCATCACATCTGGGCTTTTTTCTTCTCAGAGTGCCGACGACCAACTTATAATGACAAGGACCTATAAATAGACACACAGAACACAGAAGGAAAACAACACGTAAAACTGAGGACCTCTTACGTGACACTACAACTTACTTTACTACGGCGACTGTTACCGCGTTATTTATTTGGTGCGTCTCGTAGACGGGCGTAGCCTAACAGTTTTAGGGATGTGTCTATTATGAACCGATAAGAAGTCCCTTTTTTTATTTTCTTAACCTAAAATTAACAATAAAGCCGCGGTCTACAACGGAGTGTTTTTCTTTTCACTGGCCACCTTTTTCCGCGTTTTTTGAAGTATACAGGGTGCTACGAAACTGAGGCTGCTTAATACGGACGCAAAATAGTGGTAAATAATTGCAGAGTTGAAAAGTAAATATGTCGAATGTGGCTGGAAAACATTTTTAAGTTTCTAGAATCGCCTCCAGGGGGCGTAATGGCATTTTGGAATTTTAAATCCCCCCTTTTTGAGAACACAATCTTATATTGCAGGTGACTGAGTATTTTCAGAAATAGATTGATAGAGGGGATTTTACGTGATCACTACAATTTGAAAAAAAAAACATTACAAATGAAATTTATCTTTGACCTTTAGCAGCACCCTCTTGTAGCTGTCACAACATAATTATTTATTTATGGGGTGGCTTATGTTCTTTTTTTTTTGGATTAATTGTTCATTTACTTGAAATTTCATGTAAAATTTAGTGAAATTATGTAGTTTTTTCGCTTTTTCTTCATTTTGAAAGAAATAAAACAAGCGACAGACGTAAAAATCAACACTAAATATAAGCCCACGTAACAATAAACTTTTTCTGATTTCTATCTTAAAATTTAAATTTGTAAGATTCCTATTTTTAAATATAAATATAGTCCTTATCTTACAATACAAATAATACTTATCGTAAAAATACTGTAACTAAAACTGCTTTTAATGATAAGCACAAAAGTTGACACTTGTGTATACTAAATGGGAATTAATGAAAAAAAAATAGCCCCCCAAAATTTAAAAATTAGAGCATTGTCTTTTGGAAAACGAAGGCGTTTGCTACATAGTCAGCAACAGCAATTTGTTAAAAATAAACAGCAACAAACGTTTTTTACAAACAAGGCCTCCGAAATGCACCACAAAAAGCGGCCATTTTAATATTATTGGAGTCAATTAATTACAATATATTCCATGCCAAAATGTTTACATTAATATATTTTGTGCGTCGAAAAACGCTATGACACCAGGCACCAACATAAATTACCTAACCGCTCTTTTAGGCTTGGAGACTGCAAAGCTTGGATAGATCGTGGCAGCATTTTAGTTCTTCGTATATGCTGATTGCGGATTACTCTTGGTATAGGTATATCGAGAACTGTTACTAAAATTACTTCTGGGGATTTTTGTATCAAAAACCCTTGATGACGGATTGCGGAGAATGCCAAAAACAAAAGAGCCACCAAAAGAAAAACTAACCTCCTAACCTCATCATGAACCTCCCTAGTTGCTTTAACTCTGGCGTTACACCCGAAAACTAATAAAAATAATTCAATAAAGAATTAAACGTGCGCAGTATACAACATACTGTAAAATTCGTTTCCGTGTAACATTTATATGAGTTGCGCGCCCATCCTGTAATTCCATTGGTTAGACGAGAATTGACCAAAGTTGTTTTGGTTTTAGTTTTTCTGACACAACGTTAGTCACCGTTTTCACTGGTCTGTGACAAGCGAGATGGTCCGTGAATTTTAAAACCTTTAGATTGAACCCAGCCGCCTCTGATTAAAATTCCTTCTTGTTTATCGACGACAACAACGCATTATTTCCGAGTCCCGCATTCATTGGCAGTCGATGAACGTCCGCGTCGACTAGCGAAATGCCGTACCAGTGAGGTAACGTTTTTTACGTAAAATACTCTTGCCGCAACATATGTGGTTTGTTTGTGCACTGGTCAAAAGCAGTCCGTGGTCGTCTGTAATTTCATAGGTCGGGGATTAAACGTCAGCTGTTCTAACGGACTTCGGAAAGTTCGTCGACTATCAAAACGGTTTGCGGTTTGGTTGGCGCAAGCGCAGTTTTAAAGGTTTTGTTTTGATTTTCCGCACATAGAACATAACCTAGCCAAACTGTATGTTACGTTTGATTTTAAGCTGTTACCGAGCGGGTTTGTTTTATCTTTAGTTTTTGAGCTTAAAATTTTGCCCTGAATTTTTCTCAAATAAGTTTTTGGGTATTCCTCCTGGATTTTTGATTTGATGTATCTATAAGCGCTTCATTATTTTTAAATTAACAGTAAACAACCCTTGAAATTTATTACAAAAACTCTGGTTTTCTATTAAAGTTGGGATTATGTTGAAGTCGAACAATCCGTCTTCCATTCAATCCTTCACTCTTCTTTAAGTTACTTTTTATTGTTTGCAAAATTATGCACAGTAAGTCACATTTGATACTGAAAAATTGACAAATTAAGGTATCATATTCGCTAGAAATGTTTCGTCTTATGCCATAATTTTTGTTTATCTTTGATATATTCCAAACGGCGCAGCCGTGGACGTCGGATTTCTTAAATAATTTTATTTGAGGTTATGTGAAATATCCATCACAACCTCGGTTTGTCAGCTTATTTAAAAAGTCGGCAGATTTGTTCTTGGTTTTTAAGTGTTTTTTCTGGAACTAAAACAATATTAATATTGCATTTTCAATATTATCCCTAGCGTAAAATATTGTTTAAATAGTTTTTTTAAAGTTGCCCAGTTCATAGTTTTATTTTTGTTTAAATCTCGGATTTAATTAATTATTTCCGCATTTCATTTTGTATTAACATGTAACGAATGCTACTATCTGAAAGAATCATACTTAATTCGTCTCTGTAGACTTTTCACGTTCAGATAATATTTGTTTTGTCCTCAATCTTTCGTGACATTTTTACACATCTATTAGTATCTATTAATGCCATAATATAAAGGGATTCCATTTTAAAAATATGTATATAAATTCGATTTTTCACATATTTATCAATCCCCTGTATACCTGAAAATAATTATAAATTGTCTTTAGTCTCGTTCTTGTGATTAGTTTAACACTACATATACGCAGTCGATGATGGTCAGTTCTTCAGTTTGTGTTTGAAAGCCAAAAAAGCATTTTTTAAAGTAGAAAACAGTTAGGCATTTGCACTTAAATCCAGCTTTTAAAAAGTGCACTTCCGCTGTCTGCTGTTGTAGTTCATCCTACATTTTGAGTCGCGCCATCTAACGGGGTTAAGCGAGGTTAGTTAAAGACGACGAATGATGTTAACTCACAGCAGAAGCAAAGAAGAGGCGCGGCAACAAAAAAAGAGTGTTGTTGAGTAGTGGTCTGTGGCGAAAAGTTGTCAATTGGCTTGAGAAGGAAGTAAAAAGGCTCATTCAGTTTTCTTTCTGTTATTTTAGCGAAAACAAATATTACGGTTGAATCACGAACGACCAAATTTGTCATCATTATGTTTGTTAGAAGCGTAAAATTCTGAATAACCGCTTGGTGTTGAGGTCGCCGATGCCACATTTGGTAAAAGGAGAGAATTATCGCTTTAAAAAGTGATATCACGTTATCTAAAATACCACTTGGAATCAGATGTGCGAAGCGTACGTTTTCGTATATTAGGAAATGCCCATAATGGGTGCTCAAGCTCGTTACACACACGTTTCATGTTGGGGAAAAATAAAAAAATAACCCGACTGAACGTATAACCTCAAAAGCGACCTCCCTTTTCGTTTGTTCGCACTATGTCGTTGCCGAGCCGAACACCCTGTGAATCGTTAATCATCCGAAACCGCAGTCATCTCGGAAACGTGGCGTCGTAAATACGGAACACTTAATTCGACAAACTCGAAAATTGAAAACGGCGACCTTAATTTTTCCCGTAATCGGGTGATTTAGTCGCCTCGACCGCCGCGCATTGTTTCACGTCCATTACGAGTCCATAAAGGAATTTCAATGGTGAACGTCGTCGTCGATGCGCGCCGATAACGACGAGAGATAAGGCGATATTCGTTGCGGAACTCGATAAGTGTGTTGTTGTGTGCCGCCGAAGACGAAAGGGTCGAAACTACGTGCGGGGGCTCGAGAATGCTCGAAATCAGGGACGGGTGAGGGTTTCCACGGGCACGGAAGGTAAGTTTTCTGAACCGGACGCGTTCATGTTACGCCCAATACGCGTGAATATCAGTAAACGTCGCGATAACAGAGCCGCCTATCTGCATCGTTAACGTTCAATATTAATCGCTGTGGTCTGTGCCGCGTACGTCATTCGCAAGGGAGGCCGTAACTCGTACTGTCACTTCAGCCCATGCCTTAAAATGGGGTGAAATTGTGAAAAAAAAAACGTGCTCCGTTTTTATTTTTTTTCAACAGGTTTAACGTTTAAAATGACTGGCGTTAAAATAACAGTCGTCGGAGACGGCATCGTGGGCAAGACGTGCCTCTTGAGCGCGTACACCACTGGCCAGTTTCCGGAAGAGTATATACCCACAGTGTGAGTACTTTGTTTACCTATAAGGACCACGTGACTTTTTTAATTTGTTTATGATGCAAACGTTTTTTGGCGATCGTGCGGCGCATTCAACTGTGCTGCACGGCGTTGCCAAACTGCCATATTTGTTCGATTTTAGCCAGAAATTGCACAGGCACTCTTATCTACTATTATTCCTTACCACACAATGTGGCGATTTAAAAACATCTTGACATTTATGCCGCTGGCAGCAAGATCTCTTTAGGTTTAGGGAAAATAAAAGTGGTTAAACCATTAATAAAATAAAAAAGTGGAAACGCTACATCAGAGCAAAAAAGGTTTTCTATCGAGTTCGTTCCAGCAAATTCGATTTTACACAAAAACACTCACAAAAATAAGCTTTGGAGAAAGGTTTCTTGTAAAAGGTTTTTTGAAAAGTTTTAAGTTCCATACATGTTTTACGCAGGCTTCGTGGACCCATCTCTGGCAAGAACTACATCGAATCCACTGGTCACCAGGTTTGCTGCTTTCAAAATCTGCTTCACAATAAAAGCACACGGGATTTTTTTCATAGTCAAGGTTTTCTTTGGTGATGCTGGTCTTGTTTCTCCCATTCACATCTTGACCTCTAGGTTTCATCTGAGGTTTGGAGGGTTTCCTTACTGATAGACCCTTTCCTTTCAGAGAGGAAATTTACTAGTTGACACTCTACGTTGTATCGCTGCTATACTGACCAGCAATTCATCCTTATAAGGTGTGTTAAGATTGCATTTTTCGCAGGTCTTCTTGATGCCGCTTTTGGGTATGGATGAATCATTTCTGGAGAAACATTTTCTTAAAGATATTTGGTCCAAGGTTCTTCTCACTGGAGGCATTGTTATCTGATTCATGAAAATAAGCTGATTCTGCTTATGGTAGTGCGTGAGTCGAATGGGAAGTCGATGGAGGTGCTGTTTGGTGCCTGATTAGTCATGGTGGTTCTCCTTGTCGTGAGTCCTCTCCCGCTAAAAGTGATTGATTTTCTGGCTGATCAGTGGGATCCGCAGCTATGCACATATCCTTAGTGACAAGGTGGCAATTAACGGGAAATAATCCAGTTTTAAGAATGCCTTTCGAAATAATCTGCCAATTTGGTAAATATTGGGTTGTTCCTTAGAAATATTTCAACCTCTTGACTGTAGAATGTCGACTGCAATGTGGAGGTAAACACAATATTGCACCAAAGATTTTCTTTTGATGCATTAATTGATTTCAAAAAATAGTTGAACCACATTTCAAAGAGATTCAATTGCATGGCAGGCAACTATGGACCATCCGTGGAACATACAGCACTCATACATATTACCGCAGTGCATAGTTCTGCCTAGGTCAATGTGCCTCTTATTGCAATCACTTTGGATGGACGTTCCTGTACAGTTGTTAAGCCTGTCCCATCGACATTCAATATTCTAGGTGGTATATATGAGTATTTACCTTGCAGGGATATATATCGTTTTAGAAGCGTTAGCCAGTTCCCATTTTATCAATATGTGAACAAACAATGCCCGCAAATTTCTGTATCAAAATATAACCTCAAAATTTTATACGCAAGGTGGTCGTCCCAACAATTAGTGAAGACAGTATAGCCGTCACCTCATTCGCTATCAAGACATGAAGCTTATGTTTGCCGACCTAAATTTTTACAAGAAACATGTTCAAAACCTAAACACTTACCTAGCGTCGTTACACCAGTCACGACTTTTCTCCAAGTAGAGTTGTGTCAATTCCGAATGATTCCCGCTTGTTCGTAACGATTCGATTACCTTGTTCGCTCTCGCTGCCGCCCTGGCGGGTCTGAAGTGAGATGGCGACCGATCGACAGACGGTACCAAAACAAATCGAATTCGTCTTGCGGAATGCGGTTCATTGGAATGCTTTAAAAGTTGAATTTGGATAAAATCATGATGCAATAAAAAGCATAACACAGCTAAATATTATACCAACTAAAACCAAAAACAGAACATCTTATATATTGGTGGTTCGTATTGTCCGGATTCAGTGACTATTGCTGCTTATGGTTTGTAACTTGCAAATGGCAACAAAATGTATTGAAATGATTCGGTCCTTTTCGAAATCGGTCACTGATTGATTCGGTTCGCGTAAAATGAACGATTGACACAACACTAGCTCCAAGTACTAAAGTACTAAGTATTAAGTCAACTGTACAACAGATGGCACTGCATGTGAAACGAAATAATTTAGGTATATGTTTCGATAATTAGAAAATTAAATATATACAGTGTTGTCCAACTTTGTCATCATTACGGGAAACACAATTAGATAGATCCCGTCGAGTACGGCGCAAAAAATATTGATGAAATAATAATGTTATGACCATGCAAAACCGTACATCGGATTTTTTATTTTAAGAGAAATGTGGTACACTAAATTGTATTGCCGATATTTGACAAATACTTTTTGTTTTTGAAAACTGTACCCTGTATAAGATAAGTGATTTATTTTCATTCCTGTTAACCAGATTCGAGCATTACGGCCAAAAGATTACCGTAGATGACGTCGAATATGAGATGACGTTGTGGGACACGGCCGGTCAGGAAGATTACGAACGGCTCAGACCACTGTCGTATCCGAACGTAAGCCGTAACGCGTAAGCCGTTATCCCCTCCCTCGGTCACCGCGGTCCTTATTTCAGACCAACTGTTTCCTGATTTGTTTTTCCGTCGACAAGAACCTGGCTTCGTACGAGAACGTCTCCACCAAATGGGTGCCGGAGGTGAGGCACTTTTGTCCCCACACCCCGATAGTGATCGTCGCGACCAAAACCGATCTAAGGGACGATCCGCGCGTCATGTGTTACGCGCCACACGACGGCAAGAAACTGATGCGCAAGGTCAAGGCGCAGGGCTACAGGGAATGTTCTGCTCTGCGCATGGAAGGTTTGGACGACGTGTTCGTCGAGGCGATCCGGGTTTACCGCAAATATAAAATAAAACCGCGACACAGTCAATGTATTTTATTATGAAATGTTTGGATAGGTCTTTAAAGATAGGTTTTATATTTTCTGCGACAATAAACGACGACGGCTATTTTGTTTTTCTTTCGAACGCGGTCGGGATATAACACGGAACATACGGCTACGGTCTGTGGTCCGCGATCGACGTAACCTAAACTCCGGGCCGCTAAATGTTTGACCCTCTGCCATGTCATAGCAGCACTGGTCGGTTATTTCTACACTGTAGAAATGCAGAAAGTCAACGGCAACGTTGGATCACGTTCACGTTAATGCCTCCCCTAAATTCCATGATTCGATCGGTACGAAAGCGCTGAAAGGTCACCCACAAATAAAGCATCGGTTTTTGTACACTTCGTCAAACTTTTGTATTTGTATTTCTTACTTAAGACAACATTTCTGAGAAATGTTTTCTCAGAAGGTCCTAGTTTCACTATATTATGTGTTATATTAAATCTTTTTTTTTTTGTTGATCGAGTTTTGGTTGAAACATGAAGTCTGAAAGAATTTTCAATTTCTTATAGCCCTGTAGGGTGGTTTTGACTTATTTGCATATAAAATGTTCAAGATATGCTTTTTATTTGTTTTTTTTTTTCATAAATAAAAGATGAAGAGGTACGGGTAACAATAAAAAACAAATATTTAACAATGTTCGGTGTTTTTGCTTAGAGGTTGACCATTCTTTTTGAATTACCCTGTACATCTGATGTTTCGATGCGCAATATCCCTTACGAGACACTTATGTCAAAAATTCTAACTTGTGTTCCAGAAATTCTCACTTAAATCCAAAATTCTGACTTGTTTCTCAGAAATTCTGATTTAAATCAGAAATTGTGACATACTTCCGAAAAATTGTGACTTGTTTCTCAAAAATTCTCACTTTCAGCGCTTTGGTATATTGTTCTAACCTATAATTTGTTGGATTGCTTCCTTTTTAAAAAATTTTAATTCGAAATTTTGTTTTAAAAATGCGTGTTTAAGTGCATAATATCCAGGTGGTCAACGAAGAAGGCTTGGAGCGAAAAAAAATTAGGACCTAAGCGGCCAATGATGGAAACTGTTTGTAAGTTTCTAGAAAGGCCGCGAGGGAGCGTAATCGCATTCTTAAATTTTAGATCCCGTTTTTTGACTTGATAAAAAAGTTTCTAGAAAAGATTCGTCCTATCGCCAATAGGTGGCGCTAACTTTCACTTCTATTACAGCAAAAAACTGTCAAATAGGGATCTAACCTAGCAGGGAATATTTTCAGTGTATCTGCCATTATTAAACCGCAATTGTTCTTACAAAAAATATATTTAAAATGTCCATTGTAATTAACTCACATTAAAAATTTGAAAAATTTCCGATCAAGGTATGCCTTAGAAAACAAAATGGTTATAGGTTAGAAAACAGATATTGAAATCCGGTTTCTACCTTTGCCTTTCTTTTGTTGCAACAAAAGTTATATTTAATGTTTTTGATAAATTGTTTATTTGTAGGCATATCTCAAGACGCCATCTAGCGACAACACAATCCGCTCGGTAGGCAGCATCCGATAGCTTAAAAAGAGCGGATTGAGTAATAACTCCAAATTTTTGAAAAATAACCGAAAAAAAAGCATTATCTGTATTTGTAACAAAAATAATTCTTTAAATTAATGCAACTATCCGGGGCTCCACAAAAGCCTCCACCCTAAGCTCAACTAACCAAACCCACGGGCAGTCCCAACAGATTACATCACGGAACACAAAAAAACAACACGTACCACACTGAAAAATCAACTTTAAACACTGTACAACTAGCAAAACCGATCATCGCTATCTGCGCCTCTCGCCCTTCTGAGTCTTGCGTTTCTCCTTCTTTTCCTCTTTTAAATTCTTCTGCTTCTCTCTGGAAGATAAAAATGACAGCTCGAGCGACAGGAAAATTGTTACTTACCGATCCTCCTTGTCCTTCTCTTTCTTCTTCTGGCAATCGGCGCGAGCCTGCTCCCTTTTTAATTTCTCGGCGTCCGCGACCAGCTGCGCGTTGACGTTTTTTTCTAGGTCGCTCTCCTTGGAGGTGCCCTCGACTTGTTCCTCGTCTTCCGAATCAGTCATCTGCCCGTACTGAGAAAGGATCGCCTCCCTGATTTTCTTCTCTTCCTCCGTATACTGTTTTTGTTTGGCGGTGGGTAACTCGCGCTCCATCAGCTTCGCCAGTTTCTCGTCGATGTTCACGTTCGATATCGGCGGAGGCGGCGCCTCCGCCTTCAGCGACTGCCACTTGATTAGGATTTCCTCGCAGATCTGGCCGATTTCCACGCCCTGCAAATACGGAACGAAATGCCGCCGCGTCTTCGCGTCACGCGATAGTTACGTTTTCCACGATTTCGGCGAGTATCCCGCGAAGGGCTTCGGACTTCTCCTCGCTAGTCTCGTCGCAGTCCAAAATACCTTCAATGTAGGACCCGAATACGGTCTCGTCCGTGTTCAGTTCGCGCAGTTTCACGACCAGCCAGCTTTTGAAGTCGACCGACGTCCCCATTTTACAATAATTGCAGTCGTTCGAGGTTTTAAATAATTTCGCCGCAGTTTTTAGGTTAGGCGACAGAGCGCGATTAGGTTAGGTTATACGCAGCACAGTGTGCAACAGACCAAAACTAAAAACTGGAAGAATTAAATTTGCATTCTGGAGTTTTTTTTATTGGTATTAGATTAAAACGCGACACGCTATTAAAGCCTTTATGTTACAGCAACAAGATTAACTGGGAACCATAGTACAATGCAATTCTTCTTCTTCTCTCCCATTGGCACAAATTATTTGACCTTGACACATATTGGAAATCTACTTTTTGTTTTGTACTGAGAGACAACAGAATGAACTTTTAATATTTTAAAGAAGAGTCTATGTGCTTCTGGATTGCTCCTGGATTTTTAACTGATTGCAACGGAAAGAAAACAAATTTACACAGTGGAATACATTTCCCAATAATTAGTCACAAAGTGACTACCGATTTAATTAACTGCTTCAGCAATTATATCATCGTGAATATTAGACATCTGGTAACCGACCAATACGGAATCCATGGACATCCGCATAAAACGAACGCGAATTCACAAAACTATAGGAACAATTTTTCAACTGATTTCTAATTAACCGGGCTGGTTTAAGCCGCAGTCTGCCAGTTAATGATGTGTTTCATAGCGTCGAAGCTTTTAAAACGAATCTATAGGATCGGACGAGAGCCAGCGATCAAAGTAATGTCAATAGAAGCGTAGCGGCTTATTAGCAATGGGCGAATGATTTTTGCAAATTGCCGGACTTTTTTTGCGCAAAGTTGCTATTCCGTGGTAGCTTCGCCACTGAAGGAAATATGTTGTTTCCTTGAGTGTACAAATGTAGCATAAATAAAGAAAATCATTCCGAATGCTTTAAACGTTGAGGTTGTGCGAGTTTGGTTATCATTCAAGAAGAAAAGCGATGCGTCTTGGTGAAAATTAAATAATACCGATTAAAGGTTCGTTTCGTATTGCCTTAGTTTTTACATTAATAAACCAAACAAAGCTAGTATTTAGTGTTTTGCAATTGAGCTTCGTATAGATTACGTATTTTGTCGAAAAGCTTGGCAGCTTTTGGGAGGCTATGGTTACCACGTTATTGTTGAAATCTATCGTACTATACGCTTCCTCGTATTAACATTGTATTTTCCTTAAGATGCAGTCTCAGCTAGCGGCGGCATTGTTAGGTCATAATACTAATGCGACTTCCGCCGCAAGTAATTTAGATGACGATGAAAACTTTCGCGAGGACGAGCCCGAAGACACTGAAGAATTCGATGAGGTTTTACATTTATTTTCCTTTTTTTTATGTTTAGTCGGTGTACCATTGCATCTAGCGAGCTAACTTTAAGCCTTTGCGCGGTTGTTATTCGTGCAATTAAACGTGTCAGCATGAGAGAACTCACGCATGAGTATGTTATGTGGTTTGGGAATGTAGTTTTTGTGTACTGGGTGGTCAATTAACAAGACTTGAAGTACAAAACTCATAAATAAAGTTAAATTTCTAGAATGGCCGGCAATGGGAGTATTTGTAATCCAAGATTATTTCTCTAAACGCCCCAAGTCTCTACGACAGTTAGTCAGCCAACCAGTACAACCGCTCGCGTCCTTCATTGTAATTAGTCCCCTTTTGGTTGGCAACTAACATATTTTTTTCAAGATTTTTTTGACTCAGTGCTACAGTTTAGGAATATTTTCCCCAATTTTCTAGGAAGTCGTGAACGAGAATGATAAGCCCAGCGTTAAGGTGGTCGGGAAAGAGTCGAGCAACCGAACTGTCACTTTGCAGATGCTCCTCGGTGCGGGCATCTTGAAGCCTGGTGCCGGTGCTATGACCATTGAATACCTGGGGCAAAAATTCGTCGGGGACCTGTTGGAAGACGGCAAGATACGCAGTCAGGAGACGGACGTGGTGTTCGCTTCGCCGAGCGCTTGGGCGATCGCCTGCAAAAGGTTCATAAATCCGGACAAAAAGTCCGGCTGCGGTTGGGCCTCCGTCAAATACAAGGGCAAAAAGTTGGATGCTTACAAGAATGTTTGGTACAAGAAGAAAAAGGAGGACGAGAAAATTGAATTAGAGAAAGAGAGTGAGTAAAAATAGTTATCTGAAACATACCACATTAGGTTAACATCACAGAATATTGAAGTTAACTTTTGGTTAGTTATTACGGGATTCTCGAATTACAAATTGTTCAGTGAGATTTTGAAATTGATTTGGGTACTCGAATTACGCTGTTTTGTTGAACTGTTGAAAGATTTAGGGGACTTTCTTGCAAAATTTGATGGTTAAGTTGGACTCTTACAACAACGTTTGGTTCAAGAACAAGAAGGAGGACGAGAAAATTAGAGAAAGAGGGTGAGCAAAAATTGTTGCCTGAAACACGCAAGGTTAACACCATAGAATATTACAGATATTTTTTGGTTAGTTAACTGATTCTCGAATTACAAATTGTGAGGTCAGATTTTGGAGTACTTACGTGTGGGTGCTCGAATTACGGGTTGGCTCCCCTCAAACAGTATGGTACAGAGTAATGCTATTTACAAATCTTTTGGATTTCTCCTGCATTGGTTGTTTATAAATCCAACTTGCTAGCATGTTGCCAATCATCCTGCTGACTTCTTCACTCAGGAAGTTTCTTAAAAAGAAAAGAAAGGTACAGAGCAGAATGCTCGTCAATTTCAGTTGAGCTTTGAAGAAGCCAACAGGATGAAGGAGGAAGTTTCTTTGAAAAATTAACGTTATTTTTCATCAAACGCGCATAAGGCATAAACTAAAACAAAGCCAAACGGTGGAAAAAGTTCCCATTTAGTGGGCTTCTCTTTTCTTATTCCGGACTGAAACCAAATAAGAAGCACATCCTAACCTATAAAAACAAAAAAAAATATGCAAACTTGGGTTTCATCGGCTGCCTGTAAAATTGGTACCACCTAAAACGAGATCGTCTCTCGAATAGACGCGAATCTAGAACAATTATTACAAAAACAACAGCAACAGCTACAGCAGAGCGCAGCGGCGGTGGCCGCGGCAGCGTCGACCGCTACCAACGAAATCGCCATGTTTCAAAGGTTCGTCGTCAAACACAACACCATCGCTAATCGCACGATCACGCAGTACGTTAAATACGTCACTTATCCGATCGTATTTGGTATCAACGTCCCCGTTTTCTTGCAGCGACGGCAATACGATGATCGAGTGCGTGCCGTTCGCGAGTCTCGGCAAGATTCCGCCATTTTTGATCTCGTTACATACGAACGCGGTTCTGCTGATGGACTTTCACTGTCACCTCACCAAGTCCGAAGTGTCCGGCTATCTCGCCGGCCACTGGGACGTAAATTCGCATAGTAAGTGACGTTTCCGATCGAGAACTTCAGTCGTCTTTGACGTTCGGCTCTTCTTCTTTTTTAAAACGCGGCCGTTCTGTCAATTCGTCGGTATTCTTTTTTTTTTGCGTAGACCTGGTAATTACGCACGCTTTTCCCTGTCGGAACACGAAAGCGGACAGGGCAAATGCGTCTGCCGTGGAACAGGAAATTTCGAACACGATTGATAGAGAGAAACTGACGCTTGTTGGTTGGTATCACTCGCATCCGTTCGCGGCGGCGGCGCCTACACTGCGCGACGTCGACGCTCAGCTGGACTACCAGATCAAGATGAGGGGCACGCACGATAACAGTTACACGCCATGCATCGGCGTCATCATATGTAAGAATTTTGTGTTTGACAGTTTTATTTAAAATTCTTATAGGCTTCGTCTTACAAGCGCGCGCGCTGACTTGCTAATGGATTCGGGCCGACCAAATTTGGTTCGATGAAGTTCTGAGGCGTTTTGTTTTTGTAAACAATACTTTAAAGGCCGTAAGCCGCAACTATACCGTTATTTTAATACAATTTGTATCCCGTATTTACTTATTTGTAAATAAGATATTGTCCACATTTAAACCTAACAGCAAACAAGAAAAAATAATTGGTATATTAGCTGGTCCATATCTCGCGCACCCTGTATGACAGACGAAAACGGTAAATGCAAAAATCATATCCCTCAACGCGACCTAAAAGGGCGTCAAAACCAAACGGCGCCCTTTGTCGCGCTTCGTTGGTTACAGTCGGTAATTTACTCGGAAAAATGACAATTTTCAGCATAACCCAAACACCCTATATATTTTTTACTCATACCTTTAGGTCGTTGTTCCAATTCTCGCGCGTCTTCCGGTTAAATAATTTTTTCTATAGGAGAGCTGCTTTTTGTAAAAAGTGGAATTTCCCCGTTCTCAACAAAATTTTCATTTTTTTTTTTAAATACTTCAAGATTTCCGATCCCGTTCAGTTTTACCAGGTTCCATCCCAAACTCCCGCCGAATTTCCACTCGTTTGCTCTAAATTTGAGACCCTTACTTGATATCATGGCGACTTTCTGAGCAAAAACTAAATAATAGGCGACAAAATGGCCGCCGATGTCGGATCGGCTCGATAATTTGCGGGCCGCTTTGGATCGCTTAGTATTAGATCAGAGAAAAAGTTGAAGTTCGTACTTCAAAAACCTACCGAGGGTTTATTACAGAGAACAGAGAAAATATAAAAAAAGGTTTGATTTCGCTGGTTTTCCTTTTCTTCTGGTTGTTGGCTCACATTCTATCAGTATCTTTGGGATTTTTGTTTACTGTATTTGTTGTTTTCTGTTTCTTCATTACTCTACATTTCAACCTTTTCTATTTTCTTTTGCGACAGAGAGACGCCATCCATGGTGACTGTACAATATTCTATGCTCAGCAATTATAATCTTTCTAAGAATATATAAGCTACAGCCTTGGCGATTTACCGCATCCCAACCTGCCACTCGTCTCAATGTCTTTTTTTAAGGATTCCTCTGAAGTTCGCTATTAGTGTTAAAAACTTACCTCATTGAACATTGTCAAACACTTCTTTGTAGTCTACAAAACAAAGGTACATAAGGTAGGTAACGTTATCTTGAGTGGATAATATATAGCATGATGAGTGCAATAGTCTATTGTAATTGTAATATATCCTCGTACTGCCGTTCTCATGAAGAGTTATGATGACTGAATTATACCAATCTTTGGTCATTGACCAGTTTGCCATGTTGCTTGATAAAACAGGTGGATAACAAACAGGAAATTTTCACCAACAAGTTTTAATACCTCCACTTGGTGTCTTGCCCTGTAAATTTGTTATTTAAACTGTAAAATTCTTTGGTCACAGTAGTCTTTCCATGCTTTAGGTTAAGCTCTGAGAATCCTGTGCATGTTCCATGGAAAAAGTCATTTAGTATGTAGATTTACCTTGTCCGCGTTCTCTCTGCCTTTAGACCTATCTTGTTGAAGTACTAATGCCCCATAACACCTAGTTTGGTTGCTTGAGAATGGTTAAAATTTAAATTTATTATTATCATTATGTTTGGAACTCTTGGAAGTGGAGTTAATCAAGTTCTAATATTGTGCGGCATATCTGTATTTATGCTGTGCTAGATAGATTCTTCCTCAATCATCCTAGTACGGTCACTAGAAAATAATCTGTATTGGCCTTTAGTAAGTGTCACACCCTAGAGCTCAATCTTGACTTGATAGTTTTATTATTGCAGTTATCACATCAGGTACTTCCTTTTTAAAATAATTTACTTGGAAGTTGTCTCCATTCATTTTAGGGTCCTTCTACTTATACTACTATACTACTTATACTTATATTATCTAAAGGTTCCTTGAAAATAGACACGTTTATTGTTTCAGACCTTTCTCTGTAGTCCTTCTCGAATTTGGCACAGGCTCTATCAATTTTGTCGATTAAATTGGCCACAGGCGAACGCAGTCTCAATGTGATGACGAAAAAAAAAACGACAATCTCTTAGCATTTCAACCGAATCGATCTATCTTCACGATCTATCATCACCTTCAAGCCATCGCAGTGCGAATCAGTTAGTAAAAATTCTTTTATTAGTTTGCTATAATAATAACAAACTGCCTTTATTAAAAATCAAAATCATCATCATCATCATCATCCTCAGCTATCCATCCATCGTCGGACGTACGCCTCCCCTAAGCATTGCCACTCCTTTCTATCCTGCGCATGCCACATCCAATTGTCTCCCACCAGTCTCTTTATATCATCTGTCCACCTAGTCTGGGGGCGTCCTCTGCTCCTCTTACTGCTCCATGGTCTCCACTCCATCACTCTGCGTGTCCAACGATCATCTTTGCTCCTGGCTATATGTCCTGCCCAGCTCCATCGCAGTCTACATAATCTCTCTATGACATCTGTCACTTTTGATCTTTCCCGGATTATATTATTGTTTATTCGGTCCCGGAGGGTTACACCTATCATCCTCCTTTCCATAGCTCGTTGTGTTGTTTGTAGCTTGCAAATGATTTCTTTATTAATTGCCCATGTTTCTGTACCGTATGTTAGTGTTGGAAGTACATATTGATCGAAGATTTGCGCTTTGAGGGTGTTTGGGAGGCCTGAACAAAAAACCTCCCTGAGTCTTCCAAAGGCTGTCCATGCCAACGATATCCTTCGCGGTAGTTCTGCTTTTAAGTTGTTTTTTGAAACTTCTATTTTCTGACCTAGATAAACATAGGATTCTGTGTGTTCTATTTTTTTGTTATCTATTTCGATTCTCGTTTCTTGTGTGATATTATCGTTCGTCATATATTTGGTTTTTCCTATATTCATCTTGAGGCCTATCTTTTTAGAGTTTTGATCTAGTTCCAATAGCATGTCTTGCAAATCTTGTTGATTATCCGCGAAGAGAACAATATCGTCAGCAAACCGTAGGTGACTTAAGTATTCTCCATTTATTTTAATGCCCTTAGTTTCCCATCCGATATTCTTGAACATATCCTCCAACGCAAGCGTGAACAGCTTCGGTGAGATGGACTCTCCTTGTCTAACTCCTCTGCCTATATCAATCTTATCTGTGAAATCTTTCAACATAACTTGGAGGGTTGCGTTGCTATATATATTTTGGATTAAGGTTGTGCATCGATAGTCGACTCTGCTGTTGCTTAATGCCTTCAATACAGCCCATATCTCTACAGAGTCAAAAGCTTTTTCATAGTCAATAAAAGCGACCCAGATTGGGATATTGTATTCATTTGTCTTTTCTATAACTGTTCTTACTACTTGCAGATGATCTAGTGTGCTGAAACCTCTTCTAAATCCGGCTTGCTCTTTAGGCTGGTAACTGTCAAGTTTGTTGGTCAATCTTTCTGTTATTATTTTTATAAATACTTTATACATGACAGACAAAATATTACAATATAAATAATCATACAAGAGTGGCAACATTCGCAAATTGCGTTGTTCCACGTAACCACAAGAACAACAGCAGCAACACAATAATTGTCAACAAAATACACACCCGTATATACATCGCACCTACAAGGAAAAGACGCATAAAACTTTTTGCTAGATACTAGCGGGCCTAATAAAGAATATTAACGCTTTTTTGAAGGACTTTACTGAGGAGAGGGACGTTATATCATAAGGTATTTTATTAAATAATTTAACTGCGTTATAGCTAAAAGTTCTCTGGAAAATTAGCGAAGTGGGTCTTGGAACGCAATATCTTAAACATTTTTTTTAACACTGAGCCAACATAATCCTAAATTTTTACACCCGTCCGAAGAAGGAGAGATAATCTCATCATTTAACGTTTTTTACAATATTTTCCCTTTTAGTTCCAAACAATAACATTTTGTTAGTATTCTATAAGAGGTTGTGTCATGCGTGCGACGTAGCTAAGTTTCGTTTCTTTAGCGCCGTACAACCCCGAAAGCGTCAGCCTAGAGTCCGGCATCGTCGCGTACTGGGTGGTCCCTCCCCCGGAAACCAAACCCAACGAGTATGGTCGCCCGATGCTGATGTCCTATAGCGTCGTCCAGGACGTCGCCCTATCGCCGCACGTCAAAGACGAAATCGCCAAATGCGTCACGTATTACAAAAAAGAGGCGGACTTCGTCGACTTCAGCGACAAGTTCGCGGGCCACGCCCCCTACATCGACAAACTGAAGACGTCGCTGATGTCGAAATTTCCGCGGGACGAGACGGAGACGGCGGTGTGGCGTTTCATCCGGGAGACCTTGGAGGTGGAGGCGGAAGAAAAAGAAGAGGCGGTGTTGTCGATACCGAAACCCGGCCAGCAACTGCTGTCGCCAGCTATTAATTCTAATCTCATTCTACCGACCGACATATCGAGCTTGCTGTTCAGTTCGGGTCGTTTCCCCAGCCCGACGAGTCTTTTGGGGTTGCCCGACCCCATGGCTCACAGTACTCTCGCCGCAAACAACATGTTCCTTTCTACAAACCTGTTCAAGATGCAGGAACTGCTGAAACCGTTTTCCTCCTCCTCCTCCTCCTCCGCGTACAAGCAAAAGGCGGAGTCGTCGACCAAGACGTCGAAGTCGTCGGTGCCGTTAAAAATACCGAACGAGCAAAAGGTCCCGAAGACGACGACGTCAACTTCGTCAGATTTTTCCATCGATTTCATGCACGGCAAGACCAAGGAAGCGACGTCGTCGGAATACCTTAAGGGTATCGGCAAGGCGGCGGGCAAAACGGATTTTTTCATGTCGAGCTTGGTGGCGGGCAAGGGGGCGGATCCCGAGGAGGCGGAGCGGCCGGCCAAAGTATCGAAGCTCGATTACGCGATGGACTTCGGGTACCAAGCGGCCGGGACGGGGGAAGTGGGCGTGGTCGAGTCCGAACCCGACGCCCCGCTCAACCTGACCGGCGACTAAACATGTTTTATTTTATATGTAAATATTTATGATGAAATATATCATCGATCGTCGACGAAGTGTTTTATTAAAAATCCCGGTCTTGAGCAAGTGTCCGACGAAGTGAAGTTACGTGAAGAATTTATTAGATTATACTTCATTGGTAAAAGAAGAACATCCATAGGACTGTGGTAATCTTGGCTCTAGAAGCAAACAAGAAGAAGAACCACGCTAGGGCGTGAAATTAAAAACTTAAGATGACAAATTTTCCCGCGACAAAATCTGACACATTGCTGTTATGCGCGAGTGTCCTTGAATTAAGTTTACTAATTAAATATAAAGAGATCATGAAAATTACTCAACATTCTAAAACATCACTTTGAGCAAACCGGGGAAAGGCCCATCATCGCCAGGTTATGAACGAGTGTTCCTAACTCAACTGGCCGATTGAATGAATTTTTAATAACCATTTCGCCATTTTTAAAAACCAATGCCGCAATTACTCTGGGCCTGGTCATTTTGCTTCTACTGCAGGACCATAAATAGTAAAAAAAACCTAGGATGAAGAATTAAAATTTTATCTTTAAAAGCATATTTAAGATGTTAAGATTAAATATTGTAATACCATAAATCCTCCAAATTCATTGATTAAATGTAAGGAACGATGATAAATAATCACAGCATTCTGACTTATCGCTCAGAATAAACTAGGGAAAGAGCTACAAGCTGGTTATGGGCGAGTGTCCTTGGCTATTTTAACCGACACAGTGAATTTTCGATAGCCATCAACATAACCACACTAGGATGGTCAATTAAAGCTTATCCTCTAAAACAGGTTCAAGAAGAAATATATCCATACGGTAAAACTTAAAAATTTATTAATTAAATGGAAGAAAAAGTCACTAGGTATATTTACATATTAGGGTTCACTGATTAGAACGTATACATAATTAAATAGGTACTGTACAATATGAAAGATTTTTTTTTCGGAATTATGAGTTATACAAAAGATGTTATATTCAATGCGCGTGATCGACAAAGAAATTCGGGGCTCTCAATATGAGACCGCATGTAGGTTTTCGTGATGTTATAATAAAAATTTCACAACCCGCTTTAGGAAATTTCCGATAAAAATCGTCGATTTAAAGAAAAAAAATACTAAAATTAACCGAACAAAAACAGCCCAAACATTCGCTTACTGTTGGGTGCCATTTTCTTAACCCGACTAAAACCGCCATTTTTCAATAAATTTTTTTCGTTATTTGGTACCCTAAAAGACGAGAATCCATCCGAAAGTCATTTTTTCTTTAACCTACTGGCTATCCACTCTAACCCCTGATACAGACTGGAAAAGAACAAAAAAAAATGTCACCGCCAAATAAACATTAAACAAAAACAATCTGTACCCATGCACAGACCTTGACTCTTGGCTTAAAATTAAACTCAGGAAAATAAACAGTTGACTTAACATATCATGGCCTTTTGAAATCTAAACAAACCTGACAAAACTTGCGTCACATGCTAATTTTTTCGCCGCTAGATAACGTTTGCACAAAAACGAAATTAAACTTACCCGTCTCCCGTGAGAGCGCAACACGACTGTATATGCCACTGCTGCAGCTTGATCGAGGTTAGATTTAGCTCTTTCGATATTTCCGAGGCACTCATCGAGCCTTTCACGTCCTGCTTATTGGCGTACACCAAAACGCCCGCCTTCGACAGTTCCTCATGGGCCAACATCTTGTACAGCTCCTCCCGTATAACGGGTAACCTCTCCTTATCCGTCGAGTCTATCACCACAATGACAAACTGAAACGGGTTAGCCTTTATAATAACGCAGAAAATGGCGAAATTCGAAAACACCACCTCGGTGTTGGTATAGTAAGTACTCCACGCGGCCCGCAGGGACTGCTGCCCGCCCAGGTCCCACATAATGAAATGGATATTTCGCCACACTACCTCCTCCACGTTGGAGCCTATCGTCGGACTCGTGTGGACCACCTCGTTCATCAAAAACTGATACAAAATCGTCGTCTTGCCGGCGTTATCCAAACCCACGATAACAATTTTGTGTTCTGCGATCGAGAAAATAAGGTTTTCGCGATAACGCCCCATCAAACGGCTTACCTTCGCTGCCGAAAAGACTCCACAGCTTCGCAAACAACAGCCCCATCCCAAACGAGCGCTAATATTTAACAAATATGTGTACGAACGGTAACAAAAAAAAACGCGAATTTACAAAAAGGAAATCCCGTATCTTACGAAAAATCGCTTCCAACTCTCTCCCGACGAAAAAATTTCACATGCTGCTACGATTTTTCTACACGTCTCACGCGACGCTAATCGGACGCTAGAGGAATTCGCTTATCCGTTGGACTAATTGAGACATTTTCCTTTCGTGAAAGTTTCAATAACGCCTGAGCTCCCGTCAAAAACATATGCGAACGAGAAACAAAAACACTCCAGCACAGAACAACCCGACGAGGAGTCTTCTTCTCTTCCTTCGCTCGGCGACAGTACAAAAACGTCGCCTTAACGCCAACCGTTAGACCGACATGGACGTTTCGTGACGTCACGATCGATCAGAAGCGCGTTTTAGGCGGAAATAGCGTGTCATCGCGGCAGGAAGTTTGCTTTTCAACACGAAAGGGCAAAAGGTTCGAAGTGCTGCGATGGCCCGGTTCGTCGCGACCGTTAAGGCGGTAATTACGCGCGTCGTGTTCGCGACGCACGGTATCGTAGGTATCTGGCAAGTTACGATTTTCAAGAAGAACTCTTATTATTGGTACCTGAGTTCGCCGATCTTGCTGCTGTTTTTCGAGGGCATTTTCACGCTCACCATTAAGGAAAACCAAGAGTGGAAATGGTGAGCGGACTGTGTTTATGTAGCGTTATCATTTAGAAACTACTTTTTTCCGGTTATGTCACATTGCGCGCGTTATTTTGCAAGCTCCTGCTTTTTTCAAAAGCAAACCTTACCAAAAGATCAAGAAAATGTCTAAAGCAGTTTTATTTTCGACACCTGTTTATTAAAAAAAAAGTATATTAAAAAAAGCCTTTTGTTTTACTGTCCATGAAAAATAAATTCGTTATTCTTTTTATTTTAGTAGTTTTACCGCTTTATATTTACTATTGCGCACTTTTTCCGACGTTGCTTTGAATCCAATACGTTCAGTTGCTACAAGTTCTTTTTGATGACGTCACGGTGAAAGGTCAGGCTAGTTAATTAGTTAGTTATTTTACTTCTGATGGCTCCGACTACATAAGTTCATTCGGCCAGCTTACAACTATTGACAAAAATTTCTAAAGGATGCCTTCGTAAAGAAAGGGTCTGGACTAGTCTAACATCCTCCAAGTTCGTTAAAATATAAAAATACAATAATAAAAATAATATCCGTTAATGGATAACATATCACAAATCCACGTACACCCGCGTAAGACGAACACTCTTTCCCAAAATTATAGGCACCGCTACTGTATCACTTCAGATAACAAATATACAAAACAGTATTTTACATCAAATGACACTAATTTCAACCGATTTCTACATTTTTCGGAACTGGGCAACGTCCGCCATGTGCAATGGTTCCCTCGCCAAAGGCCAGGTTAAGTGCGGGGGATTTTTTCGTGACAAATGTATTTCCTACAAAACAGAATAAAGAAGAAACTAGGAATAATAACGTATTTACAAGGTGACAGTTCAGCTGCAATGAAATAAAGCCAAATTTTTTTTTTGGGGATAAGACATGCTCCGTATTATGCAACCAACATTATTGTACGTAGTAATGCGTCACTCGTGTATCGACTAATCGAGAAGCTTTGTTTATTATTTGCTTGCGAAATACTTTTTTTTTAAATAAAGTTACTATTGTTTTTATTTAATCTGTTTTATATAAACGTCTCTATTAAATTTTAATTTTTCGACCCGCGATGTTGATATATATATATATATATATATATATATATATATATATATATATATATATATATATATATATATATATATATATATATATGATGACTAAAGCCGTTTTTCAATATCATCAGGCAAGTTTTTAATAGAAAAATTCACCCTTACGTCACTTACGTCGGTTATTGGGCAATCCAACGACCTTTCAAAATAAATCCAACATGGCGTCTCAGGGCAAAGAAACAAAATAAATAACGTAATTAAACACGGAAGCGAACTTAACAATTTACTGTTCAAATGAAATAGGTACAATTATTTATAAAGAAGCAAAATTACATTTGAAGGGTATAAAAATGTTGAAAATGTGTACAGCATTTGTGGTTGACAACGCTGACTCTAAAGCTGGAACAGCTAAGTTTTGCAGTAAAAAAAATGGAACATTTGGAACAAAGAAGAAAGAACAATCGCTATCGTCATTTGCAAAATCAAATAAAATCCCTATTGAATAGTTTTATCTGATATTAAAAAAAAACACATTTCATGAGGTGAATTTTTTAATAGTACCTTTCAACAATATCGAAATTTTCTTGTAATAATGACTCTTGGATTGCATAATTAACATAATCTTTCTGGCGTTATCTTGAATTCAACATTTTAGTACTTGCTTGTTCTTTTTTGATGACGTCACGTTGAAGGGTTAGATTCTTTTGTGATAAATGTTCCCGGTACAAAATAGTCACAGGAAAGAAACTATGCATATGGTAATATTTCAAACGTGAAGCAGTTCAGCTAAAAGGAAATAAAAGAAAATTTTGATATTGATAGTGATATTAGCGAGCTTTTTTTATTAGTTGCTTGCTAAATATTATACTTCGAACACAATATTCACATCCAGCGCAATCACTAAAGGAAATGAATCGGGAAATCGTGAAATCTGGGTTAAGCGCCGCCTAGACCCATTTAGAGCGAAATGGGCGGAAATACAACCACTTAGGGGATGACATCCGCTTCCGTTCGACGTCAAGGACATCTCAAAGCCAATATATGGGATCGACCCACCGATTTACCACCCGAAATATCGACGTTAACTTTTTTTATACAAGGGTTTTTCTCACCCGTTCAAGAGCCAATCGCTCTCGGAACACTCGCCCAAACGTTTTGCAGGTTCTGCCCATCCGTGTTCCTTTACCTTGCTAGCATTGTGCCGGCAATATGGCTACTCGAACTTGACAAGGTCGATAAGAGGATGAAAGCGCGCGAGGAGCTGGAAACGCCGATGAATTTCACCGATCCCCAACTGAAGGAGCTTCACAATCTGATCGGGGTGGGGATCAAACTGCCGGACATTTCCCTCAGCACGGAAACCTGGATCACCCTGATCGAGCAGTTCCTCATGCTGATCCTGATCATCGGCAGGTGGATGCTTCCGAAGGGAGACCTAACCAGGGACCAGCTCAGCCAGCTGTTGCTCGTTTACATAGGTGAAGGGGTTATTACGTATGAATTATGATATATGAGGAACATGGAACACAGAAGCTCTATGTAGATATGTGAAACTGCTTTAATATGCCATTTAATTGGAAATATATCAGAAGAGAGGCAAAAGCAAAGTATTTAAGTGAATAGCGATCAACAGTGGCGTGACGGTGTAAATAATTTCATTTTTTTTTCAAATATATGCTACGTTACTCTATATAGTAACGATTGCTATTAATATTAAGATGTCTAGTATATCTCTAACATTTCCGAAAATGAACTTTAATAACTTCCGAATGACTGAACGCGTTCTGTCAAATTTTGGAATCTTGAGCGGATTGATGTCGACCGCTTATATCGCCGCTAGATGGCGTTTCGCAATATAGCTACAAAGAAAATTTATTTTCTCAACAGTTATGTCAACTTTTTTGAAACAAATAACAAATGCAAGGACTGTGTGAAACACCCACTTTCAAATCTGCCTCCTAACCTTAAATATCAGTAAAAGAAAAAAAAACTAGAAACAATGGCGCATCTTTGGGAATATTTTCGTTATACCGGGCGTTACTATATCCAAATCCTAGTCCTTTCAGCAAAATATTCGAATTTGAAGACGCCCATTGGGATGCTTAGTCTACAGGTGGAAAAGACACTTTTTTACAAGCAAGGTCACCGAAAAATAATAAAAATAGCTACAGTTTTAATATAATTGAAACTTTAAACAATTTGTATGTTGTTTGTCGAAGCACACTTACCTTAAAACAAATCAAATTTCGTGATGACAGAATGGCAACATTCAATCATATTTTGGATGGGTATTGATTAAATTAAAATTTTTATGGTCAAATCGTCCACTGTGCTAATATTAACACTCGGGACCCGGTCAAAGTCAACAGGAAACGCGACTTTTCTCAGCCAAGGTCGCGCTTTCCGCGCGAAATCGCAGGAGAAATTCGAAGCGGTGGCTCACTTTGATCTATTTTTAGGAACTGCGGCCGATATCATTGAATTTTTCGATTCCTTCAAGGACGACAAGATCGCCGCGGAACCGATACTGGTCCTCCTCACGTTGGCGATTTGGTAAGTTGTCCGTGGTCCGTGGAAGACGTACGTGTCAGATGTGGTCCATGACAGCACAGTCGACAAACCCCAAACTCGCGAACATAACCTATAACTTATACGACATAACGTATAGCGTTGGTCAACTGATCTTACAGATTTGGCCAATAGAAGTGAAGAAGAGAACGTAAAGCGAAACAAGTCCTTAACCTCAAATATTTTAGATTGTATATTTTAAAAAGGATTCGGCTGTCGTTAAAACATTAAAAGTCCTCCTATAGACGTAACCTTATTACTATAAAACTTAAAAGTAATAAAAAAAACACTCTAAACACATAAATACGTACAGTACAGGCAAAATAACAAAGTGAGTATTACAATGACACTGGTTTTATCTGATCTGGAAAAAGCAGAAAGTAACACGTAAAGTTAAGGTCTAAAATTTGTATAATCGAAAAAAAAAAAGAGAAATAAGAGGTGCGTTTTATGATACTAATATCAGATTTTTGATTAATTAAAGATGTGATAGAGAGGCAAAAAACAAACACAAGGATTTAAATGTGTATAGTCAATCAGGGCATACTACATCACGTTAGTTCAAGCACATCAACTTTTGGGTATTATTATTTCTTTTCTGTTACTTCTTTCTGGTCGTTAGATTGGAATTTACAGCATATTCGAAAAACCACTGCGTTGCCAGTGAACTCTACAATCAACAAGCACAAAAACTGAGAAATACCTTGTATCACGACGCGTCACAGAAAAAATTGAGGTAAAAACCATAGAACTATTATCGTTGTATTGACTAGTTCTTCCCTATAAAAGAGATCGGTTGTTTTCTACGAATTACGCACAGCGGTCAGAATGATGACGTAGCTCAATTCATAATTTTTTTATTTATGTCGAAGGAAAAACCACAACCTCTTGTTTAGTAGTACCTACTAGTCGGATTTTGAAAATCCATTAAAGTTAGTGCCAAAAATATGCTCAACAGAATATTCAACGTGGAGCTTTTTGTCAATGTTCATGAACATATATAGAACATATATTATTATAGTGTATTATACGAGACCTACATACTGAAAACTACTTCCGCTCATGCGATGTGATGTGGGGTAGGTATTCCTGAACAGTCTAGGATTTAAAGGGTACACCTGAATTCTTTTGGTTAGGTATAAAAAAAAACCACGGCACATTTGACGTAAATTTAGAAGATTTATTTTTTCAATAGAAATACTTTATACGAAGTGTGATCAAAAAGTAAAGTCACTTTTGTAATTGGCCGGGCTACATACGTTCGATCTTCGACATGTTTATTTTGTTATGTTGGTGCGCATGTCCCTATCAGTTATCCACACTTTCAGTCAGTTTGCACGTTTATTTTATGTGAGACAGAAGCGTTGGATGTGTTTTGTGTGCTCGGCGATTTTCTGCTGTCAAAAAAATGGAACAAGGAAATTTTGTGTAAACAATGGAATGCAGTGCCGCAAAAAACTTGAAATGTTGACATAGGCATATGGTGAATCTACTTTGAGAAAAAAAAAATGTTCATTACTGGTGCAAGCTGTTCCAAGATGGCGCTCTGGACGCCCCAGCGCGTCAATAACTGACAAAAGCGTTAAAGTGAAACAAATTATGCTCAAGAATCGTCGAATTACTATTACAGAGGTGGTGAAGATCTCGGCATCTCTATTGGCTCGTACCATGCATATTTTTCCGAAGTTTTGAACATAAAAAATTGTTCCGAAACTGCTTAATTTTTAACAAAGGGAGCGTCGAAAGAGCATCGCTCAAGAGCTGTTAAACGTCAGCGACGAACCTGATGTGTGTATAAAGGTCATAACTGGTGACGAATCAGTCGTCCCAATTGAAGAACTCAGAATCGATAGGACCGAAAAAGGCACGTCAAGTTCCATCAAATTTAGCTTTGCTTACTGTTTTCTTTGATTGTCGTGGCGTAGTACTCACTCATCGTTGCTTTTGTCCAACTTATTGACCCAAACGTCATGCCTCAACCACCATCTTCACCGGATATAGCCCTCTGCGACTTTTTTCTGTTCCCAAAAAATTCAAAAAACTCATGAAAGGAGGGAGGTTTGGAGCGATTTAGGAGATAAAGAGAAAATCGTTTGATGAATAAATAAATAGTTCTTGATCTTACTTTTTGAACACACCTCTTATAACACATAATAAGATGTGACAAAATGAAATGAAGCCATTCCACATTTTTAGGTCCTGGAGCCTGATGCAGTTCACCGTGGTCTTGACAGCGACGAAATCGAGGAAATCGCGGCTCACTTCGACACGATCCACCATCAAAAAGTAAGCGTACTAAGCTTACTACGGTGTTAATATATAATAATTATAAATAAATTCTCTCTGTTATGACCATGCAGAGATGAGGTTTTTATTTTTCGAAGCGAACACCGGATTGAAAAAAGTCATGAAATTAAATTTCTTTACAAATGATCGGAGAATGTAAGAATAGTTTTTTATTTTAGGACAAATCAGTGGTGTACCATGAATGTCTACCAAAACAGACGGATAAAGTTTCGTACGCCAGCCACTGGTGTATTTAAATAAAAATCGTAACACACTAAATCATGTCTCTCGATACATAGTACACGTGTATCAAATTTTATTAAAATGTCTAAATTATTACGGTTTCTGGGAGTATTTTAAAAAGAAAACTTCATATGCACGTACGTGCCCTAGGCTTCTTCAATTGAAGGGACAGCTTTTTTTTTCGATTTAAAGACTTTTCGTTATATAGAGTTATAGGCAGATGTTAAATTTTTTTAAAGAAACTTCCACAGACTACTGTAATGCTTTTTACGTATTGTTATTTTTCAAGTGCCTATAACTCTATATAACAAAAAGTCTATATAACGAAAAAAAAGCAGTCCCTTCAATTGAAGAAGTCTAGGGCACGTACGTGCATATGAAGTTTTCTTTTTAAAATAGACCCCTTGATTATTGACATATATTGACGTATATGTCAGTGACAGATAAGATGTACGTCACTGTTGGGATCTTCAGAAATTCGTGCCAAAACGGAAAATCGGCGAATCGCGCCGCGCAAAAATTATTTTAGGACTTGTCATAAGGCCAAAACTTATCCAACCGACACGGTTAGCGAATAAAACCCCAAAGCGAAAGAATTCGACACGACCAACGCATTATTTTTGGAATTCCGAGGGCGTTTTTTTTTCCTTCGTAAACAAGACGTCCGCCACTAAGTTTGTTTAATCACCGGCAATTAGCGGGGTATTTTTAGCGGCGGTCGACTAATCCGCCGAGACATAAATCGCCGGTGATTTCATTCACGCAGGACGCAAAACAAACGTTGACGTCACGACGCGAGAGTTTCATCGAGAACGTAAACATAAGAGGAACGCCCCTCGTCTCTGACGTCAACGCCATCGCAACACTTCTTCTTCTTTTCCTTCTTCGGTACTTCTTTCTCCTGAGGCACACGGGCTGCGTTTAGAAGACGAAGAAACTACAATCCGTAGAGCCAGATGAACTATCCAATATCCCCAAGAAAGGGGTACTGTACTGCGTGATTTATTATATTTTGACACCCACCCAGAGGGTTCATTTTGAGAGATAGAAAAAAAGTGTAAATACAGAAGTTTGAAAATTTTTGCACTGTTATCTTAAACGAAGATCGCAAGCTGTCAAAATGACAGCAACATTTTTTTTAATGGAAGGGCCTATATATTATTATCTTAAATCGTTATATAGTTTATTGATATCTAATTTAGCAGTTTTTGAGATAACGAACGAACTCTAAAATATCAAAATTTTGCACTGAAATGTATATAAGACGGAAGACGGAAATTGTCTAAACAAAATAATATTTACGGATTAGGCTTGGCATTTATGGCAGTTAATGTATGGCGTGGTATATTGAATAATATGGTGGTCGGACCAATCATATACGAAGAATCCTTGAATGGCCAACGATATTTAAATTTCCTTGCAACAGAAATACAACAGTTGTTAGAAAATGTGGCAGTTGGGAATTAGTTAAATTTAATTTGGCATTAAGATGGCACACCTCCATATAATGTCCAACCGGACATTTTTTTTATGTGGACACTTAAAAAATAAAATTTGTTATAATGGGCCTGAAAGTTTACAAGTGATAAGAGAAAGACATCATTTTACAAGATCTAAACAGAAAAAACTCGCATTTTATCACCTCGTTTATTAATTGGAAAGTGAAAGGAAATAATTGTCCGATGTATAGAAAATAATGGAGGTTATGTGGAAAATGTTTCTATATTAAAACCCTATTGAAAAGCATTACATTAGAACCACAGGATATTCTGGTTAGTTTTGAAGTAGAATCCCTCTTTACTAAAGTCCCTATTTCTTAAACTCTCAACATCATTTCAGATAAATTAAAATCCGAGAATCCGGAACCAAACTCGATTGAAAAAGGTTTGTCTGTCTGTTTTTCTTGTAACGGTCAAATTTTTGAACAAACTTCGGGAACCGTTATAGCTTCTCCATTCTCAGCAGTCCATCACCATCAGCAAAACGAAAATTATGTAAATGCTACGTCGATGATACCTTTGTTATTTGGCCTCATCGTTAAGAATCTCTACGAGATTTTCTTAGCCATTTCAACCCTATACACCCAAACATACGTTTTACAATTGAATTGTAAACTAATAATAATCTCCCATACTTAGATATTTCTTATCAATATACTACGGTCAGACTCGAAATTTATATACTGTCCGCTATGTGTAGAACATCTAGAAAGCGGCCTATGTCTTCCCTGTCTCTGTCTAGATTATGACGGTACTGTCAACATATCGAAGTCAGGGAGAGAAGCTAAAAATAACCTTGCGTGAATAGAAATCGGCCCACGGCGATGTTTGACTTTCATTTTTTTTCTAGAAACTATTTTAAATTCATTGCAACGATTCCGATTGGAGTTGCCCCACTCTTATGGCCTTTGCAGGTCCGGCAGCTGCTGCACCATCGACGTGTGGGGCATAGCGCTGAACATCACCCTCCAAGACGCCCCGTTTCTAGTGTTTCGTCTCCTCCTCATCACCCACTTCAAAATCATCTCCTACATGAACGTCTTCTTCACGTGCAAGAACACTCTCGTCATCCTGCTCCAACTCTATCGTCTGTATGTCGTCTACAGCGAGCACAATAAAAAAAGTGAGGACTTTAACCTCACTGACATTTCGATCATATCCAAGTCAAGCGTAGACGACGGCGACGGCAGGAAACGCAGGAGGCAGCAGGGTGGCGGCAGGCGAGGCAACCCGGGCAGAACGCCAGTGTTGGAATACTCCAGCGCAGAGGAAGTTGGACACGATGAAATCATCCGCGTCCAAAAAAAACGGTAAGTTATAGCTACCTACTACAGATGAGCCCATATTATCTATGAATATGGAACAGACTTAATTGTTCTATTAAAAGAGTGGCTCTGTCTTGTAGAGTTGATCTTTTTCCAGTAGACAATTAAAAAAAAAAGATAAACTTTATATTAGGAGCTTAAATGCTTCTATCACGTTGGAATTTAGTAATTAAAGGAATTTCATTGAATCTCTATGCTCAGTTGGAAGGAGACATCTTAATCGTCTAATAGATTTAAGGATATTAATGTTTATGGATTAAGTGATAATCTTCCTCAAATAATATAAATAAAGCATATTAATCAAAGTAGAAATTAATCTACCAATTGAGTAAACAATATTTCTTTTAGTAAACGAACGAACCGGGTTATGGTGGCAACAAAACCTCTTCACATGATCCTAGGCTGCATTATTAAAGCCCAGTACAGTCTTCATCTAGTTCATTAATGAATGGAATGGAATTTTTATTCGTCGGTTTTCTAAAAATGGTAGTAAAAAACGTATTTTGCTACTGTAATTATCAGTTACCAAATTTAAATGTAATTAAAAGTTTAATCCACAACAAATACGTCGAGACGGCTTGTCAAGATGCTTCTGTTTTTGGTTCTGATGATTTTCCTCTTACAATAACGGCGCAGCCAAATTTTCATTTGTTTTAGCACGGCGCACAAAGAAAGTATTTATAATTACCTAATATTAAAAAAATGTGTCGAACAATGATTTTTCATAACGATCAATTGGATTACCGTCTGCGACGCCTCTGGACCGCAAATAAAAATGCCAAACTTTGTCGAAATCGGAAAAAATATTTTTGATTAAAAAAAACAAATCAAGTTAGGACCTGCGAAACCGATATCAAACGTTTGACGATTTAAATCTGGGTCACCTGAGCATGTTTAGATGGTAGTATTAATTCACATAATAAATTAGACATAATTTGCTATAATATCCATTAACTGTACAGAGACCCTGAGCATCTTTAGATGGTAGTATCAATTCACATAATAAATTAGCCATAATTTAAAAGGTAGATAACTAAAAATAACTTACCCTGCGGAATGTTTTGAAACTGTAAACGCATTATTGTATTGTTTTAGATGTTGCCAGTAAATAAACAAAAACCATTAATATTAAATGTTTTAAATTGACGGCAGAAGGCAATACGTTTATAAGCGTATTATTCTCCATGCAGTTTTGACCGCAAACACAAGTTTTTCCGCTGGACTTTGCCACCAAAACGCGGAAAGATACGATAATCAGCAAACTCCGAACACGAACACAACAATGGCACAGAATGCCGGTATTCTGTGGCAGTAGCGATATTTCAGCGCGGCGTTGCCAATGATGTTTTCAGGCACAGATTTCAGATTTTTTTAAACCGTTTCAATACAGTAAAGGAATACGTCGAACTGCGTTTCACTGCCACACGCAAATAACACGTTTTTATCCAGCGTTAAACGCGGCGTACGTTAATTTCGATTAGTTTTGGATTATGCAAACATAATTTAGTCGTTAACGGACTCGCAATATCGAACGTGGCCGGGCGCGTTCCTAAAACTTAAACGCGGTTTAGATCAGTAGTCGCTCTTGTTTCAGCAAAATCAAAGGCGGACGAAAGGATACGGGCTACTCGACCGGCAGCTCGCACACGAGCGCTCGCCGCCAGATGTCGCACGAGGCGTCGACGAGAAAGCAACGGGGATGCAAAACGTTATCGCGTAGCGACAGAGAGACGCGGGAGGGCGGCAGGAGACCTCGAGACAATTTTGCGGAAGAGAGCGACGCGGAGGAGCCGAAAATGAGACGGGCGCATAAGAAAATAGCGGCGCAGCCGCCCACGACTAGCGACGACGCGTCGACCGAATGACGTCACCAGCTGGCCATCATGGCGATCTTCTGTCTGTACCTGTTTATATTCGTCTGTTGTCTGTTCTTCATTTACTGCGGCGTGAACACCGAGGGCCTGGTGATCGCGAAACTGAACCGGGGCAATAAAACCGTCGTTTAGTGGCGTACGCAGTTTGTTTTTGCGTGAACCTAACCTCAATTCGCAAACTAGCGGAACCGTATGCAAAACCGGCAACGTTGTCCAATTGTAGAACCGGCCAAAAAGAGGATACGTTGAATGTTTGACAGTGGAGTGATAAAGCTCGACATATTATTTGAAAGTTCGATAATGTTTTGAATGTTTAAATGTCTGAAAACCGCGAAAACACTTTTTTTATAAATTTCTCCAAGAATAATCTTAAAAATGCAATACAACGCTGATATAGTATATTATGCAACAAGTGCGGTAAACTGCATTTGGGATAAAGAATTTACCAAACGTGTTGCAGACTATACTTTTTATACGACCTTCAGGAAAAAATCACAATTTTACAAATTAAAAAAAAAAAAATAACAGATTATCGGATTACTAGATTTCGTACAAATCAAACAAAATATTTACTAGTGGCCATTAAACCCTATTCGTTTTTGTTCCGATCGGTTCTGCCATTGTCTCTTTTTAACTGTATACGTTAGACAGAGAGAGATACATTATTGGATATGTCATGGAAACAACGCAATAAACATAATTTTAAAACGTTATGTTGTTTATTTCACTTTTACAATTGATTATTAAGTAGCTTACTTTAAGAAAAAGACTGTAATTAATAGAAAAATCATCCAGGATAGAGCTTTAAAGAGAATGAAATTTTTAAAATTGTATAGGCAAGAAAAAGCAGGACCTAACCTTCAATTTTGTTTTGTACAATTGGTCTTGGTAGGATATTAATATAAAAACTGTAAAAGCCATTAAAGTACATCTGAACGGTAACGAAACTTAAATTATAAATTTCACTTTACTTACCGACTAGTCAACTAGATTTTAATTGTATCCTATAGCTTAATTGCATCACATTTTCCTATGTATTAGTTTTTTTTTGTATATTTTTGCAAAACAACACAAATACATTCACTGACATGATCGTCATAATTGACAAACGTCAAAATTCAAACCGTGGTGAAATCCCCGAAAACATCTGATTGCTCTCAAACCCGTGCGGTAACCTTCCGGAAATTTCCGAAGTGTGTAATTGGTCTTTTACAGACGGGAGTAGAAAAAATATATAACGTATTCGTTGACTTACCACCTGAAGGCCAAAATAAAATAACATTTTCTAAAAATACATGTTTTGTGTTGGCAACATTTTAACTGAAGAAAATCTATGGTCTCGTACATACCAAAACAAAACAGTATTTTGGGGCAACCGTGAGTTATAATATAATTTTTATTTATAAAAATCAAAATCAAATAAATTTAATTTTAGCCGATAATATGACTAAAATTAAAAAATGCGACACCCAACCTATTACGTGCACTACACAGTAAGTAATAATCACTGTTTTTACTTATATCACTATTTTTACTTATTTTTAGATACCAGGTAAAATTCGGTTCGGGTATATACGTGGATATTAGATGTTTATGGAGAATGAGTTACGGTAAAGACCTGAAATGTTGGTTACTTATATAGGCGATGTTGCCAGATATATAAATAATATTTTTTTCGCAACTCGTACACACCGTAAACACTTGTTTCCTATTACATTGATTTATCATAATATAGTATGAGAATTAACTTATCTGGTTAATGTGTGTTCATATAGAAAGACACGTTTCAGTAAAATAAATGAGAATATTTTGTATAATATCCCGGTTCAATCGAATAAATACAACGGTATGGCAACGTCGATGAAAGTTAACACTTCCCCGTCCGCTGCGGGATCGCCACAACGTTGCCGGGTGGTAACGCGACGACGAAAAAATATCATGATTAATCACACATTTTATTTATTCAACCCGTCGAATCCTCAACGATGGCAAGTAAGGTAGTCTGGTTGCGCAGCAGCGTCGACGACGCCGCGTCGCACGCCTGCGTCGTGCAAAACTCGACGACTGCACGGAACGTGTTACGGACCACCTCGAGTAGTTCGCCGGCCGGAACTCTCGCGACCTCGACCTTTTTCGGTCGGCCGCGCGCGACGTACTTGCGGCGCGGCTTCTTGGGCGCCGCCCTCGCGTGCCGCCCGACGCCGAGGAACGCCCGCGCCGCGTTCCTCATCGCTGAATCGACGCCGTCCACGGTACGAGTTTTCGGGTCGTATTCCGGCCGGTCGTACGCGTCGACGGGCCAGCGCTTTAACGCCGTGTGCCGCGTGGTGGCGCTGGCGACTCGCGTTTTTTTCAAAACCACCTGCGTTTTGTGACAGGTTATCGCGTTTTCGGTTTGCATTTTCTGCTTACCGGTTCGTCATCGCTCTCGTCCAAGAATGCGAACTCGTTCTCAGTGAGGTGCTCTTTGCCGAACCGCCCGCTGGAAGCGTTCCTCGCCTTCCTCGACGGGTTGCGTCGCAGTCCATCCCGTGTCTTGCGGCGCCTGGGTTCCGCCGCGCCATCGGCCTTGTACTCGCCGACGAAGACGACGTCATCGTCGTCTTGGTGCGCAGACGCCGACGCACACATCACGCGCATGGCGATCCCGTCCAAGCTTGGAAAGCAGCTCGCGTGCAACTCGGTGTCGTAGAACGGCCTCAGTTGGTAATAACTAGGACCTATAACGACGCGCTCTTCGTCGTCAGCGCCGTCGGAATGCTCTTCGTTTGCAAGAACACACGGATCGCTCATTTTTGACATCCCTTTCAAAACGAGCACAGACCACAATGCGAAATTATCAAACATACTGTCAAAAACAGTGTTATACTTTGGTTCGCTTTTTAATACCGTTTACAGTTTAAAAAACGGTTTATAAAATACTGATCGCTGATATCCGATGAACGAAAACATGAATATTTCTGCAACCTATTGAGAACTTAGCTTCGGGCCTTTGTTGAAAAAAAGAATAAAAAGCGTTGTAAGTCGGCTAGAAAATCATTTGTGTGGACAGTTTTGCTTATTTCAAGATGAATAAAAAGCTGTAAGATGGTTGTTGTTTTCCTTACAGAATGTTTTTTTTTTCGTAGATGTCAATGCAATTAGTAGACGGTTTAGATCCATCTATTTCAGTCTGGATAGTGTGGACTATTCAATTAACGGAGTTCCGCCAGTCACGCCAGTTATGAGTTATTCGGCGTTTTTCTGTAGCTTTTGCACTAAAGGGCAAACGAGGGTTCTTAAGGGTTTGCAAGCTTATAAGTACTTTGAATGTGGCTTGGTTTTGAAAGTGGGTACCACCATGAGAAACGGCATTTTTGTTTAACAATTGGAAAGGGCCTTCGACTAGTTGTCTCTCCAGACAGATTAGTGTCTTGCTAGCTTGAAACTTAAGTGATCGTGCCTTTTTGAAAATGGGGGACAAGTATGAATATTATTTTCAAGAGCAGAGTCAAATATTTGTGTCGTATCTGCAGTATTGCCATTTTGTCGTATGGTCGCCGAATATATTCTTTAAACAAAGAATATGTGCAAGAAATCTTGGGTAAATTTAGAAACTGTTCCCAAATGCATCTTGGTATTGCAATGTTCTCATTCAAAACAGAATTTCAAAAATAAAGTATTATTTTAGTAGTGTTTTTTTACTTTTAGTTTTAATTAAAACAGATATCAGTAGTGCGTAGTTGTTTGTTATGTCATTATAAGTAAGTAATATTGATCATTTTTTGTATAAAAAATTTTATTCCTTACACTGAACTTTCAGTTCTTATTTATTTTGATAAATGGATTTTCATCAAGTAAAAGCCACCTCAGTTCAATTTAAGACAATTTGCTAAAAAAACAGTTTCGCTTATCAATAAAAGTTATTTAACTAGTTTTCCCTGGCGCGCCATATTGAATTTAATTTGACATGTTCTTCTTGTTGCTTGTTTCTCCGTAACGTAACGGAAATTATGTGAACGAGAGCTGAACAAGAAATCAACATAATCGATTTCGTCATTTTTGTGTGGTTTCATTGTTGGTTTCAGAGTTGTCTTGATTGTTTTTGATGCACAAACAACAAATATGATTTACGTTACGATTACGATTTTTCGAATACTGAGCGTATGCATTTTTTTTTAATTTAAGAAGCACTGTTGTGGGTTGAACCGCTTTGTGTAATACATAGCAAGTAAATAAATAAATGAAGTAAATATCATATCATATATTATATACTCCGCAGTACCGATAAAAGAAAAACTAACCAACGGAGACCACAATATGGACACAGACAAGAATGCGTCCTTTAACGGCCCAAGTGCACGGACTATGGAACTGCACCAGGCGAACACGTGTCGACATAGGAATGCGATCTTTGCAAAACGCTCCAAATCTAATTTTATCGTCGGTAGAAATTTTCATTGATAAACGATCGACTTAAAAACGCGACGACCGTTCCATTGCCAAACTTGTGTTTATTTACCGGCTTTTCACTGGTCGACGCGTCACGGCCTACCGACAATTTGTTGCGGACCGCGAAACCGCGTTCCGTGGTCGATTACGGCAAAAAATAAACTTCGCGAAAATAGCGCAAAATGCCTGTCCGATGAGTGGGGGCGAAGTTCGCGCCCGTGACGCGTTTCCGTAGATCGGGCGTCGCGACGCCGGATATTTTTACGCGTCCGGGTGCGCTTATAAGAGAACCGGCCTCGTCCGTCAGCTCTCGAGTCGCGGTTGGCCGTTTGTCGATGATAAAGTGAACGCGAGCGCGTTCTGTGGTCTGTGATTCGGCGGTGTCAATTCCAGAAAGCAGTGGAACGATGAGTGCCTGCGTCAAGGAACAGCGCGTGTTTGCCGTAAGCGTCACCGCTTTACTCATGTCGCCTGAGAAATCTGAGAGATTCGTCAATTAATTAATTTTTTTTTCACACACAAAAAAATTCGATACAATAACCAGAAATCGAGAAATCGTGAGTAATAAGACTGTAATATATTACATTTTCGCACTGTTGCCAGATAAAGAATAAATCCCGTTTTATGTTGGTTTTAAATACATAAGAACGATACATTAAACACTTAAACGTCAGTGTCGCAGCATTACAATCCATAAAAGTGAATCTGGCGTGTGCCCTTTATTAATTTGTTTTATTTCTACACAAAAAAACCTGTACAAAACAATAATAAAAAAAAGATCGAGCATGAAATGGCCGTATATTTGCAGCACGTACTAGAGAACTAAAGCTTTCTTAGGCTGGCATTCAATTTCGGGGTAATGTTCGAAAACCGGGGCGATGACGTCAGTATTGACTCTCGCAGACTTTTCAATGACGTCATTATTGCCTCTCGCATCTACGACGATATTCACGACAAATTCGCTCCACCGAGATCATCCATAGAATTAACGCTCTCAGAATGCCGGTCAAAAGAGAAAAATGGTATGCGACTGTGGGGAACTGTACATAAAAAGTCGTCTCCAATGTGATAATTACATATTCGCGTTGTTGCCATTTTAGGAAAATTTTGAATACTTTAGAAATCATATTTGTATTAATTTCAGTTAGTCTATTATTTTGGTTGGTAGTTGAGACGTATAATTTTTTATTTGCAAATCTTACTGGATTGCTCTCGGTTGTCGATAAATCTGACACGCTGACGCTTCGTCAATCGTCCTGTTGGCTTCTTCAGATTTGATAACCGATCCCCATATCAGCAAAGGTAAAGTGTTCTGGGAGATTTCCATTGACTGTCGGATTTTTCTTTGATTAGTTAGTTGGTCTGTGACCGATCGAAGATGTTAAAAGATTCTGGGACAAGTGGCAAATATCATATTTGTTTAAAACTGGATAATTAAAGCGTTTCAAGCTAACTAAAATTTTTATATTTGTTAGATTCGCAATTGTAGGCAACACTGTCATCAGCTAGAAGTATACGAAGTGGCCATTTTTCTTTTGTAATCTGTAGGTTTACGTGTCTTTAGCGATATTTCTGAAAATACCTTCTGCCAGGTTCTTTTTCTTGTGCAGCGGTAAATTTTCTTTCTAAGACGTGGATGCTCTTTATCCGTTTCTTCGTGCGCTAGTGAACGCGTACCATATAGCTACTAGAGATATAGAGGGCCGGCCTGTGTCGATAATACTTACGAAGCCGCGATGAAAAACAAATTTCGAGAAGGCTCATTCCACCACGATCAACATGGCCGCTGACGTTACGCCAATAAGTTTTCGTCGGGAAAAAACGCCAATCTGCATTCCGCGACGTTTTCTCCCGTGCCAATAAACTATTTTCGAATGTTCGCGACCGTGCGAATTTAAATTTACGGGTTTCGAAGCGAAAAAATATTGGCTCGCGGTCAAAGTCGTCCCGATCGACCTCGGGGATGTTATTTTCGCGATCGCGGTCCATTCATCCGCGAAACTAACCTTAAAAGTTCGCGTTTCCGCGATCTTTGGCACGTCGCGTCGAATCAAATATAAATAACAACCCGTTGGCACCTTTCCGAGCGACAACGGCCGCAAAGATATTCGGCCAATGTCGGGTCAGTGTCGAATTATAACCTGGAACGCGCCCCCCTTAGTTTACTCGCTGAAATTAGGCAACACCGTTCCTTGCAGGACTCGCCCCTGAAATCGAAGGTGGCCCTGTTCAATAACTTCGCAGATAATCACACTAAGCGGCAGGCGATCAATCCGTTTTCCAACGATCAATGCGTGTCCGGCTTGCCGAAACCGAAAATTTCCAAAGAGGACTACGGCAGGTAAAACATTTGACATTCTACAGTGCACACACCAGATATATTGAGGCCCTGCGTACGCTGAAAGTTCACGAACTCGTGAAGCGGCCACGTAAAACAAGTTCGGGAAAGTCCATTCAACGTGCGCATGCGCGAGATTCAAAATTTCGTTCTTAACCAACGGCAGCTCTAATTGCCAATTCTGACGTCAGCTCCGTAAGATATTGCGGCTTTCAACAAACAACATGGCCGCTGACAGATGATCAATGTTTGGATGCGGTATTTTTACAGTAGTACTTTCTCAAAGAAATTGGTTTTAGAGAATTAAGAAATTAATATATTTTTTGATTATTTGTTATACAGCCACAAACAATGCACATGGTAAAAACATGTTTGCAGAACCTTTAGCCATCTAAAAAAAAAGTATTATTTATTCTATCAAAATTTCAATTTACAGAAATGCTAGTAATTTTTTGAATGTGTAAACTCACATTGAACATTGTAAACCATTCTAGAATATTCTGTGGTTTATGCCACAATTACGACTTACCTTAACTAACTCATTTCAAAGTTCACAGAAGATAAAAAGAAGGAAACACAATGTAAAAATATAAATGAATAAATACAGGAATCAATTAATAAGTCCTTTATTGAAAAAAATTAAATATGGTGTTACTTAAAGTGGGAATAAGGAATTTTACACAGTGCCGTCCCACATAAGATGCCTCAGTGTAACTCTTTTAAAGCAACTTTTATATTACCTGAGAGGAATACCACATTTAAAAATTGCCAAAAATGAGATGAAAGCAATGAAAAATTGTTCATTTATAACACATTAATCTTTTGTCAATTATAAGTAGAATAACGCTGTAGATGATATGTTCCTAGCCCTTGAATTAATTTTAAAAACTAATGATTGATAGTTGATTTGGGCCTCCCCATAACTTGCCATGTTATTTTCACTACCACTGACTTGTCCAAAAATGCTTCAAGATGGTAGACATCCATTAAAATTCTCACTGTCTCAAATTAAGTGTAGAATTTTTAAAACCATGTAAATTGTGCAAGAAAAACATCAACATTTCAGAGTGAAAAAAGTTGGTGTACACCAGAACAATATCGCCCAAACATGATTGCCGTAGCTGTTTAAATGTACGTAAAAATGTCAGACAGAATCATACTTTCTCTACGAAGTAGGGCCGCTATATTATCTTATGCCTACGTAAGTAGACACGGAAACGATTTGACAGACCCCGGAGTCGTGATTGGTCTGTTGGGGCGAGATTTTTGACAGAAAAAAAATGCGCGTTTATGATTGGCAGGCCGGCGAAGGGGTCCCTGTCGGAACAACGATCATTCAAGGCGACGATCCAGGTGTGCAAGGAGATGTTGCAGCTGTGCGAGGTGATAAACCAGTGCGGCGAGCCGCTGTTTGAGCCCCACGAGAAACAAGGCGACGCGCGGAAAGTGATCAGCTTCGGCAATTTATTTTCGGTGAGCGACAACATAAATCTCGTGGCGCCGCATAACTTGAGACGCGGCCTCGGTTCGTGACGCGTTCGACAGTCCGCTTGTTTTCGTTGTCGCTCTAAAAATACGATTCTTCATCGCAGATCTACGCCGGCATCTCGGACAAAGTCGTCGGTATGCTGATACGCGCCAGGAAACACAAACTGGTGGATTTCGAGGGAGAATGTTTGTTCCAGGTGAGACGACAGGTCTTCTTTTTACATGCGCGGCTACTTGTCCGCTTTATGTTGTCCGTGGTAGGCTTACGTTTTACGCCAACGTAAAAGAAGAGTTATCTATTTTTACGACTTCGATCGTGTGAAAGTTCCATGCACGTTACAATAAAATTAAATGAAAAATCGATTGTTGGCGCATCATTAGCACATAAATTAATTGAGAGCCTAGGATAATTGTATTCTTATTCCAATTAATTCACTGCTTATAGCAGATAAGTGGCTATAAGTTGCTTTTATATCAGAAAACATGGTATGTACCGTTTGTAAATTATGAAGTGCCACAAAAACATGGCAAAAATGGTCCCGTTAAGAGCTCAGCAGCTTTTCGCGTTTTTTCTTCATGGGTTATAGGATATTTTCCATTTAAGCTCTTAATTTAGTGCCATTCCATTGATGATGTTTTTTTTTTGAACCCGTAATAGAAAACAGATGCCCCAGGTTTTGGACTTTTGATCTAGACAAACCAGGTTTATAAACTGTTTGATAGATTGAAGGGCTCAATATTGCTCGACTAGAACAACAAACAAAAAATTCTTGAATCTATAACGTGAAATAAAAAAAAACGGGGGGGGGGGGGGGGGATGTTGTAAGACCATTTTCCACTACTTAGTTCGAGCGATGAAATTCGAAAACTTTGCGCCCTGAGGAAGGATTTTAGAAGAAAGATTTATGAAGTTGGTTCCTCAGAGCTTAAACTCGTTTATGTTTTACACGATATACCGTTTGGTGGAGCTAAAGGGCAATGTAACGCTCCCCTCAAACAGTATGTAAGCGGGTACAGAGTAATATGCGAACTAGTTGCAGTTAAGGTCAGAAGGATTATCAGCCAAACATCAGCAAACGACGCTGAAGGAATCCAGAAGATTTTTATTACAGTAGCCTGTGAAAGTTTCCTCGAAAAACTTTCAAACAATAGAGTTCTTTGCCATGTCTAGGTACTGAGAAAAAAGTTGGTGACTTTGACATTAAACAACTCATTTCTTTGGAACACAAAACATGTTCAACAGAAAAGATTACGAATCAGATAACTCTTTTAATGAATCCTGGGAGCTCTCAGTATACATAGCGTTGGTGTTTCGAAACAAACGGCCATTTAAAATTTTACGCAACAAAAGAATACCATTAGATCCTCCAGTATTAAGAGTTTCCAATGCACGTTTACGTCGTTTAAGTCTTGGGGTATTACGTTAAGAGTTTCCTTGCAAGAGAGACATTTGAAAAACTTTTTCTGTAAAATACATTATACTCAGGGCTACAAATGGCAGAAGCAAAATTTATTCTACTATGAACATACGCGTGATAGAGGTTAAAATAAGCAAGTTCGACTCCGCAAAAACCGACGCATGAGGTTTTATAAAAAGTAATCCAATAAGATAAGACAGTATCAATATGTTTCACTCCGAGGTCTTCTTTCTTTCTTCTTTACTTCTAATGGCCACGACTACATAAGGTCATTCGGTCAGCTTACACAATTATGAACATTATTCAAATATCCTAAAGAATGCCTTCTTAAGAGAAGGGTCTGGACCAATCCATCATCCTCCGGATTTGTTACATATACAAAATGGAATTTCAACAAACAAAAGTTCTTTGACCGATTACAAAAAACGGCCTCCTCCCCTTCCCCCGCGGACCATCCGGGTCCATCCGGCCTCCATACCGGCGTGAACAGGAAAAAACGACGGAGCCGACCACGATTAACTTTAAAACATTCACTGAACACTAAAAACCCTAAATCCACACTGTGGATACCGATTTCAAAGTTTTTAGGGACGATTACGAGGGATTCTGTCGGGAGCGAACAGAGGTTAAACCTCCTCGTGCAATGCTCCACCACAGAATCCACTCCGAGGTCCCACACTTTTCTTATTCCTTTCTTCTTTCTATTATTGACAGCGTAGAGTAGTTATACCATGTATATAATCTGTGGCGGTTCTTGCTTTTCAGAGACGAGACGACCACGTGCCCATCATCTTGCTGAAGTCTTTCAAGGAAATTTACCAGATATTGATGGAAAAAATCGGAATAGCTTCGGACCAACTGAAAGAGAGTATAGCCCAGTACGGCGACCAGGATACTAGCGGTGTTGTGTAACGTCTTATTAGATGATTAGGTGATTAAATTTGTTGCGGACCAACTATTTCGTGGAGGAGAAGTAAAAGGAAATCACAGACAACACCCTTACGTAGTGATACATACATAATGTAATATAAATAAATATATTTTTTTATGCAGTTAGTTATGTACAAGACATTTAAAATCGAAGTTCTAGAAATTGGCAGGCTCTGTGCTGCCCCTATGAGAAGTTTTCGGCTTTGTCACGTTCTAGAATGTTTTTAAGTACTTTTCAGTATTGTCGCACATAGTTCAATTTTTTAGTATTACACGAATTATGTAAGTTTTTTTTTTGAACGGGTATTCCATTTATCCTATTAGTTGCGCTGTGTACGTTAAATAATACTCGGTAGTTGCGCTTGAACGAGACGACTTGGTTTTTAAATAGAAATGTAACTATTTGTTGGTGTAGTTTCATTCTTGCCAATATTAGTGTGATTTGCTGAGCTCCAGGGGAGCCAAAATTATTGATTTACCCTGTATCATTTAAAGATCCTGTCGCAATGTCGTTACGACGTAATATTTCATTCCATCCAATCGCTTTGTGGTCCGTATCTCGCGCACCTCGTATAATAGACGAAAATGGTAAATGAAAAAATTGGAGCTCTCGAAGCGACCCAAAAGCACATTCAAATCAAACAGAGCAGTTTACCACGATTTGTCAGTTACAGCCAATGCTTTACTACGAAAAATGTTAATTTTCAGTTTTCTACTCATAACAGCGACATCCTGTATATTTTTTAGTCGACTGTATTTTGGCGATAGAACATATCCTTTCGGAGAAAACATTTTGTTTCTGTCCGGAACAAAAATTTTCGAAAATTTTTGAAAAATACTTCGGAATTTCCGACCGCGCCTGGTTTCAGTGAGATCCATCTGGGTGGGGGTGGACAGTGATTTTCCGAACAAAACCTACTAAGCAGCAGTCCAGTTGGTGTTAGCGTTTGTCTTTGGTATTACATCGGCTTCCTATACTAGCCGTCACTGCTATGGCCGTTCGGCCAAACAATTGAGTACTACTGAAATTTGTAATTTGTACTGACTGATACTATCCTTATCCTATTTGTTAGTTATTCAAGTTTGTAATGAAAAACTCGGTTTTAAGTATCAACAGTAATTTCGGTTAAAAATAAATCATAAAACAAGGGAAAGAATAGTCCTGGATAAAGACGGTAGCAATAAAGACCAATGAAAAAGTGTATATTATATTATATTGCCACCATTTTCCTATACTCTGCAACACTGCAATGGCCGTTCCGGACCAAACAATTGTGGTTGGGACAGGACGTAACAATAACAGAAACCCCTCGTTCGGAAAATATCTTTAATAAAGTACGACGAAAAAAATTAACGTAATAATAGACTAAAGCTAAAGCTCGCGGAAAAAATCACTGAACGGGAATACAAACGAGCCGAGAGCGTGGTCTCTCGGAAAACAGCCATTTCGAAAATACTCCGAGGAGTGGGGGAAGGTTGGGGGGAAATTGGGTGGGAGGAGGGCGAGTTAAATGCACGAAGACACAGAGATAGAGACTTGGAGTACACTAGCGCGTCTTTTTTTTTTGGGGAGGAGGGAGGGGTAGGAAGGGGCGACGCGCCCGAACACTTTTTTCTTTAACTCTATCACATTCAGCGGCGTCGCTGAGGGGGGCGGAGCCCCAACGCGCGCGCCTGTTTTAGCACCGAAACGAGAAGGTACACGTAGTAACACCTAGAATATGTAAGTATGACGTCATGCTTTCCTGGGAGGCGGCGGCGGCGCCGCGGGACACGAAGCCCCGCCCCCCGACCCGCCACCCATGATGTTCTCGTAGAGGGTCGGCCTGACCATGTCCTCCGGGGGCCTGCGGACAACACCGCTTCGTATACCGGGCGTTCCAAAACGACATGTCAATATCAAAGGGAGCGTTCGATCCATTTCGATACACACGGGGGTGTTTCAAAAAATATTTTTAAAAAATAAATTTTTCTTTTCGAAAATATCGATTAGGTCCCTTTTGGTGACGCCGCTGGTACTTAATAATTGTGTAAATTTCTCCATTCAAAAATTTGAACAATACGTATATTGAAAAATTCGGGCCGTAAAATGTGTCAAACGCTTACTTCAATAATGACAAATTTTTGCAAAAATTTCCAAAAACCGCGTTCTAAGCATCCAACTTGTGCCGCCAGCCAGTGATAAAATAGAACGATTTAAAAATTTTCCCAACAAGCTGGCAACGTCGCAATAAAATGCAAAAATTGTTCCCGTGTCACCTTGTATGATACGCAAATATACAGGGTGTCCAATTAGTGTGTCAAAATAATACATCTCGTTTACCATTTGTTTTAGAGAATAGAAAAGTTATAGATAAAACTAATGGACATAATTTAAAACTACATCTTATTAAATGGAACATCCTGTATATAATTGTTTCTTTCGGTCCCATCTGTAACTTTTGCATTTAACATTTTTCTTTAAAACAAATAATAAATTTTATCTGACACCCTGTAGATAGGAACTTATATTTCAAAGAAATATATGTTTCTATGTATTCCCTGTATAATCGTAAACGTTTTAAAAATACTTTCCAAGTCCATCGCACCACCCTGTATACATATTCTAGTTTCAAGTCGCCCTATATTACGCATTCCGCACTTGCCGACATTCAACGACCGAACTGCATTAAAATACACAACGCAAACTTGTACAAACTTACGGGTCGAAACGCGTCGACGCGGCTCGGTCGCCGAACGCGGTGTTGGGGGGTTGGGTGGGGGTGAGATGGGATCGAACGGCTACACTACAACACTACACGCGACACTGAACATCTAACATAAGCCTGAAACAATACAATGGGAATTTTAAGATCTGTTCGTTGGCGAGTTTAATTATTTTAATGAAAATAATTAGTTCTAGTTAATTTGGCATAAAAAAGACGGTCAAAGAAATTAAAAATAAAAAACCTTTACTTAATTTAATTAACTTAATAAAATTTAATAATTGAAATAAAATACTTTTAAAAAAAGTAAAACGGGATATTTAAAAAACCTTTATTTAAATCAAACACAATAATTTTAATTAATTAAAGAAATCTTTGGAGTAGAAAAGATGATAAAAAAAATTCAAAAGAAAAAGGAAACTTTACTTAATATACTTCATTTTAAAAAATTTAAAAAATTACCTTTGAAAAAATTAATTCAAAATCGCACGTAACATTGAAAAAGCAAAAAGTTTTAGTTAGAAAATACAGTAAAAGGAGAATTTTTAAAAAAAACTTTACTTAAATTAATTAAAATTTATTAAAAATTATTTTTTAACTTAATTCAAAATTGCTCGCAACATTGAAAAAGCAAGAGTTTAGTGAATTTGGAACAGAAATCACGGTCCAAAAAAATTAAAAACAAAAAACCTTTAAATAAATTACTCTTTAAAAAATTAATACAAACCCGCACGTAATATTGCAAATGCAAAAAGTTTTAGTTAGTAGCGACAGTGAAAGAAATTTAAACAACCTTTACTTAAATGAATTAATTAAATTAATTTGAATTAATTATAGAAGTCTTTTTTATCTTCATGCAAAATTGCCCGCAATATACAATATTTTTTAAACTATTTTCAAAACATAATTCAAAATCCGTAGCTCGAGCTTTTAGTTAGCTTAACCAAAGAGAACATTCAAAATAAAAGAGACCTTTGCTTTAATTAATTTAATTAACTTTAGTTAAATACATAAATTATTTTGTTATTTACAATTTTAAACCCAATGCAAAAATCGCTAGTAATATTGAAAATGCAAAGAGTTTTAGTTAGTTTGGCCAAACAATGAATTTTAAATAAAAGAAACTTTTACTAAAATTAATTAATTAAATGAATTTAAATTAAATACAAAAATTATTTTTTTAATTATATTTTTAAACTTAAATAATCACCCGTAATATTAAAAATGCAGTTTTAGTTAGTTTAACCAGAGAGGAAATTCAAAATAAAATAAACTATTAATTAAATTAATCAATTTAATTAATTTCAGTTAAACATATAAATTATTTTTGCTAACTTGATAAAAAATCGCCTAATTAGTTTAACCAAATAAACGAAATTTTTAAATAAATTAATAATAATAATAAATTCAGAATACAATAATTTCACCTAAATTTTAATTAAATGGATAAATTAGTTTTAAAGACCGTCTTAACAAAGTTGTTATACGAAACGATTTATAACTCGCAACGAACAGAGTATAGCCGCTTACCCCTCCCCCAACCCAATGCCTACAAAGCCCTGCCTACCTTGGGAGAGGCACTTCGGAGACCGCCCTGGGAGCTTTCTTCGTCGCCGCCGCCGCCGGACTCGGAGACGGGGGAAAATGGGACACGCTCGACGGCCGACCGGACAGGGAGGACGTACTGCCCAATATACCGGACGGGCTCGAACCCAGACTGCCCATGTCATTGCTGTACCGTATGTTCGTGTACTCCCGGCCAGACTGCATCGACTTCTTCCGAAACAAAGAACAACGCCGTAAATATACAGGGTGTTGAGGTGCCGACGTTTTATTTTTATTTTTCTTTTCCGTCGCATTATTTCCTCAACGAAAATCGTTTTGTTTAAATACCCGTAACTTTGTTTACGACCTCGTATTATATTTTGGGTAAATCCAAACTTACCTGTTCCGCTTTCATCCGTTCGGTGACGGTCTCGATGTGATGCTGCACCGCGAGGTAAACGAACTTGTACTGGGCCTCGGTCTGGACCATCCCCGAACGCTGGGACCTCACCATCTGGATCGTACGCTGGATGTCTATCTCGCAATCCAGGCCGTACTTTTTCAGCTGGTCGAGTATCATGTCGATGACGATGAACGTGCCCGTACGACCGATGCCTGCCAAGTAGTTCAAATGTACCGCCGTTTCCGGAAAGTAGTGAAAAAAAGATGCCCGACGCAAAACGAGAAATTTCAAGCGAAAATACAGCAGTAGTTCAAATGTACCGCGGCCGTTTTCGCAAGACGTCGAGGTGGGAGGTACCGACGATTGTCCGTTTAATCCAAAACCGAAAATTTTAAACGGAAATTTGGAAGTTAGTCAAATATACCGATCTCTTTTCCGGGGTTCAACAACAAACGAACCGGCGCATATCTCAAAACCGAATATTTGATTGAAATATAGCAGTAGTTCTGGTTGTTGTAGTTAAAATTACAAAGTTAGCCGTACCTCACGCAGTAGTTTGAATAAACCTACGCTTCGGAAGCGCCGTTCTCGAACTGATGATTACAATAATAGTTCAAAATTTTCATTTTTGATAAAGAATGAGAAGGAACCAAGGGAAGTAAAGATAATTATTTTTTCGTTACTTTTCGAGTCGCTGAAGTTGTTATGTATATTTTTTCCTATTTTCTGTTTTTTTTAAACATTTTTTATTTACGCTTTTTATTTACTTTTCTTATCGAAATGAAACTTGTAAATGTAAAATTTTATGAAAGCGGGTTTAGATTTTAGATGAATAGAAAAGACAGGACATTAATTAATGCCTTAATGCTTCTTTGGAAAAAAAAAAGCCGTCATACCGGCGGAACAATGGACGAGTATGGCGCCGGGCTGCTGCCCGTCCTGCGACTCCTGCTGCAGGCTCTCCTGCCGCTTGTTGACCTCGTGGAGGAAATTGAGGACGCAGCCCGGATCCGACGGCACGCCGTGGTCCGGCCACGCGGTGAAATGGTAATGGTAGACGCGCCTCTCGCATCCCGATCCTACCGTCCCCACCAGGAACTCGCGCAGCGTGTAATGCGCGGTCGACGACTCGATCAGACTCTTCACCGTCACCCTGCCGTACTCCTTTGCGCAGTTCTGGTCGGGCCAGTAGCGCGCGCACTTGTTTTTCCCCCTCTCCGTCTCTTTGGTGGTCATGACGATCACGCGGCAATTTTCCTGCCACACCATTTGCCAGAAATCGGCGACGGTCGACGGCAGGCACCCCTGCGTCGCGATGTACACCTTGCCGCCAGGGTCGTCGGAGCCGGGGGCGGCGGCGGCGACGCCGCCGTCGTCCGACCGCCACCGAATGTAATTGGCGTTGATGTAGTCGGCGCCGACGACGCCGGGGTCCACGTTTTTCAGCTTAACGCGCGTGTCGTCGACTGCATTTATTATTTATTTATTTAAACTAAACCGAAAAATTACTTCCGTTTGCGTTTTCAAACAATTTAGACTTAAGTTTAATACAATTATACGGGGTGTTTCACGTTTCGATTGGTTCCATAAGCGAGGATACCCTATCGCTGCGACGTTGCCGCTCCTCCGAAAAAGTAGTGTTTTTTACATTGATTTGTTATTTTTCTAAGGTTATTTTTTAATAATTTATAAGTTAATAAAAGAAAATATTAGTTATACATTAGATTGTGTATTTCTATTTTTTTGTTTTTAAAAGTGTTTTATAAATCTAGTTCTAGAACATCTGCTGTTTCTCACCTTAAGTTAACTTTCAAATAAATGAGACTGATTAAAAAAAATATATATTTATTTAAGCTCAGCAAATAATAAACTTTGTTTCCATTATCAATTTATTTATAACACACTCAAAAACAAAAAATAAAAATTGTCGTCGAAGAACGCTATTCGCTGTTACTGAACAGGCCTCCCGGTGTTATTTGTTAAGATAACTTAAAATGAACGACACACATTCAATTCGACCCTATATCTCTTACTCTATATATTTTTTGGTGAAAATTCATTTTTTTAAGAAACACCCCTTATATTCTGAGAGGAAAATTGAATTCCATTTCGAAAGAATTTCCAAAAGGTTTACGAAACGGTTAAAGAAGATCGGGTCATTTGAAGTACTACATAAACCTCACATATACTTCCATGAACAGTGAACAATTTTTAAGAAATGTATTGAAAAAGGGTATATCAAAGAAGTCTATTATTATTATCATTAATTATTTATTATAATATTACTATTATAATTATTATTAAATACTAAATTTTTCCTGATACAATTTTAATCTTAAATATCTGTGACCATCTGGGATAACTGCGAGAATGGGATTTACTTCACTTTGAAGCAATTGTAAATATCGAATAATATTGTTATTCAAAGATTTATTTTTTGTGGATATTGCGAATGATTTTCCGTCATCTTCACTCCACTACTGCAATCATCAGTACATTACCTCATGAGTGGTGCGGAAATGTGTGCATATTATGTATCATATGAATTTTCTAATATCAGGAACGGTGAACCGTGAGAAAAAAAGGAACCTTAACAATTTTCGTACAGAATTGTATGATCTATAACATTTGTCTGTCTTATTTTTCGAGGAAAATGGAACACATTACTGCACAAGTCGAATCGAAGGAGATTTTTGACATTTCATGTATAATGGTATATTTAACGTCCCTGCCAATTTTCAGCTCTATGCGAACTTTGCGTAAGTTTTGATTTATTTTTGTCTATTTTGACTGGCGTATTAAGCATTTTTGGTAAAAACCGATTTTCTTTTTTAAATTGCCGATTCACTTGCTAATTTTTCTATCAAACTTCTTCTAGGGGAATGTATATATAACAGACCTACTGAGTAGTTAAAATGTACCACCAACGATCCAGTACCTCGTACCGATTGAATAGCATAAAAGTAACTGAAAATTCAAATTTCAAAAAAAAAAGAGCGAACGCGAGAGAGAAAAAAAAGACAACAGACGACACCGTACTCACACGGCAGTATGTTCTTGTATCGGTTCTTGTTTCGATTTTCCGGCCTGTTTCCCTCCTTGCGCGAGTACAGGTGCTTGAACTCCTGCTGCTGCAGGGACTCGAACTCCTCCCAGAACCCGGCCTTCCCGAACGCGTAAGGGCCATTATTTTCCGACTAAAATTACCGACGTATTAAGAAAAAAAATTTTTTTTTCTTCTTCTTCACCTGCAACTGTTTCACCCTGGAGTGAATGCCGGAGGCGGCGATCCTGGTCGCGTTAAAAGGCTGCTTGAGGTGGACCACGGTGCCCGACGTTTCCACCATCGGGTTCTTTTTGTAGTGTTCGATGAGCTCGGCGAGCGTGTTGAACTTTTCCCCCCCGCCGACGTCGTACTTGTTGTCCTTCGGGGGGTAATAATAATGGTAGAGATGTCAACTACGTGCCCTTTTATTGCTAAGTTTATTTATATTTATTCTAACGATATAAAAAACACATATTGTTGAATTTTTTTCGAAATAAATGAAAGTTTTATTTCTTAATTATTTCTTTTCTTTTTAACTAACAATGAAGTCGATTTAAAATCAGAAGAAACACATTTAAAGACATTAAACAATTAAACCCACATAGATTTTTCAAAAAAATCACCTTTTTTTACTTTTAACTCTTTTTTATTTATATTTTAGGCCGTCGCCGTTTTGTTGGGCCCTTATTTGACTATCTAAGAAGCAAAAAATCATGTTTGTGAGTTGATTCTTTTTTCATGCCAGTATTTTTTTGCGATTACGTTTGGAAGCGCCACCTCGCGGTAAGATAGACAATCGCAACTGCACGTACAGAGATGCACTCAAGTAACTGATAGATTTCAGACGAAGTAAACTTGGCTTAACTCTTAATCGATATTTCAAAATACCATTTATCAATTCCAATGACTCATAGCATTTAGAGGTTATGTTTATCCCTCTTCTGGTCTAAAGGGCTTTACTAAAGGCGCCAATCTGAGCAGTATTTACTAAATAAAGTCCAATTTACCTGTGACTCGGATTAGTTTTTTAAAAATTATATTATATTATATCATCACGAAGCTATAACAAATTCGTTTAATGCGCGTGTTTGTCTATTTGCAGTAGCAACATAACCCTACTTCTTCTCTACCCACCCCCAAAAATTACGACCCCTTTACTGTTAAGTTTATTTATATTTTAGGATAGGATGAAGATCTCACATGCGATTTTTGCTTGGTCTTATTTGCAAATTTCGCGATATAAAAAAGCCATATCGTTGCGTTTATTCTTTTTTCAGAATCTTTTTTTTTTGCAATTACGTCACATAAATTCATCTGGTGTTGGTATCCATCAGATTTTGAAAAATAAAAAAGTGTTAAGAAACAAAAACTTACAACCTATTTTCAAAATACATATTAATTACATAAATTTATTCACAGAGGAAACCCATTTGGCTAGTAATTCAAAGTAAAAACGATATTTAAAGTAAAAACAACATTTACCAATTTTACCACAAAAATAAGAATATTACGACGAAAGCAGCCTCGGAAATTGTTTAAAAAAGTCCAAATCGGACGGACAGAGATGGAATCGCACTAAACGGCGTGAAAACGCAACACGACCTTGAAAAACGGTTCATTTATAAAATCCAATTAGACGGCAGATTTTTTTTGCCGATTTAGAACGCAATTGGCTAAACAAAATAAATCTACGCACCGACGGACCGTTATTGGCTTGTCGCCGATTAATCTCGTTAAGAAAAGCAATTAAAGCAATAAAAAAAAACGGGGCAATGGAATAACCGATGTCTTGAAAACCGCAGGGTTCAAAGTTCAAACTCACCGGCGTACATCTAATCATCACGTGGGTCACTTTGTCGTCGGTCCTGACGGACAAGACGAAATCGCCCGGCTTCGATTGGCTCTCCCTCACCAGGAAACTGCCGTTTTTCCCCCTGTCCAGGATCAGTTTTTCAGCCTCCTTGCCGGACAGGTGGCCGTGAAACCATCTGTAACCATGGCAACGAAACGCGTGTTTACGTACACCCGAAGTTACGCATGCGTTCAATGGTTAACATCGCTTTTGGCCGATAGAAGTAAAAAATGAAGAAGAAGCTCGTGTATGATGAACGTTTTGTGGTTTGACAGAATAGACATCGTTTTTTTTCAGATTTTTCGCCGATTTTAGAGCCTGTTACGTTACGTATATGACAGATGTGGCCACAATTGTATGTTGTAAACATCCAATTATCGTCTCCGTCATAATTACTTGCCAAGTTTCTGAAAATTTGTTGTTGTTTACTTTTTAAGGTTGGTTAGCAAATACAAAAACTACAGTCACGGATAAAAGTTATATATTTTTAAATATATATGCTCAATAAAATCCGCAAAGAATTCGACACATTTCTTGTATACCCAAATCCAATAGATTATATAGATAAAATAATAATAATATGAACAGCCTGGTAAAAAAGAAGAGAACATCGAAAAGAGATGAATTAAGGACTTTATTAAAATTTGAACAAGATTCCGAAGAACATACTTCAGATGTACTGAAGAAAATAGGGGACCAGTTGAACAATTCCATTTGTAAAACTAATTACCTACATATAATATTATACCTACCAAATTATAAGTTCTAAAATATTTTATAATATTGCGTTAACAAATATTTTACAGGCATTGGGGATGAAATTACACGAAATGTTGTCTTCTTGCTGGTTAAGCTGGATTTTTTTTGCGATTTTTCATAGATTCGATGAAAGTTTGTTTATTGTCCTAAACTTGAAATCCTGGGTTACTTATAGGTAGTTCAATTTGAGCCAATTTGGCCCTCTTATTGGGTTTAATAGACGTTTCCAAAATTCGTTGTTCACGATAAAACGAGCACAGCTTTGTATTTCGGTGACGACCTACTTCGCAGCCACCTAAGATAAAAATCAAAAATTCTTTTATGTTAAAAGCGCATATATCTGGGAAACCATCGGATAAGGTTATAGGACATATCATACAAGAAATACGCAGTATTTTTAGGGAATTTACTAAGCGTATAATAAAAGGGCTGTTCCGTTAAAAAATATACAACTTTTGTTTTATATAACAGTTTGGCAACGCTGTGCAATCACTTTTTATTTGGCGATCACAGTTACAATTGAGAAAGCACATCCGACATTTAATATCTCGTTTTAAAGCAATGACCTTGCGGCATTCAGCAACCAACATGGCCGCTGACAGGTACTCAATATTTCTGCGGAGGTACTTCTTCAAAATATGTCCAAATTCCATTAAATGTTCGCGCAAAAAAAGAGTTAAGCAATAAAATAACAGCCGCCTGAATTATTATTATTATTTTACCTTTTTGAGATTCTACTTATAATTTTAGTTAGTGTCAAAATAAAAATAATGTAAAAAATTGTTTTGTTTTATATTTACTTCAACAACTCATCAATTTCAATCCAAAAAGTGTGATTTTTCATAAACTCTTCTTCATTTTTTCTCAAATTTTAGACTGCAACACTTTTACCGCTTCTTTTAGCCGTTTTTTATGGTATTTTGGGAAGTTTATCTATAGGCACATAACTTTCACATAACCAACTAAATGTTCTTCCGACTGCGGTAAAATGTTTACAAAAATTAACACCCTTCAATACTATAAGTTTCTTCCTACTCTACACTCGCATACAAATCTACAAATACAATACAATTTTATTTTATTAATTATCCAAAGAGAGGAGCAACCACAGTGGCAGGGAAAAAAACTAAGCGGCACTTTTTTGTAATTCTGAAATTAATATATTTCAAATTCGGTTATAAAAGTTACCTTAGCAATCGAAAAATGATTGATTGCACAAAACAAATAGACAGTCACAGCAAAAAAAAAAAAAAAACAACTTGAAATACTTTGCAATCAAAACTAAAACGAACTGTAACTGTCAGTTTTCGGAGGTCATTATGGGTTATTCTTCTTTTTTACTTCTATCGGGCAGAGCTTGCTAGGATCAATCGGCCACAACTACAGATTAGCGAAACTCTCGCGCGAAACGTCCCTGCCTGTAGTACATCTCTTGCAAATTATAGATATAAAAAATTACCTGTCGAATTTTACGAGCAGCGTCGTTTCGAGCTTAGTTTCGATAGAAAAAATCCTCGATAATTTTAAAAGCCTTTCCGGTCGCCACATCTCCATCTGTAGAGGTAAATAACGGCGGACAATTGGAAATAAATTATGGTATTCGCGTTTTTTCCCGGGGTTATTTATTTTTACGCGCGTGACACGTCCATCGGCGCATATATCTCCGATAAATAAAAAAATACGACCGCTCGTTCGTTATTGCAGGCAAAAACGTTTACATTTATAATAATTCGAGAAAAACGCGATATTTTCGCATTTCATACCGTGTTTTCCCTTTTCCGGCGCGGGGATTGTTTTTTAAGCGAGAAAAAAAAGCAGGAAATAAAAAACCACACGCGCCGCGTAGTTTGATATTATCCAATACCGGAAATTTTAATTATTTAATTAATTTCTATATACGTAGGTGTATTTTTTCAAGAAAATATTGGAACGCGTTTACTATACCGAAATGTGAGAAATCTGGAGCATAAAACCACATTTAACATAAAAAAAAAACAATTATTTTATTTTATTTTTTCCGGCGGCGACTTCTAGATCATTAAAAAAAATTAAAATCTATTCAAACAATTTAAAGTACCTTAATTTATTTATTTCTTGTATAATCAACGATCTTTTAATTTATTTTTACATTTTTAAACGAACGATTTGTAGATCATAAAAAACAATTTCAAAATCAACTCAAACAATTTTATGTGCCTTAATTCATTTTTTTTATTTAACATTATAGAAAGATTTTTTTATCGGCAGCGACTTCTAGATCATTAAACAATTTTAATTTATTTCATTCATCATTGTTTTTATATTTAACATTTTACGACTTTATCTATTTATTGCGGTAACAACTTCTAGGTCATTAAAAATAATTTTAATTCGTGTCTTAATTTGGTTATATTTAAAATTTAAAATGACTGATCTGTCATTAAAATCAATTTCAAAATCAACTCAAACAATTTTATGTGCCTTAATTCATTGTTTTTATATTTAACAATTTACAATAACTTTTTTCCTGCAGTGATCATTAAAAACAATTTTAAAATCTACTCAAACAATTTTAAGTGTGTTAATTTATTCTTCTTTTTTATATTTAACATATTAGAACGATTTTTTAATTTATTTTGAAATTTTTCCGCCAGCGACTTGTAGATCATAAGAAAACAATCTAAAAATCGATTCAAACAATTTTAACTGTCTTAATTTATTTTATATTTTTACATTTTACATTTTATAACGATGTTTTAATACATAATTATATTTTGCCGCTAGCTTGCGGATCATTTATTTATTTATTTAACATTTTAGAAAGATTTTTTATATATTTTTATTTTCCGGAAGCGGCTTTTAGATCATTAAAAATAATTTTAAAAACAATTCAAGAATGCAAGAGTGATTTTTATTTTAATAGAAATCAGTGGCGTGCCATCAAAGTCTGCCAAAACAGACAGGTGAAATTCCGTACGCCCGTCGCTGATAAATTTTCAAAAAATTATGCTACCCTAACTAATGCCTCTTGACGCATAATAGGTCAAAATAAGCGGAATTAAAGATACGAAAAAAATACATTTTCATTTTGAAAACTCGCCTCCTTAATTATTGACATTCAATCAGAAAACACCCTGTATTTTCAGAAATTTCGGGTTTTCCGTCTATATTACAATAAACCGGCACTTTTTTCATTTTTGAAGTTATAATATTACAATATAAATAGTGTTGAAAAAGTTGGTGTAATTCTTGCAGGTTCATTTATTTATTACTTGCCGCCAATTTAAGGCCCGAACAGTATTCCAAAATAATTCGGCGCTTACTTGTAACCGAAATAGAGCAGGGCTTTCCTGAGTTCGTTGAGGGCGGTCGATATGGCGACCGTCGTCGGTACGCCACTGCCGCCAGTAATCACCGACGACGGGTCCGCCCGTCCTGGATGCCTCGTCATTTTTACACCTCCTACCGGTCTGGATAACTCTCACCGTTACTAATATACCGAACTTCGAGCGCACGGTACAAAATAACGTAGAAATATTCACGCGGTATTCGAATAACGTGCCGCCTCTGGCCGGCGGCTCTGCTCGACGTCGAACTGAAGCCCGATCCGATTGACCACGCGCTATCGTTTATAATATCGGCGGCGGGAGCTGAGAAGACGCCGTGTTTCCTCTTTTTCGTGACGTAATACGGCTTGGTGGGAGGTAAGTATCCCACCCCCGAAGGAAATTACTTTTCGGGCGCGCCCCGTATACGGAGCGACGGTTACCGACGCGCAGGGGGTGTGGTTTGACCGCAGATAAAGAAAAGAAATGTATCAACTTTAATTAGTAGAGGACTTATTAAGCAAGAAGCTTTAAAAAAACCTGCCTAGTTACAAAAAACGGCAATATCGTCGATAAGGGATATTGTTAATAGTGGAGAACTGATGAAAAGGAATATTTGGTGATTTTCAAACTCACCGTATAGACAATAGTGATCAGCACCTTATAATACAAATGCCGAACTTTTTAATTTCAATAACAGTGTCAAACACCAGCCCCGTCACGTTCAAAATCTGAAATCCAGGAATATTTGTTAGAAAATGATATTTATTTTGTATTCAGTTACAAATAAACGCAACTTCTGGAAGTTCTAAATTGGTATGCAATTAAAAAACAGTATTTAAGCCATAAGTAAAGAAGATAATTGATAACCGATGATTTTTGGATGGTAATGTGATAATGCATCAAGTTGTGTGTTTGTGTACGTAGGTTGGTTTTCTGTAAACACAACGAACCAATGCTACGTCTGATTTTCTAGTGATAAGAATATCTAAGAATGGCAGGTTATCATTAGCTTCCAACTCAATGGTAAAACGTAATTTTGGTTTTATATGGAAGGTGTTTTTTCACGGAG